ATCACACGAATCTCCAGAAGGGCTGTAGCACTTTGAAGGCAGTGATGTTGTAGGAATACCAGTGTATGGTTTGGGAGTCGTATTGCTAGGTTCACATGAACAGTCGTCTGTCACTGTTCCACTGGATTTGTCATGCACCTCAATCATGCACTGGTACCAGCAATATGTTGCATAGATATATCTACAAATATGCTTCTGGTTACTTTTTTGCCGTATGTATGCATTAGTAAGACAGGTTGCCCATTGGTAGCCGTAATATCCTGATAACTTGACGCACTCAGTAACTCCAGAGGGGCCGTAATGCACGTTACATAGCTGGGCCCATGCCCTCTGCAGAGCAAAGGCGGACAACAAGACAAACAGTGGCGACAGCTTCATTTCAAATCTGAGAAATAGAAAAAAAGTGAGTCCAATGATCTCCCGTAGTGCCGGTTTATATAAAAAATGGAGCGTACAAAATTCGGATCAGATCAGGTAATTTAAAGATCTGACTGGAATACAGTGGGTATTATTGTCTTCTAAGTACGTAAATGAGTTGATCCGGTCTGCATTTGCACTTGCCGGCTTGAAAATGAATTTCTCTGCATCGTTAGGGTTTATGGAGAACATTTTCATGAGTTCCAGTTCGTTTAATTGACATTAACCTGTCGAATGATGTGCAGAGAAGAAAAGTCGTGTGGAAACCTGAATTCGTTTAGATCAGTTCTACCTAAAAACTTGTCAATTATATTAGAGCGGGGATACACTAGACGTTCTCTGGTCCCGACCGACGTACCAAGATGCTTTCCCAAAGACGATGAACAAATTATCGATAGCAGAATATTATTCAGGGCAATTAATGGCCGTTGTCAGGGCATACTGGTAAAATCCGTTTCTAGGGTGGGTAAACAGTATTCAAACTAAAATTTGATCTAGAATTTCCTTTGTTTTCTAGCCTTATTTGCTCACTGGAGACTAAAGAAATTCTGGTTTAACCTGAGAACGGATTTTATCTACAGGATATACATGGCAGCTATCATAGATGGTCGCTAATGTCTTACAGTCTTTTAAAGATCTTTAAAGGACGATTCGTAAATCAGAAAGAAACGGGGTGAATTCGAAAGGGCTAGTGGGGTTGGGAAAATTCCTTGTCGGGTTTTAGCGTTATAAAGTTCGTATCAGACCCGGAACATTGGAAATGTCACGGGGATGATCGATGCACGCCAAGTAATAGACAAGTTAACAATTGCAATTATGCGCTATTAAGTTGAAGAGAGTGGTAAAGCTAGTAACACTGCCAATGCATATATAGACGTCGAGAAAGGATTTGAGTACTACTTTTGAAAGATCGGTGGGAAATAACTCCCCTTAAGTTTAGATCTGTTTTTGAGTAAGCGTTCTGCAATTACGGAATTTCTAGGCAGTTATGTACTCCACAACTCTCCTGATACTGTTACCTGCTGTCGACAATAAAAGATAACATTCAGTTTGCGTGACTAGTGATTCTCTAATACCTTCTAACTTTGTGTAAACTGAAACTTAAACTCACTCTCCATCTTGCACTAGTAAACAGAAGTTATCGCGAATGTTCAGGCTGCAACGCCGTGAAACTCGTCATTAACCCGGTATTGAAAACAGCCCTTCTTATATCTGGAAATTACTTTCCTGAAAATGTATTTTCGAAACGATGGGAGGCGACAGAAGGCCTTAAAATCCAGTGACGAAATAACAAAGCTAAAAGAGTCGACTTCAGCACACAAGTCTTTCGCTGAAATGGGTGGGCCAGAATTAACCACGTAACGATCACGACCGGGTACCCGGATAGGGGCGCTAAGGATAACAATTGCGGGATACTTCAGCTGGGGCCAAATCTTCCGAGGTATGAAACTGAAAGCGTAAAGTAAGTTAAGAATTGACTAGGCATTATTCTATATTGTCTCTATTTCGAACGGATTGGGTACAGCAAGCAACGCACACATCACCCTAGGCTCCCTTCCCCTAGTGTAAATTATGTTGCCTTACGCTTTTTCATTAATCTATACTTCCTCGTTTTCTTAGAAATACATTGGTATGCAGCGGACAGTCTAACAAAGAAAGACAAACACAGGACTGCTATAGGGTGGCCGCGGCCGCTTGATAGAGGTTGCCGACTAAGGGCCTGTTTACATGGAGGTGGGGGACCCCAGGTAGGTGAGGTAACCCGCTTAGGTGGGGTAACCCGCCTGTCCATATAATCTCTCATTTTCATTTGATCACGTTTACATGATAGGTGGGATGACCCGCCAAGGCGGGTAGCCCGGTCTACCAGACCGGGTTACCCTCTCAGCCGGGGTCACAATTTGTCATGTAAACGTTTCAAGGTGGGGTAACCCGCCTGGCCGGGGTCGGATTCGTGATACATCAAATTCGCGCAAAATTCACTTTCGCGGTGTCTTTGCATTATGATTAAAGTTAACAATAGAAAGCTATTGCACTGACGGGTTGCAGCAAGAGCAACAAGTGAGTGAAAAAGTGCATTAATCGCCAAAACTCGTGGTTTGCCAGCATTTTTCTTGTTTACGTGCTTAGCGACCATTCAATAATCTTGAGAAAGTGCACCCCGGGAAGGCGGGGTTGTAAGATTGCATGTAAAGGCGGGTTATTTTTTTTACCCCACCTAAGCGGGTTACCTCACCTACCTGGGGTCCCCCACCTCCATGTAAACAGGCCCTAATACAGCAGGTAACAAATACAGCGTTTGTATAAGCGAAAAATCGGGACATTGAAAACTGGCCTCTTAATAGAGGGTGACCGCTTAATACAGGGCCGTTATACAGCTACACCAAAATAGGTTGCTTTGATAATTGGTCATTGATAATTAGACATTGGGCATTTGGGCATATTGAACAATGCAATGATTTACTTTAGTGACCACCAAACAATAGCTTTCCAATGCCCAAAGAAACCTTTATTGAATCAGCCATATAAGGGTTCGACTGTACACGGAAATAAAGTATTTTTCTTTTAAAACGGCTTCCCCACCCTAATTCCCAGGGTTCATTTTTATCCTCATCACTTTATCTATTTACAAACTGTATTCTCCGTATTTTCTTCCAGCTCTGACGCCAGCGCTTACTTTCAAATTGAAACTGCTAGTTCATATTATATTCTATGAGTGATGGCCAGAGGGCAAAATTAAGAGAGAGGCAGGGGAGGCTGCGTCACTAATTGCGGCTCAATTACAGTCTCTCTACGCAAAAGACAAAATTAAATAGCCTTGTCACCTTGCTTTGCGTAATGCGTAAAGCTTTAGCCTGCGATCAGGCCCAGGTTTGCGGCGTTCTTGGTAAAGGTTTTACCTTCCCTTTGGCAAATTCAGGAAGTGTTGTGACTGAAATGGATTCTTATTAGTCAGGTTCCGATGAAGCCTTGGAACTCACTATTTCAGATTCGTATCGTTTGCGCCGTTCTAGTTCTTCATCGGAAAACATGGTTTTGAAGAATTTATCTCAGCTCCTAAGGAAGATTCTTTAAGAAACAGTTATTTAGTTACTGGTGACCGGTCGATGGGTTTCACGGGCAACTGTAGATTAATCAGTCACAGCTTTTATTGGTCGCTCAATCGATCCCAGAAATCTTAGAGTCAACACTGTGCTGAGCTGTGCTGTACTGTGGGAATTTTTACAGTTTTGAACATCGATGCAACAGCACAGGGGAATCCCATTCTCCTTTAACCTCTTGGGAGAAGGGATATTGGCTGGAATTTTGGAGAGGTTCGAAATTCTATGGGTAAAATTGGGCTATTGCATTAAATATGAGCAACGCCCGGGCTGAGACCAGGTGGAATTCCTCGGGGGTACGTTATAAAAGTAGTGGAATTTGTCAGGGGTAAATGCAATAGTATGGAATTTCCCAGGGGTAAGAAGAAAAGGTAAATACTTATCCCGGGGGGCGCAGATGTTAAAAGCAATAGCCCACGAAAGTGTTGGACTGAGAAAAGGAGCATTTTGGTTCGAGTCATCGTCGGGAGGTCCCGAGGGTTAAGGTAAGCGGGATTTTACTTTACAAGGCAAAGGAAGACACCGTTGCCGTTGTCAGTTGTTTAGGTTCTAGCATAAATTTGATCGTTTTCATTTGAATGGTATCGATGGCATAGTTTTACGTGGAAAAATTAAAATAATTAAATTCAAAAGGTAAAAAAATGGGTTTAGTTTGTTAAAAACTCCGTGATGTTTGCACGAGAATTAATCAATACGATAATAATAATAATAATAATAATAATAATAGACACTTATATAGCGCGATATCCACCAATTCCTCAAAGCGCTGTACAATAAAATGGTAAGAAACTAGAGTTAAAAACTATTATAAGATAAAATAAAAATTTAATAAAGCTACTAAAATCAAACATCGTAGGCTAATTTTAATAAGTATGTCTTCAACTGCGACCTGAACTGGTCGACAGATGTAACATTCCTGAGTTCAGGGGGCAATTGGTTCCATAACCTAGGAGCAGCTGCGGAAAAAGCCCTATCACCAAACGTCTTTAACCTAGTCCTGGGCACGGCTAGAAAATTCTGGGAACTAGAACGACGTAATTCAGAACAAAAAGCACAAAAGCAGCTTGTCTGTGAACACTTTTTCGTCGCATTTCTTTTCGAGCCGTTTTTATGAAATGACGTAACACCAAACCAAAGCAATTGCTGTGGCCAATCAAGTTGCGTGCAATTGAATTAACCAATCATACCACAAGGCACACGCTTGTGAAGAGAGTATACTTGGGTTTTGTTGTTACCTGATTGGTTCAATCAAAGAGCAAAACTAAGGGATTCTGCAATTAAGTTTTCTTCGTTGTTAGTTTTTAAGTTCACTCATTGTGTGAAGGTATATGGGCAGCTTGGGTTTTCTCTTTATACACAGCAGTTGACAGTTGGTTTGCTGATTAGTAAGACCAGGAGAGAATCTGTTGCGAGGGACGGTTGTAGGTAAGCTGACTGACACTAAAGACAAGGTTTTGAAGAAAAGAGTTTTTGTTTTATTTTGTTGACTAAATACTATATTTTTTTAAATAAACTACCCCCTGGAACACTCCTTTGTACGTTTGATGCGCCTTCTCAACTATAAAGCTGCCAAATTACAGAGCAAAATAAAAGACCGTTTTCATTCATGTGATCGGTGGCTATGCAACAAAGGAATTTGTTTTGGTCGCCGATTCACAGTCCAGTTTTGCACACAAATTCGCCACTTAAGAAACGAAAATGCAACCGGAGCCAAAAGGCGTCCTACAATTGTTTGTGGGATGGTTACCGGGGACGAGCCGGTCAGCTTTTGGTCAATATTTTTCCTGTCCCTATTAACAGTCCCAAAAGTCTTTGCGAACCCGACCCAGGTTCCTTATCGTTTCTTAAGTGGCGATTGTGGCCGCCATGACGGCCAATAGCCGGTCAGCTATTGGCCAATTTTTTCCCTGTTCCTACTAACAGTCCCAGAAGTCCTTGCGAAAGTTAACTCGACCCAGCTACCTTAACGTTTCCAAAATGGCCGCCATGACGTCATATGAAAACGATCTATAGAAAGGAGGACCAAATTCCACCTAAGAGCTAATTAACAAAGAAATCGCTCAATCTACTCTTCGTAATTCATGGTGAAAACAAAAGTTTACTTGAAACCATAAAGAAATGCTGCAGTTTTGTTTAACATCACGTTTCTTAAGCACTGAAGCTGTAACTTTCTTTGGGTAACGATGACCACGATAACTATAGGTCATGTTCTTTGAAATAACTTATTTCTCTTTGCATTTTACCATTTTCTTATACATTTTAACGTCATAGACAAAACCTGATTAGGATAGTCAGAGAACTTCACTATAAGAACAATAAATACGATTATGGAAAATTTTGGACAATGTTTTCGTTAATTTGCGCGGCGCCTCACAGCGCTTTCTTGCACGGCAATTCAGATCTGTCCCAGCGTATTCTGACTGCTTGTATAACACACAAAAAAAATGTGAATGAAGGAGTTTACAATGATACTTAAAATGGTAAGGGGCTGGACCTTCGTCAAAGTAAAATAACGCGAAAATACGGCAGGACCCGACGCAACACTTGTGACACGCGCTTACGATAACTCCCATTGGCTAAAGATCATTTCCCATCAAAAACCTACCAGAACAGAAAGGCAAGAAAATCCGCGCAAACGAAACGTCCTTACAATAGGTGTCGAATATGATTGGTTGCTGAGATTTCACTATAATATGAATGCTTGATCTGTTTTATGAAAGGTTAATCGCGCATTTGATTATATCTGCATAGAAACTTTCGCGTTATAAATTATTATTACCAAGGAACCGCAGGCTTATTGGTTATAAAGCATAAAAATTACAGTTCATCGTGATGCTGCATAGCAAAGTTATACAAACTGTCTAAATCTCTGGGCCCCTTGTATTCTTGCTTCTGAACTCCTTTGCTAAACAGAATCAGTGTAGGATAACCTTTTATCTGAAAGAGAAAAAAGTAGAATAAAAGTCCGTTGAGAAGCCCATCATTTTATTAAGTTACGCAAAACCCGCCAGGGTTTCGCACGCGCGCGCACTAACATTAGCTTACGTGTACTAACAACACTTGAAATTTCAACAAAAATTTACTTAATACGCCTTACTCGACAATGGAAATCGATAAGCAACGCTTCTTCTGAGTCTGCAAAAATGGCTGATTGTGATTTAAAAAAAGGTGCAGGCCCTATTCAAAAATTCAGCCGATTTGCGCCGAAGTATTACGCTAAATACTGTTTAGTATTTACGCTAAATACTGTTTAGTAAAATACTGTTTAGTAAATCTAACTAGTGGTCTATTATCAATGCTGCGTTCTGATTGGTTGAGCTACTACTAGGCTATCTGTTATAGCCCCCTAGTAGCGAAAAGCGCCGGCTTTTTGGCGGCAAAAAGGATGAAAGTCTAGCTTTAACTAGCTAAATTATTTCTCTCGATATTTTTGACCAACTAGTTGGATTTTACTAAAACAATTATTCCTCTCACCCTCATGGCCTCTGAGTTAATAGCCCATTCGGGCTTAGGCCTCATGGGCTATCGGAATCAGAGCCCATTCGGGCTCGAGGAAGAAATAAATATTCCTAGCTGACTGAAAAACAAGAAAGAAACGTACTCCCATGCTGCTACAAAGCTCCTCCTCCGTCGTGCAATCAACCTGCAAAAAATGTAATTTCTGACGGTTGAGTGACTAGGAACGAATTAGTCAGAAATTGCTATTCTGATGGCACGATTGAGAGGTTTTAGTATTCTCAGGGGAGAGTTTTGAGTATTTAATGTTTTAGCGGGGAATATTAATCATTCTAACTCAGTCAGTCTTTCTGTTTGCTGTTGTCAATTTAGTTAAATTTTTTCTATGGAGTTATGCGTTTGTTTGTACCTCTTCCCCGAGGTTCCGTGCCATTGCATTAGATGGGGAATACGTTTCCACATATTTTTTGGCCACATCTAAAGAGTGGTTTTTTAGTGGTTTTTCGTATCTGGCGTGGTACACTTAATTTTTCAAGCTTTTCAAGTTAGACTTGCTAGCATATTCTATGTTGTAATAAGTATATGTTACGACACATTGTTGTTGTCGGATGACTGACTGACCATTCCTCAATAAACTATTTCACATTGAATGTTTCGTGATAGTGTAGTCAGAATAAGGGTATTTATTTCTGTTAAATTTTAAGTTTTAAGCATCACGTTTATGGCAAGCAGAAGTGATGATGATATGACCACCGCATTTATAGAGCGTTTTCTCTCACGTGATCAGCATCTATGAAAGAAAAGAAAAGAGTCCAACTCCCACAGAATTTGTTTGGAACACCAACATGGCCGCCGTTTCGTTGTTTTGGAACACCGATACGGCAGCAATGACGTCATGTGAAAACGCTCGATTACTTCCCGCGTTGTATGATCGTTAGTCTGAAATGTCATCTGTCACTTCGCCCCACCCTCAAGGGGCGGCAAGGTGAGAGAGACCAGCTGAGGGGTGGAGCGAAGACGCGGATAACATTTCAGACTATGTGATCGTTCTTTGAGAACCCGCTGTTAATTACGTATCTTATCTGTCGCTTGCCATTTTCAGTGTAAACAAGCTTGTTTTTACGCTCCTTTTCACATGAACATCGAGATTGAGGAACAATTACTAAATACGGTTTTATCAACTGAGCTGATGGAGTAAATTTTCTGTCATGAGAGAATCTGGCCTGTTCCAGGCCCCAAGACAGTAGCGTGCAGAGATGGTGAAAACTGAAGCGAAAAACGCGCGGGGAAGACAAAACACCACTCTCCTTCCCCAGATCACGCGCGATCTATTTTCGCTCGACCTTAGCCTGCGTAATGCACCTATCAATGTAAACCCCGTGAGGGGGGAGTGCGGGCAAGGGGTGGGGATTTGACAAATGTTGAAATTTTTTGATCAAATTCCCCAGGGTGGGAAACGAAAGGTTGATCAAAAGTGTCAAAAAAGCCCCCACCCCAGGGGAAAAAATCTAAACAAAAAATACTATAACACTATATAAAACAAATTAAAAGAATATTTCAAAAGTACGTTCTTACTACTTTTATTTATGGTTAACGTAAGCTTCGTTAAATTACTCGCTGTAATTAAGTATTTTCTCTCTCCACTAGCATCTCGTATTTTGAACAACAAAATCACTCCAGGAAGATTGACTGTGCTATTATAATATTGATAAAACGTAAAATGCTTTATAACATCTGCTCAACATGTCGGAACAGGTCGAATCAGTGACCCGTAAAACATCCTCTGACTTTCATGGTGGAATTCGATTTCAATCGAGTTTTACAATCAGATGGGAACTTGAAGAAAAAACCTTTCTCAAAATAGACATTATTAACTTCATACCTTTCTCCAACAGCGTGACTTTCAGAAAGCCTCGAGGGACGGACTTGGTAACCGCTTCTGAATTGATACCAGGCTTCTGTCGGTCAAAGTCAAATGTACCGACCCCGGGGTCGCTTCGCAAGGTCAAAAGCCCGACGGGGGGATATTCTCAGGCATCAAATCCCCGCCCCTTGCCCGCACTCCCCCCTCACGGGATTTACATTGATAGGTGCATAACTGACCGGATCGTTATGTGCGGAGTACTTTCTCGGCTTTTCCCCCAAACTTCTCACGGCTCCACCACCAAAAAACAACAGCACTCCCAAGCAAATCCTGCCACCTAAGCGACCTCCCTACTATCTAAGAGCCTGGCACAGGTAAGAGATATTCAAAAGCTGACTTTTTGACGTTTCTAATGTGAGCATATGATTTATGATTCAACATGAATTTGAGGCCCTGCTCAGACATATCAGTTTTTGCTTGAAAACAGAAATTTTTTCTCAGTTTTCAAAAAAAAAAAAAATCGACGTCTACACGTTGCGTTTTTGAATCGCTTTTGCCCGTCCACACGAAAACGCCATAGTTACTGACAACAATACCACCTTATCGGTGCATGCCCATATAATGGTCTCTCTGTCCGTGACGTTATTTTTCTCAAAAGCCGGCGACGGCAACGAGAACGGCAAAAAAAAATAGGTTTATATTAGAAAAACAACAACTCTGCACGTGCAGCACACTTTTTTGTACATTTCTTTGCCGTCACTGCACGACAGCGACGTGAAATTCCCTCAAGTGACGTTTCGTGGCGGACGTAAACACCGACTAGACTACAAATTTCTCTTTCTCCCTCTAAACTCGGTGGCGGTCCCCAAGAATTCAATTCCAGGGAAATTCACCTACATTCGACTGAGATTTTACACCAGTCGAAAAAATCGCGACCAACACTTAAGTCTGTGAAATAGTGACGTTTTCGCTACCGTCGCCGTCGTCGTTGACAAAGCTCCCTATTACGGCGCTGTCAAAAATCTTCCCTCTGGAGATAGCATTTGTACAAAGATGCGTTTCCGATGTGGTTTTCACCGGTGACGTGTGGACAGTAGATCAAACTGAAGAAAAACTCTCCGTTTTCATGTGCCCTGAGCGCGAGTTAAGATTCCTTTTGTACAGCTACCAGCCTTTATACTCTTCTTAAACCCCGTTCTAACAATTAATTACAAACCTTAGCAATTCCTGGTCCAGACGAACTATCTGCGCATTTGTTAGCAAGCTGGTCCCAAACAGGTGCAAGTTCTCGGCAGTGTCGGCACCTGTAACCATGACAACAACAACAACAATGGGTGACGTTGTAAGCATTTCGCTTTACAATAAAAGTAGTAGAAATTCTTCCGTAAAAGAGAAAGTTAAGAATATTTTAAATTGGATTTAAAGATTGGGGACGTGCTTAAAAGGAAGCAGCAAGCAAAACAAGTTTACCAAGAGACAAGCAAAACAGGGTTACCACTAGTAAAACAGACTTACCAAGGGGCGTAAAACTTGACAAATGTTGTACCAAAACTGATCATGGCATCAAAATTACTGTCGGTGAGCTGAAATGGTTTGATCTGAAATGAAACATGATGAACTTAATGAACATTTTACTTTTGTCGCTTATTCACGGAGCATAAAGGACGTATTCGACACAGATGATCCTAACAGCATACAGAGTGTCACAGGACATGCGTCATACATGAAAAAGGTACACAGCTTAACTTTCTATGATCCTGTAGTAGGCTCAGTGATTCGAGGGACCGACCGGAATATGGGAGGTGTTCGAATCGAATCCCAACGGAGGCTAAGATATTCATTTTCTCCGCTATAAACTCAGAGCATAATGAGCGAAAGACTTTCTTAAATGGTAAGGCTATTAATGATTGAAATTATAAAACTTTTTAAGTTAGGCTATGTCCACACCATACCGCAACTAACACTCAGAAACAGCCCGGAACTGGAATAGGTCGTTCAAATACATCGCATTTAACCCTTTAAACCCTAAGATCAAAATTAAATTCTCATTTGTCGCCCCTATTCATTTACCATAGAAGTAGTGGGGAGAAGTTGATAAAATATCAATCAGATTCATCTTGTATGGTCATGTCCGTAATTCTCATGACCACTCTGTTTTACAAAGCATTGATATTACAAGGAGATCACTCTCAGGGTTTAAAGGGTTAAGCCGGAGCAGTTGGCCGTGAGGATTTGGTGTCCTAGATCCAAATCTTCAACCTGAATATTTACTTCCGTCTCAGTGGATTCCAGTTCTCGCTCCTACTTCGGCAATGTCCGAGTACCTTTTCACACAGCACCAAAGTGTGGCAAACAACTTATCCAATACGTGACGCTCCACTTTTGAGATCGGCGCGGCGCAGCTTCGTTCCGTAAGAGAAATCGCGCCGAAATCACCACTCTTTTGTGTGAACAGAAACACTATCCGGTACGGTTTTCGTGCTGGCGCAAGAGTATCGATTACAGTGTGAACATAGTCTTAGACACGTCTGCATGTATACCTGCAAGTCTAGTTCATCAGAAGGTGTCTCCTCAGCTGTTTCGCTATTCTCCGTCGTTGCACTGCTTAACAGGCTGTGTTCAGAGATCTTCAGAGTCAAGTAGTTCTTAAGGTCGTCAAGCGAACGCGATCCTTCATAGCTGTCCACCTAAAACAAAAATACCGCGCTTGTACTTTACAGACCTTACATCTAATGTCCTTATAGACTACGAGTAGTCTCTCTTTTTTCTGTCGTCCGTCGAGCAAAACGCGAGACACGCAAATGGCCACGCGCGTGACTGATGACGCGAGACGGGAGAGGCACGGGCTGCTGCCCTCATTTCGCGCGTCTCACGGCTTCGCCGCTCCCGCGCGCGTGCATTGCTCTCACTAAACCTGAAGAAAAAGAGAGACTACTTGCAGTCTAACGTCTTTATGACGAGCATTATCCGAGCCCTATGGAACTTTTTAGGGGAGATCGAGCATTTTAGTGCAAAAAATGGAGCATTCAGGTGAACCGATAGCATAAAAATGAAAGCTTAGGTTCGACCACTAGCCTTTCGTCAGAGCGAATGAAAAGATCGCTCTTTTTGACAGAAAGCTATAGACTAGAGCACGCGTAGTTTTAAAACTGACACGCAACTACAAACCTCTCTGCCATCTTTAAACAGTTTAAGTGAAGGAAACGCATGAATCTTATGCTCTGTGCACTTTTTCCCTTCAGTTGTGCAATCAATCTGTAAGAAAGAAGAATACAAGAAAAAAATAGATTTAAAAAAAAAACGTACAGCGGTTAAACGGGTGCACAGTTCAAGTTGCTACGCGTTTTTGATTGGCTAAATAAACTCCTACGCCCCTTTCTCAGCCAATCAGAATTCATTAAAAAAAAACATAACTTGTTGATAAGCGTTTTTCCGTGCTTGGCGCGGGCTATTTTGAAATTTGACTGGTTCATTTCAATGTCTGCGCCCGTTACTATTGGCCAGCAGATTTAAATGCGTCCACGGAAGGCTGATCTAATAAAAAGGAAGGTAAAGTGTTCCATTACAACACAGGGATTAGAAGGCGGAGAATGGAACTGCTTGAAAGTTTTTTGGTGCTTTTTCCTATAAAAGTACCCTGGAATCAGGCTTATAATAGCGGAGTATCTTTGGCCCCTGGCTATCAGTGACCGGTCACCTCATGTTTTTTTTGGTATAAAGCTCGCTTTTGCCATCTGCTTTCTTGGTTTATTTTCCCTTTACTTCTAGGTAAATTGGTTTCCAGTCTTTTCCAGTCGAGTATCGTGAAACGCACACGAAGCAATTACTGTGGGCTGTCACTAATGTCTTTAATCTCCCTCACTGATTTTATACATCATTTTATTTTTTTTTATTATTATCATTATTTTTTTTTTGGCACATGCATAGTGATGGGAAACCTTTGTGAATTGTAACATATAAATAAAATAAATAAATAAACATAACGGCGATATTTTACTGCACCTTAGCAATTGTGATGTCCATATTGTCTTTGTGATACTCAGCCAATGCCTTCCATGTGGGTGCAAGCTTGCGACAGTGGCTACACCTGATAAAAAAAAGACAGTTGCAAAAAAAAAAACACTGAACTGATGCAAAAAGAGAACAAAGAAAGGAGGAAAGCAAAGCTAAAGTATTCTTTATTCTTGACTCTACAAACCATGGTGCATAGAACTTTATAAAATGCAGTCCAATTTCAACATGTTTGTCAAAGTTCTCCGAGGTCAGTGTGTACAGGCCATTGTCTGCTTCAGCTGTGTCTCCGGACTCACTCTCCTTCTGTCACAGATGTAGATAAAAAGGACCATAATCAGATACATCATTCTAAGAGAAACCCAAGCCGTTTCTCCAGGGCAAGAGGATATCTACCTATACAATTCAGGAGCAGATCCAGGGGAGGTGGATTGGGTGGCTAGCAACCCCCCTTTAAAACAGGGAAAAGCAAACTGAAATATGTCGGGCCCCAACAAATAAAGAAATACGTGGGTCGCAAAAACCTTGTGAAGTCAAACAGCCTTCGTCCTTCCCAAATCACCATTGTTTTAGGAAAAACGTAAGACAACTTAAAATAAATTAACGTATAGTTTGATGTCCAATTGGTATCATTTCCCCTCATCAAAAACTCCTGGATCTGCCCCTGCAATTGTATGAGTACGGATATGCACAGTTTACCTCAGATGTCCCGGCAAATTTGTCAACAAAGGCTTTAAGATCATTCATACGTCTTTTGCCATTATATCTCTTGATTTCACCTTGATCATAATACAGCTTTAACCTTTGAAAAGAAACAAAACAGCCAATAATACTCAAACACTTTTTACATTATATATGGGCCAGCCTAGGGTTGTCCTTGAAAGGGCTAACACAAGCTTTAACATTTTGTATATATTTGTCCAGGGGCACCCAACAAGAATATAGTTCAAAACCACTTAAACATAGCATTGTTGAACGTATTTTAGTATTTAAACGGTAGATATAGGCATATTTTTATCCCCAAAAAATTTTTTATCTGTTTGGATTTCCTAGCTGAAAGTCTAGTGATTCGAAAATTATAGGGATCAGAACTTACCTTTTCGAAAATTTCAGCCAGAAAAAAGGCTCCCGAAAATTCTAGGTGACCTTTTTAGGGTAAAAATTCGTTAAAAATAGGCAATTATACCATTTTTTAGATGTTTGAAAATCCAAGGAGAGGCAGTTAAGCAACAAATTTTGCAACAAATGTTCCGAAGATTCTAGATCTCAAATCGTCTTCCAAACAGATATTTTCCGAAAATTGACGTTGGGTGCCCCTGTTTGTCTAGCAGAGCCTTATGTAGAGTTATATTAAGTATCGCTTACAACTTACGTTGGATATGCTCGAATATTTTGTTTTGCACAGAGAGGAGTCTCTTTTGTACAATCCACCTGAGGAAAAAATGTACCAACGGATTTCAATACAATCACTGATGTATATGGTGTGGTTTAATGTCTACATGCAAATAAAATAAATACTTTGTCCTCTTTTTTGAAGTAATAAATTGTTAATTATTAATAGATTACCATACCCAAAACCTAACTTAATTAGAATTCGAGCCAAGGATAAAATTGAACCACAAAATTATACAACTAGGAGCTGGCAGTTCTGTTTAAATACTAAGAGCAACTTAATACCAGGACTTTTAAATGATTTCTGTTACACGCTGAAATATTTCAGAAATGATTGTGTTTTGACCAATCACAACAAAGATCAGAACATGCACACAAGCCACAAAACCACAAACTAAATTAAGGTTGCTGTTTGACGTTTGGTTTTCTTACCCTTGATTGACTTTTTCCTCGCAACACAATAACATTCCAGAAATGTTTGTGGTATTCAGAGTTTTCCAAGTTTTACAGTAGTCACCAAAAGGTTCTGTATTTAACTTCAAGTACACTGTACCTTAGCTATTGTTACGAGCTCGTTATGTGGAATTTTTCCATAGTGGTCAGCTAACAAATTCCATGTTGGCATGAAATTTTTACAGTGCTCACACCTACATTTTGCACACAAAACAAAGGAAAAACAGAATAACTCCATGAGGTCATCATCAAAATGTTTTGCCTCAATAAGTTAGTAAGGCTGACTCATCCCCAGTTGTCTCTAAGGGCCTTTCCACAGGCCTTTCCACACTAGCAGACAAAATCGGAATGGAACTTCTAAACCGAAAAATTGTATGGTGACAATTTTTGTTTCAAGGAAATTTATCTGTACGGGAAACTATTAATTTACTCTTATTGGGCCGTTGCATTTGATGAGACTTTATTTGTTAATTGAAAGAATAAAAGCTTTACAACAAATGATTGACAAGAAAACCATTCTTGTTTATTTATTCGATTTTGTTCAGTTTTAACCAGCCACATTTTGTCCACGGTGCCTTTGAAGATTTCCTGTCTGGGACAAAATTCGTAAAATTGAGACAAACGATCTACATTTCTTAAGCGTTGGTGATGAGAAAACAATTTGTCAAAATAAACAGCTTTTTTGCTAGTGCAGATAGGCCTTAAGTCTAGCTCCTATTGTTAAGAAGAGACCTGCAGTCAGAGGGAGCGTTAGGGATGATAAGTGCACCCTTCGCTCAGGTTTTTCGCTTTCTGTCCCCGCCAGTGAATTTTCCTTATCCAACTAGATAGTCCACTGAAGGCGACTCAGATGCCAAGGGGTATGAACAGGGAGCTATCACTTGTGAGAGACTGGTCTGAAATTGGGTGGGCAGATATAACACATTTTTTGGCTGAAATGAGCTAATAGTCAACCTCTTTCTAGTGTTCTCTCTTACTTGTCCCTACAGAGCAAGAGAGGGGTGAGCAGGGATGAGAACTCTGTTAGGGTAAAATTCCCACAAGCAACATGGCCTTGAAACAGCAACATAAGACTAGAGAGCCTGCGGGGACCAGATGTTTTTTCTGCAATTTTTTTGGCAGGTGAAACAAGAGCTGAAAAAAGTGTCTGCTCCCCACAGGCTAGAGACGAGATGAAATGGTAACAAGTGACCTTAAGACAAGTAAAACACTGACAAGGACATGGACTACTCCTCAAAATGTGAAACGACCATATTTTACATTCAGACAGAAGGGACAGCACCCTCCTCCCCCTCCTTCTCCTTAGAGGACCTGAAAGAGGTGAGAGAAGGAAAGAACCCTGGAAACGAGGTTGGATAATAGTTTAAAACTATACTGCACAACACCAGGACCTAATTTTTTCAGCAGCACCCCTTCCACAATGAACCTTATTAGGGCTTTATCAGGCATTATTTCACCATGAAAAAGGTGACAAGCTAGATGAAAACACCACGGCAAGTGTCTTGAGTTCCAATAGGTGTTGTTCATTTCAGGCTTTCTGTGCTGGTATACGAGAGCAAAATCCAAATCCGATAAACTAAAGATTTTCAAGATATTGAACTTAAATAGCAAAAAAACTTGAAGGCTAAATTCTCAAAAATCAGTAAGCCAGGGGCTTATTTATACACCTGAAAAACTTTAAGGAGAGCAATTTATAAAAGCGTGGCTAAAAAATGCTGCACTTGTAATTTACAAGTGTAACAAGTTTAATGTTGAATTTGTCCCAGGACAGAACTACCTCAGGCGTGTCGTAGATCGCATCAGATTAATGTTTCAAGAGCTAGGTATCAATATTCCACCTTCCACTTACCAAGGTCCATAGAACATTACAAAATGCGTGGATGAGCTGAACACCCTGTCGTCAAATCCACATCTGTGAGTGAAATCACATTGTCGCTAAGGCTTGGAGAAATAGTGGATACAATAACAAAAACAACCGCGATTTCTTTTGCAGCCATGTTTTCCACAAGGCCACGTTTAGTTTTGTTGGGAATCCGCGGGCCCCAACTGTATGAGTGTGGGCTCGAATGCCGGTAGACTGGTAACTAGTTTTTCCAGAGACCGCATCCAGTGTTCCAGTGTTAGAGGCAGCCCAGACTCTGTGGGAGTTCGTTAGACTTTCTACGAGAAAAAAACCGTCCTAAACTCCATTTTTTTTTTTTCATAAAACCGGTTAATATACAATCAATCATTAGCCTGAATGTCATCCGATTGCTTCGAGTCGTTTTCTCCTCTCAGCAACTGAGGCAGAATTAACGACTCGAAGTAATCGGATGAAATTCACGCTAATCAATCATGTCAAAAGTCTGCAAAGTGTCTAGAGGTAAACCAACACTTCAATTCATTTTTTTGTTGTCTCTGTCTATCGCCAGGCTTTTTAAAAATATATATAGTCACTTGATCTCCCTTTTGCCGTCGGAAATTCTGCATTGGACTTTTTGGGGGCTAAATTTTGGTCCAGGGATTTTAAACTTCAAAAGCAAAGAAACTGCAAGGCTAAATTCCTCGTGATACGAATCAGTAAAGCAGGGGCCATGGGGAAGGAGAGATTTTAGAGGAGGTGGGAAGAGAGAGACGAAGGTTTTGGGTCAGGCCTCCCTCTCTCTGCCCTTCCCCCCCCCCCTTTCTAAAACCTCCTTCCCCTAACCCCTAAGGAAGGACTGATACTCAGGCTAGACAGTTTGTCGTGTTGATAACAGCACGACCGCAAAACCGCAAATGATGTTGATTGGCTAATGACGAATCATACTGTTCGGGGGTGGAAGGCGTCCGTAAAAATATCTGTCTCAGGCGTTTCTCTCCCTTCGCTCTGGCTCCCCTTTTCGCTTCTCTCTTCTCCTCCCTCCTCCTCTCCCCTCCTAGCCTGAGTATCAGGCGTTTCTGGGGGAAAAGGGAAAAGATCTCCCCTATCCCCTTAGCAAGGCCTGATACTCAGGCTACTTCCCTCCTTCCTCCCCCCAGAAATGCCTGATACTCAGGCTAGGAAGGGGCCAATTTGATACAACTTTTACAAATTCAAATAGTGTGGTTTTGTTTCCAACTTCTGAAACGAAAGGACAAGATTACAATTTTTAGTATTAAATTTGCCCCAGTACAGAACCCTTTCAGGTGTGTTGTAGGCCGCATCAGATCAGGGTACGATTCCACCTTCCATAAAACATTACAGAATGCGTGAAAGAGCCGAACACCCTGTCGTCGAAATCCACATCTGTGAGTCAAATCATCGTTGTAGCTAAGGCCTAAATGGAGAAATAGAGGATAAAATAACAAAAACGACCGCGATTTCTTTGGCAGCCATATTTGTTGGCAAGGCCACGTTTAGTTTTGTTGAGAATCTTCGGGCACTAACTGTATGAATGTGGGCTCGAATATCGATAGATTGGAGACTAGTCTTCCCAAAGAAAACCCAAGCTCAGAGGCGAGTGAAAAAAAGCCTCATGTTGCTTCCTTACTGATACGATGCGATTTTAGCGATTTCTTTTACTCCTGTGTTTCCCCGTTAAAGTGAGAAGTTCATGTAGTCCAGAACCTTCTATTGATCAAACTATTGTAATTCCTAAGGTAATATTTACATTTGTAAACTTCAATTGTTAAAGTTTTATTGAGTTGACGCCATGATACAATACCGTGGGACCTTTCGTGCAGGCCTACACGACAAAGAACCGAAGTCGGTAATCTTTGGTAAACTGTAAGTTTATCGATGAGAAAAAAAATACATCATTCACCAAATTGCACAAAAACAATCTTACCCTGAAGGCCTTAACTGTAATTCAGGAAAAGGAAAGTAAGGAACGGAAGACACTCGAATAAAAATACTAAGGATTCAACATGACTACAAAAATAGAACTTCTAAAGATTATTTCCTTAAACTCTACTACAGCCTTGTGTAACTAGTTAAAAATATTAGTACTTCCCTTGCAATTATGAGTACTGTAAAACCCTGACCCCTGACTATATTGATCTGCCTTAACTTAATCAGTTTTATTTTGCAACCGCACGTTTTCCCACAATAAAGGAGGTTGAGGCGTGCAGTTACGTCTAGGGGAAGATGCGTCATTGATACTAATTAAACTTAGTATTAGTCTGTTGTGAAATGTTAGGCGTTCTAATATTTTTCGTAAATCGTAATAAAATTTTAAATAAATATATAATTTAACAATTTATTATCGCAGACAGTCAATTTCTATAAAGACGCTTAAAAAATGTACAACACCGTGAAACTTTCTGAAGCCAAGGTGCGATGTACGTCTGATATATGTTGCTATGCTTATTAATAGCCTATTGCTTTTTCAAATAACCTGTTTAATTCCTGTCGCGGTCTGAACATCTTACGCCAAGATCAAACGTCGAACTTTTCATGTACCGAGCCAAGTCCCTTCAATTAAGTACAAGAAAAAATCAACGTTTTGATCAGTGAGATCCGACATGTAAAATGTGGGTCGACTCATGAATAAAGACCCATCCACACTATTAACGCGTTTTCGTTTTAACACGCAAATATTTCGATGCGTTTAGACCTTCCGTCCACACTAATTCGCTGAGCGTTTTCATCGAAAACGCACCTGTCAAAACATGGTATCCGCTGACCAGCGTCGCCTGAACTCATCGAGGTCACGTGTTTTTGAAGTTTTACACTGAACAGTTGCTGGCTTATAATGGTTCGCGGGCTCAAGTTTTTGTTTCTCAGTTATATCGTTCTCCCCTAAAATTAAGTATAGATCTGTAGATGTCTGCAATGCTTTAAAGTCCATTGTAAGAAGAAAATTCAAAATGCATCAACGGAAGCTTCGCTTTTAGCTCTAGCTATTATACTTTGACTGGTAAGCATTGTAGGTCATTGTACGTCGTGAAAGTTCAACGTTTGAAAATCAATCGAACAATTTATATCATTCAGGTCCACCTAAATAGGAATTAAGTCTCGTACATGAAAATTTTGATGTTTGAGCTGAGCCTAACACTCTATTTATTATCCCCCCCCCCCCCCCCCCCCCCACTAACACACACACACGCACCGCACTACCCGAAGGACTCTGTACAACCTTAAATATACAACCGGCTAATGCGTGTCACGTGTCCAAATCCTTCATGTACAGTCTACTCACTACAATCCAAATAATCGTCCCTCAGATTTTAATTGACGCAAAAACATACGCACTGTCAACTGTTGTTCCTTTAAGCCTTCACGTTGGGTTGGACGCTTAACGATGAAAGTTAAAAGTCGGGATAAAAGTCTGCCCTTTAAAAAGGGCCGAAATATTCCGGCTTTTAAGAAAACTAAATAAACGCTGACCACTGATCTAAAAACGAACCTTTTTCCGCAAGGTATGTTTAACTTCTGGCATTTGTTTAAAGACTTTGATTTCATTCTTGTTCCCCACCGATGGTATGTTGGCTTCCATGTTACTGACTTTCTGGTTGACTACTGTTAAAATATCTAGAAGGTGGTCATAAACAGCACGTTCACGTAATGCCTCAACTAGGCCGCGAACATAGAAGCTTCCAAGAGCCTCATGCCTGTACGATACATACTTATCGACTGTGGAAAATGCGTACAGAAAATCTGCATGTGTGGGTACTTTGGATGCAGGTTTCTTCACTGCGTCGATGGGGGAATCAACTTGGTTGGGACCAAGCAGTTCGTAAGATGAAATAGTGGTATTAGCGGCAACAGACACCCCCTCGTCTTCTCCCTCACCTCTGCATGCCTGGATGAAAAACAGCTTTGGCTTTCCGCTTAGCGTATCGCAATTGCTGAACATATCATGAAGAGTCTGAATAGGTATCGTGTCACCGTCAGAACAGAACACCTCACCACTCCTGCCATGACTCATGAGCCACAGCACAAAACAATCATAAGCACTGTGATCCTCACGGGCGATGTAGTAAAGTTCGTCTAAGAGTTGTAGTCTTGAAAGGTTCTCTTTCGTTCGTACTGAAAAATCGAGAGCAGTAAACAACGCTTCAACTTGACGAACATCTTCTTTCGACCCGTGACGAGGTGACTGTTGTCCATGTTTAGCATGATGAGCAAAAGATGCGTTATTAATGATCAGCGTTATTCCCCTTGGTCGAGCTGTCATGTTGTAAACATCATCCGTACCAGGGTGATAACCTGGACAGACAACTGTGCGGCAAAAAAAGAGAAAGTTACAACGATTAAAATGTCTGTGCTGTCTATTCCTGACCTGACTGTAAAATAGATATGTATAAACAAAAACTGTACTACGTTGGACTATAGCAGTTAGCAATAAAAAGAAATGATGTCCATCGGCCATTTTAAAGAGAATTGTAAAATGTTAGCATACCTATTCATAAGGATTATAGGGTAAAATATTAACAAAGAAGCGAATAGGCGTCCCGTTATATCAACCCCTTTTTTGGCCCAAACTAAAAGTCCAGGTAGCCATTCCCTTAATCTTTGACGTCGCCTTGGTAAATACGAGGAAGGTGAGAGGATAAGCGCAGTTGGTGCACAGCCTTCTGTGGGGGAAGTCCCGAGTTCGATTCCCAGGTGTGACCACAAATCCTTCTTTCGACTTCTTTCCTTTCTGTGTGGCTTTAAGTAGCTTTAAATACCCGTAAAACGGAGCATTGATGGAGAGAGGGGGAAGAGGGCAAAGTGAGCGCACCGTCGGTCCCAAGTTTTTGTCAGTCAGTTGCAATGAATAATTTCGAGCTACCAAATTAAAATATTAAAGGACTCTTTACCTTTTAACCTTTAAATACGACCGCCCCGTCAGTTGCGACCAATTAACGAGCACTTTTAGTTTCTAGTCGTTGTTTATCCTCTAACACGACTGGTCGATGCCTGGCCCAAAAACTTTTCCCTAAACTAGCAAAAGTGTAGTGTCTGGTTGGCAAGTGAAGTTACTTTGAAGTAAATATTAATAATTTCACCAATTTTATCGTTGGTGAATATTACTTTCGTCTGAAATAACTATAAGGGCTGATTTCTTTTTCCTACACTTGTAAATTTACCATTAAGTATCAAGTTATCTAACCTTTGGCTGCAAACCATTTTTCCAGCCCGAAAACCGTCGGGACTTTAACGTCTACGTTACTTGGACAATGGCTGAGTTGCCCTTCTTCGAGAACCTTAAGAAGGCACAGGCAGTCCTCGTGGTGACATGAAACAACATCGTGATAAGAACACATTTCTTCCTTCCGCAGACAGCCAGGACACACAACACAAAAATCATACTTCAATTTGCCCAACCAGGGGAGTTCACGTCTAAAGTCCTGTACTTTTTCTTCCAAGAACGTTCGCACAAGAATCGCCAATTCTCTTACCTCGGAAAATGATGCTCCGCCGGCTGGCTCTGAATGCGTCAAGATGATCTTAATGAATCGCTTTTTGCACAAAAGAATCAGCTGATAAATTGACTTCTTCTCTATGACAAACCTGGAGGCCGCAAGAAAAAATCTGGGTGGCTGCGTAAATCCACTCTTAGAGCACCATTTGGTGATTCGTGACACAAGCTGCCAGAAGAAACCGTGAGGAACAAAACCCCCCAGAAAATGCAGGTACAATGGACATGGATCTGACGGTGATGGCTCCATGTCACAAAGGGCGTCAGGTGGCGTCTTCAGTTGACAGGGTACAAAGTACATTTCATTTGTTGGCGAGGTGGCAAATTTGACGATCAATCCGAACTGCTCCATCATGTTCAGGATATCCTCCTTGATCAGGCCTTGCTGCTGGCAGTGCATGGAGAACACATGATCAACCAACTCCATGTGGAGGGCACCTGTCGTCTCCATTTCCTTCCAAAACTTGGAATGTTTCGGTTCCTATAACAAAACCGAAAGAAGGCAATTCTTCAGAACGTCAAATTTATTACTGAACAAACTCAGGATCTTTTTTTTTTTTTTTCAGGTACTACAACAGAAGAAATATAAAAGGATTTAAATAAAGTACATGGTTGAAAAAGAAAACTAGTATTAAAACAATCAGTCTGGATCAGGAAAAACATTTGGCGGTGAAGTAAGTTCCTAAAGAACTTTAAGAGGAGGGCTTCGAAAGTACAATCCCATAATAGTTTGAGAGGTAATAAAAAGCTTCAGATAACGTACTAACATGATGCATTAATAAATGTATATGATCCGAAGCTTCCAAACTATTACGGGATGGTTGGAAGCAGATGACTAAAATCACTGGTCGAGGCAGGTCGGCGAAGGAATATCACAAGGGCTTTTGTTTACTTGTTTGTTTGTTTTAGTTTTTTTGTGAAGTAAATACACTTTTTCCGCTGAAACACATTAATAAAGTTGACGTCATAAATAAGAAGTTTTGTCGTATAGGTAAGCTAAAACTCGTATGTCACATAAAATCACTAAACTGCAATGAAGTTATGTTTCGGATATGTTGTCTGCAGCTTTGCTAAATACAAACATTTAATTGTCCCTGCTAGGGTTCCCTAATATTTAGCCAGTTTTATGACTGCACATATCAACAAAGAAAATCCATCACGAAAACGCCGAGTTGGTCTTAGTGGGTGTGATATTATCAAAACATGATAATCATCATTAAGGTAAATGAATCCGCCACAGTTTTTCTGCGGCAATGGTGATGCAGAGAATTTATAACAGGGTGGGATGGTGTTCTCCGTGGAGGGCACTTATACACTTGAATGTGCTTCACTTACCATTTCGTTAAAAGAACGAATGGTTATAAGTTGCCTGATGACCTCAATGAGCCACTGAGCCCGAAGCACAACTGTGTTGCGTTGTCTGACAATCATGCCGAGGTCATGATAGAAATCCAACAAAGTGGCGACCTCATCTTCGTCTTCAATAAAGCAAACTTTCTGGATAATACCTTGAAGTTGTTCGAGGTTTAAATAATGTACCTTTTCAGCAATCAAAGCTTGGACAACCTTCTCGAAATTAAACCATCTGGTAAAAAAAATAGAAAAAAACAAAAGCTTAAAGACGAAGTTTAAGCATCACTTAAAGATTGATCTCTTCTACTAAATTAAGCAAATAAAATACAGTTATACCAGTTGACACAAACTTGAAATCTAATCCTCAAAACCAGTGCAAATTAGCCTGCGAATAAAGCCTTCTCTTCTCACTGAAATCGCCGCTATGGACGTTTCGTTTCTCTCTTAAGAAACGTCCCCAGCCGCGCTGAGGAGCGATAAGAGACGGCTTTGTTCGCAGGCTAGGTGCAAAATGGATATCGCGGCACCGTATAATCGCTGGTATTTAAGGAAACGGGTTTTGCCGCCATTTACAACACGTTTTTTCCCTTATTCATTATTCAATATTCGCTGCGTATAATAAACGAGGACTTACTAGCGAAAGGATTAAGTGTCAGTTTAAGTATCAATAAAAGTTGCGAGTGTATCTGGTGCAAAAATTAGACCTTGCGTGTCCTTTCCAGCGCTCGGCATAAATCCGAATGTCACCTCGGCATATTCATAAGTGTGCTGGAACTGCTGGATGAGACCTGAAAATATATTCTTCGTGACGTCAACTTCTTCCGTACTCTGATAGATTAGCAGGTGATGACCAAGTTATTATATTGTATAACATAAGCTAAGCGGTTTTCCACCCTATCCTAAACGAGGCGGTTAGAGCTGAAGATTTTGCATGACGTCACGGCGTCCATACTGGTGTTTCTAAACAATGAAACGGCTGCCATGTTGATGTGCCAAACCACTTCTGTGGAAGCTGAACTCTTTTCGTATGCTTTCGCTTTCGTTTGTGCCAATAAATTTGCATAAACGCTGGCCACGTGAGTGAAAACGCACTATAAACCAGCCTGTTCCAGACGTTCAGATTTTGGAGAGGGCGCAATATCTAAAAACGGCCGTTTTTTGGTGAGCGCTTTCAGCTATGTTGAAGGTCTGAGTACGGATGAATCGCATCCTGGTATCCTATTCATGCTGTCTTAGTCTGTCCTGCATAGATCTCCATTTTTCCCGGATTTAGATTCAGTTGCCGCACTCTTTCAATTTTGCAAGACAACAAGGCCCATGGAGTCTACTCATCTCCTAATTGGCAAAAAGGATCATTTTCGTACCGCTAGCCACGATTTTTAAACAATCTATTTGCTTAGGGATTTTTCCATCTAAACTAAAGTGTGCTAAGATTATTCCAGTATTTAAGGACGAAGATGACACTCTGCCCGAAAACTACCGGCCTACATCACTGCTCTCGATTTATGACAGGATATTTGAAAAACTTATGAACTCCAGACTTACTACGTTTGTCAAAGATTGCAACATTCTCTAAGATCAGCAATAAGGCTTTTGCAGTAAGCAAAGTACTAATTATGCTATACTTGACATTGTTAACACTGTTCTCCAAAATATGGACAACGGTAAATTTTCGCGCGGTGTTTTCATCGATCTCAAGAAGACTTTTAATACTGTTAACCATGAGATTTTGTTAGCTAAACTTGAAAATTATGGTATTAGAGGTGTAATCAACTCCTGGTTCGATCATACCTGACTAATCGAAAGCAAACTTCGGAAGTCAATAACGTTGTGACTTAGGCTGAGACGACCTTGTGCGGCGTGCCACAAGGCTCAGTCCTCGGATCGCTCTTATGCCTACTTTACATCAATGATATTTACAAATCCTATTCGTTATTTGCCTTTTATCTATTTGCTGACGATACCAGTAGTAATACTTGCAAATAACAACTTAAAGGAACTCGAATCACTTGCTAATCGAGAGCTTGGGAACGTCAACGAATGGCTAAATGCAAACAAACTGTCTTTGAACATGAAGAAATCAAACTTTGTAATCTTTCGTCCAAGGCAAAAGAATATGCCCTTCATACCTAGGATTAGAATTCTTGACTCCATGACTAACGCCTACCCAAGCCTTGAAATGAAAGACTATGTAAAATATCTTGGCTTAATGATTGATTCAAATCTTTCATGGAAATATCACATAGAATCTATCTGTCACAAAATCACAAAGTCGATAGGAATTATAGCTAAGATTCGATATTTCGTCCCGCCTCGTGTTTTACTTACAACTCATTAATTGGCCCCTACTTAACTTTTGGTATCTGTGGTTGGGGAAACTGTGCCTTGACATTTCAAAGAAAGGTCGTAACTCTCCGTACCCTTCTTTCTCAAATCGAATTGCGTTCCCCTTCCTAGCCTATTTTTTCAGAGATTGTAGCTATTTATTGTAGGATATCAATAGACAGACAGCACCAGTTAGTATACTCAATCAATTTGTTAAAACAAGTCAGATTCATAACTAGAAAACAATATCTGTCTCTAGCGACTCGTTTTATGTTAAGTTCTCTGGAACCGATAACGTGTATACCTTTTTCACGAGAATCGGTTCCGAAATTTGGAACTCTATTCCTCATTCGATTAAAATGCGTCTTTTCGTAAAAAGATAAAGGAATTACTACTAAATTTCTTGCTGTCAGAAGATGATGAAGTCTCCCGTCTCTCTTCGTAATCCTTGGGTACTTGCTTTGTTTTATGTTACTTTATTATATTTATTATTTAGTAGTGTCTTTACTGTTATTATATAGTCCATCTATAGATAAACCTTTTACTTGTAATATGTCTTGAGCTCCCCTCGCCTCGACTGGTTCATAAGCTATTTGCGTGTGGGAAAGAAATGTAATTAGTTATAGTATATCCAATTTTCAATAAAATTTGTTGTTGTTGTTGTTGTTGTTGTACTCGCAGGAAATCGTTTAAAACGTCTTTTTAAGCCGGAACGACTAACTATTATCTACTTTAGAACGAGGTAGATTTTATTTATCGTGACCCACTACTGTTATAGTACTACCGTAGGGTGAAGGGCCGCCTGTAAGAAATAATGTGGAGCAAGAGTTTTTCTTGACTAAAAACTTACCTAATTGGTACCTCCTCTCCCATGTATGGTTCTTGTTTTAAGACTTCAATCATTCGTTTCTGAAGTGCGACAACTCCGTCATCAGATGAACCTTGGGTATTATCGACTGAAAAGAACGGACGGACAACATGACTTTCATAGTCCTTTCCACTTATTTCTCTTTGAATCTGCAATTCCATTTCCTTGATGTCTTGATGTGGTTCATCTGCATGTGTTCCTACAATAAACACTGGAGGGCGACAGTAAGGCAGATCCTCCAATTTTGTTGTCCTTTCACTCACGTCTGGTTTTAATGAACACATAGAACTGAGAGACACCAGCCACGACAACAAATTTTCCAAATTGCTTTCGTTATTTGGATTAGCGAGAAGAATTTCATGGACTCCTTGTCGCAAACAAGGCTGAGCGGTTTCCTTTAATCCTTTGCTGAGGTTGTACACGAGCATATAAACTGCTCGCGTCGATAAAAAAACTGGGTAAGATGCATAGTAAAGATGTTGACCAGCGAAGTCTCACAGATCAAGGGTGATGTGATGTTCAACTGCTGTTGTTTCACTTTGAAGGTCTAAGTCTTTCAAATGTTGAACAAGATGGTCCATAAATTCTTCTGGAGGCAAACTGGGATCGATTTTTAAGTCAGTTGGGACGGCTGTATTTGCTTCCTTTTCGTCGGCTTTACCAGATGCACCCTAAAACGATTTTTAAAAGGTCAAAATGCTACTCTCAAACGCGACAGAACAAGAATAGGCGAAAGGCGAATTTCACTGGGCTGCCAAGGGCGATATTTCCTGGGGGAGGGGTCGCTGTACACGTCCACACATTCAGGCCACCACATAATCTTGTTGCTGACCATTGCGTGACACAGCATCTCATGTGAGAGTTAAACCTAAATTCATTTGAACATTGTATCCTATTGGAAGACTTTCGTAACAAGAAAAATGAGTGCCATTTTTAAGTCAGGGCTGTATAGTAACTTTTCAAATTCCAGCATTATGACTAAACATAAGCAAGTCAGCCATTCTGGCAGGAAACAATGAGCGTTATTTTCACGCACCACTCCCCAATCCCTCTGTCCACCGAACCAGCTTTATATATATTACGCGCGCACTGACTAAAAATAACTGTCGCTTGGGTTAGACAGAGAATTGTGGGTAGGGGCGTAAAATACTCGTTTTACTGTAGCTGTTATTTTTCAAGCTCATCCCCTAGGCTTTTCCCATAGAAGAAAAGAAGCCCAGGTGATGAGGTTGCATTGACTATATTTTGGACATTTCCAGGAAGAATTTTTAACAATTATTCTTCCAGCCCAAATGGGCTTCATTTTCTACAAAGTAGTCTGTGTAACTGAATCACGCTCATTCGGTTATGGTTCTTGAGATCTCGCCCATTGCAGAAAATATTTGTAAATGTTGTCTACGACCCTACAGAAATATGAAGTCAAAAGCGGCACAAGGTTACATACTGGCGGTAACGGGCAGGTGAAGTGGAATCGATTGAGCGATTTACACTTGCTAATCCTTACAATTGAGTCAACTGTGAGAAAGGAGTTTCCACTGGGAGTGAAGCGCTGATCTGCCATGTTTACACTCGCTCCAACAAGGATGTCTCTTCATGCCCCTCTCCTGGAACAAAATATAAACTCACGGGGGGGGGGGTTAAACTGACCTGATTCATTTGAGAGTTAAAGAGGGTTGGTTTCTCTTCCATAAATAGCTCCATACTTGTTTCTTGTTCCTGAAGTTCTCGAGGATCGTCAAATCCAAACTACAAGATAAGCCCATAAAGACAAACCTATTTAATAGGAACCAATTGTATCCAAAATCTTTTAAAGGCTCTTCTTGGAAAATCGAGAAATCACAAAAAAAAAGGCGCGGCCGCGCAGTTGTTGCTTAATGTCATACGTGTTCGTTGGGGGATTCGGTACAAGTCGTGTATTACCAACACAAGGCCCTCAAAGTCTGAAAGCGCACACCGAGAAAAATCCTCACGTTTGGTGTTTATCTGGCCAATATGGCATGAGATACAGCAAACAAAAAAGCGCAAAAAAAATTTACTAAAGGTACTTGCAAACAGACGCAACAACTCCCAACAATGTTGGGAGTTGTTGCGTCCGTTTTCACGCAGCTCAACGTTTGACCAGTTTCAAACTTTGCGCAACAACTCCCAACAACATGCAACAGGGTGTGCAAACGGATGCAACATGTAACATCCAACAATGTCGCGTCCGTTTGCACGGGGCTTTAGAGATATATAGACGTCCGGACAATGTATCCGGCAATTTATATATATCTTACTAAATTTTTGCGAATTTGAATGGTTGTATCCAGATTAAAACCACATTTGAGGATTTTGTAAGGCTGGCTGTGTTCTTTGCGATTGTTGATAATCCCTTATATGTGCACTAGTACTTAGTCCCCTCCGTATGAAATCCGGCAATTAAAAAAAAGGGCCTTCCGATAATTACCAAGTCAACGACGCTTTGTTTTCGTTACATGCAGTACGAGCCTGAGAATGTTTTGTTTGTTAGCCTGGAGTTGCTTTTCAAGTACCACAAGGAACATGTGCTGTGTGCATTAGTGGCTAAACTTCTCTGAAATATTCCTCATCATATCCTGCCACTGCGGTGCTCATTTAAACACTTAGTCAATAGCCCTCTTTCGATATATTAAAATTCTAAGATGACTCCGAGGCTTTAGGGATTTAGGGTCAAAATTGTAAATTTTTCACGACCCCATATGCATTGTCTCGCAATTTCCAGAAGAGACTTGAGCACAAAGAAAATCAAACCAAAATAATATAGAAAAATAACCAGAAAGCCTCAGATTCATCAGCTAAGTCATGTTAGAATTTTAATATACCGAACGTGGGCTATTTACTTTTAGTACAATCCAACTAGTGGTCTATTAGCAATGCTGCATTCTGATTGGTTGAGCTACTACCAGGCTATATGTTATAGCCCACTAGTATCGAAAAGCGTGGGATTTTTGGCGGCAAAAAAGGATTAAAGTCTAGCTTTCAATAGCTAATTTTTTTTTCTTCTCCATATTTTTTAACAACTAGTTAGATTTTACTAAAACAATTATTCCTCTCGCCCTCATGGCCTCTGATTCGGCCGGACTCGAGGAATAATTGTTAATTAAGCGACCGCTGGACTAAGGACTGCGGAAGCATGACATTTACACACAATTATAGACAATTTTAAATTTAGCGACTACGTAGCCTAAATATCAGGTGTTTCAGGGGAAAGGGGAAGAGACTGAGAAGCAGAAAGCAACCTCGTTCCCATCTCCCTCCCCTAACCCCTTAAGATAGGTCTGATACTCAAGCAAGCGACTACGGGGCTAGGAACCGCGGTAGCAGTAAGTTTAACCCGAGAGCTAGGTATTCTGAAGTTACTCCTCTTTGGTTTACCTGGACTAGATTAACATTTCCCTCGTTTTCGATTTCGTTGTCTTCGCCATTGATTTCCTCATCTCCTTCTTCTTCGTCGTCGGCATTCTCTTGGAGTTCTCTAGCCACCATCCTTGCAAGATCAGCGGCAAATTGAGAAACTTCCAACTTTTCATCGGTGCGTTTCCAGTTCTTTACTAGATCAGTGTCTACTTCGAATTTCGAGGGGTCAACTTCGATTCCGTCAGTACGTTCTTCCTCAGGGTCAAATGGCAGCCCTAAGAAGGACTTCTTCAAACTTGTCTTTCCCGCACGATCTTGACCTATCAGCATGATTCGGGTTCGATACACCTTTACTTTTCCAGTCTTCAAAGCATTTTCATACGCAATCTGTGCTCCTGGTCCTCGTGCTTTGATCTCGCTCGGAACTAGATATAAAAAACACTTGTAATATAGTTTTACGTCACAGATGTTTTGGATAGTAATTGTATGAAAGGGTAGAGCAAAAGGCAAAAGAAAGAAAGATAACGCTAAGAACATCTATTGTTTTTAGATACCTTTTGTTGCCATTCGTCTAGATTTAAAATCGTATTCAGTTTACCCATAAAAGTGTCCACGAGCAAAGTCTTTTTTAAAACAGTTTAGCAGTTTTACAGTTTTAGCATTTAAAAATGCTGGAGTTAGACAGCTCTTACTAGCATTTGCACCACAGCGATTTATTTTCTCCGTTTCCGATTGGCTCAATATTTTTTTTCATATCCAGCTACCGTTGACCAAATTTGAAAGACGTTTGCAGATATCGGTACAATTGTCACCGATTGTGCAGATTACTATACATGGTACTCATTATCTGTCTTCTCATTGGCTACTTGAAAAGCCCACAGCTAATGATTTCCGATAGAAATATCAATTCAAGTTCCTTGCAAATTTGTTTGTCGTTATTTTCTTTACAACAATGTATAATAAAACAATTATTAGATTCGGTTTTTGTGATATCCTAAATAATCAAAGTCTAGGTAAGTGTTATCAGCCTCGGCCTTCGGCTCGGCTGATAAAACGTACCTCGACCTTGATTATTCCGGATATCACAATAACCTTATCAAATAATTGTTTAATATCGACAGAAAAAGGGATAGCAGAAGGCGCCGTAGCTCAGTTGTTTTTGCAGCGAGGGAAAAAAAAGACGGAAGATTTCACACGTTGTGCAAAGAGGAAATAGCCGAGTTTCTGCCTAAAACAAAGCAAGACCAGCATAAATACCACTGAACGGGTGTCAACAGCTTTTTTTAAAATGTTTGTCATATAAACTGGTAAATGCCCTTCATACTCTGAAACTGCCGAGAAACAGGCAAATGTTCAACATCATTCCTTCTCGTCCCACTTTCTAAAGGAAACAGAGGAAGCGGCTGGGGACGAGGCTGGCAAATGTTATAATAATAATAATAATAATAATAATAATTTATTAACACTTCTGGGAGTTAAAAACGGAATAAACTTAAGAATTTGTTCATGCTTAGCGTGCGTATATCGAGTTATGGATGCACGCGGGAAGTTTGGAGAGCACGAAAGATGCGTAAGAGTTGCACGAGGCGACAGCCGAGTGCAACTCTAGCTTCTTGAGTGCTCTCCAAACTTCCCAAGTGCATCCATAACTCGATATACGCACAGCTAAAAGCATGAGCAAATTCTTTTATAACATAGCTGACAAAAATGCTTGCTTTTTGATTAACTACAAAATTCTCGTAACGCGCTACACAATAACAAACGCTTCTATTGGCTGATTACGAAAACACCACAATCATCTAGTTTGAATGAAAATATTCTTTCTATAGCTTTTCTGTAAAACTGAGAAAGAAAATTTGCTTCTTTATTCGTTAACGATCAATGGAAACTAAGCAGAAACAAAGGTAAAAGAGTCTTAAAGTTCACCTAAAGTTAAAATACTAACATCTTCGTAAGAAGTCGTGGAGTATGGTTTGGATTTGCTGAAAAGATGTTTACGTTTTGCTCGAAATCCAGAAAACATGTTTTTAGTGAAGACAACTGTCATCCTTCTTTAAACTCATATTCATTTACAAACATTGGCTGGTCATTACGGCTTCTTGAGAAGACCTGGCAGCAGTTGTTTTTGTGAGTAATAAATTTACGTCTTCTTGTGTAATTTGTGTTGTTATTGCGAGAGAAATCTTCCTGCCTCAGTCGGATTGTCCAGAGATAAAAAAAGTGCATAACAAATTTAAAAACAACAATAAAAACGGAAATTTAACCTCTTAATGTTGTTGATGACCAGTTGGTGTCTGTTCTGTTCCCAGTGAATGTTTATCGGCCAAAATGTGCTGCAGCTGGTCTTCCGACAAATTTGCGAAACGCGCAACAAGTGAGTTTGTTTTAATTCGGCTCTATTTTTGCTGCTTGTTGGATCAGGACCTAAAAGGTCAATGCCGATAGAAAAATTGGGCAGTTCTTCGCTGGTTTCTTCGATATTTTAAAGAGAAGGAAAACTGCATTGCAGCTTAACAGACGACAACTCTGCAGCCAGGTAAAAAAAAAATGCTTACGTCATCTTATTTACGCACGGGCGTGCGTAAATAGGGCAAGCACGCGCGCTATGTTATAAAGTGCAATTTACAATTGGATAGTAATAATTAAGTCTATTTACAATAATAAGTATAGCGAAGTATAACAATAATAGTTGGAATCAAGAAAACCTAAAAGTAAAAAAGTCATTTGCTCTTTTTGTCCTTTTCATCGTTGTAGTGGTTTTAGTATTTCCTGATCTAAACCTTTTTCAAATACTCATTATAATACTATTTTATGATGGAATACAGTACACTGAATTTGTCCAAATGGTACAGCTGCAGGATTAGAATTCCCAGCGATAAAATTATCACATTTAATATTCTCGCATCATTTGAACATCGGCTTCTACACTTTTCTTTATTCACGAAGTATTTAGTTCATTTTTTCTGCTTACGTTATAGGCCAAAATGAAATTACGTGTACATTGTTCATTTATTCGACAAAATAAACCCCTTGGTAAAGCTGGATGAAGGAACTCGGCTTGTTTATCGCGCGCAAGCTGTCCATCGTATTAATTTGTTCTTATTTTAAGAATGTGGAGTGGACTAAAGATGACGATTTTCAGCTTGCTAAAGAAATTCTTGTAATTTAACGTTACTGCTTCAGGCCCAGAACTGTGTAAGCTCGATTACCAGCCGCAATACGTAGATTGCAAATAGGCTCAATGAAGCGACGAACATTCTCTTTCGAGTAACAAAGCGCTCAACTAGATTTCACTGTACAAGAGAACCAATTCCTCACCTGATATGACACCATCATATAAAAGTATACCAAAATCTCTCGGATCTCTTTCAGGGAACTCATTCTCTCGAACCTTCAATTGCAATAAAGTTGAAAAAAACGTCTTCGACCGTCACCTCTACTGAAACTTATTGTTTCTCTCGCCTAGTCAACGTCGTCCCTCCCCAAGCCGCCGCCGCCAAAGTCACCGTACTCTATGTCGCCGTCCACCCACACTTAAGGTCAGCAATGCTAGCTGGACGAACCATGTACGGACAGAATTTTACTTGTTCTAGCACTTGTTTGTTTCATGATGTGTGTGAAAGGAATTCTCGTACATCTTTTGATAATTTCAGTTGCATCGTAGCTTGTTGTCTGTAATAGTTTCAAGATATTTTTTTGTTCAATTTCAGCGGGTCCTCCTGATAAATGCTCTTCATATTTAAATCATTTTAAAAGTAGTTTCTAAAAGGACTTAACAAAAACATTACATTGAGTCATCCTTACCGTGCTCAACTGTGTGAGTCGAGTGGTACGACCAATCTAGAACAATATGTGCTTCTTCTTCCAATTGCTTATTTTTTACTGCCTTGGCAATTTGGAGCGCTTGTTTGCTGTATTCAACGCTTTCTTTAAATTTGGACAGCAAACGGTACAACCGGCCTAGAAGAATGCATGCCTCTGCTTCCAGTTCACCATTTTGCACCTCCTTGGCCATTTCCAGTGACTTTTTGCTGTAAAATTCGCATTGTTCATAGCTTTTATTCGCATTATGCGACCAGGCTAAAACACAGCATGCTTTTGCTTGCAGTTCCCCATTGTTAACTTCCCGAGCAATCCTCAGTGATTTTTTGCTGTATGCTATGCTTTCTCTTAATTCGTGAACCCTGTAACATGACCAAGCTAGAGCACAGAATGCTGCTGCTTGCAGCTCCCTATTTCTCACATCTTGGGCAATTTTCAGTGATTCTCTGCTGTGTGATTTGCTGTTTTTGTAGTCTTTAGTCGCATCATTCGACCAAGCTAAAGCATAACAAGCTTTTGCATACAGCTCTCCATTATTCACTTTCCTGGCAATATTCAGTAAACGGTTGCTGAATCTTTTGCTTTGTTCATAGTCTCCAAACATATAATACGACCAGCTCAGAATATGGTACGCTTTTGCTTCCAGTTCCATATTTTTCACTTCCTTGGCAATATGCAGTAATTGATTGCAATATCTTTCGCTTTCTTTATAGTCACCAACTTTATGACATGACCATGCTAGTACGTGACAAGCTTCTGCCTCCAGTTCCCCATTTCTAATTTCCCTGGCAATACTTAATGATTGTCCACCATATTCTTGGCTATTTTTATGTTCTTTAGTCTCGTAATACGACCAAGCTAGAAAATGACACGCTTTTGCTTGTAGTTCCTTATTTCCTACTTCCTTGGCGATACTCAAAGACTGTTTGCCGTATTCTCTGCTTGGTTTATAGAATGCAACCTCGTAAAACGACCAAGCAAGAACGCGGCACGCTTTTGCCTCCAGTTCCTTACTTCCCAATTCCGTGGCAATTCTCGCTGATTGTTTGCCGTATTCTTGGCTTTCTTTATAGTCTCCAGCATTATAATAAGACCAGCTTAGGTTATAGTACAATAATGCTTCCTGCTTTTTATCTCCCACTTCCTTGGCAATATCTAATGATCGTTTTCCAAAGGTAATACTTTGTTTATACTCCTTGACTTCATAATAAGAGTCGCATAGAACCTCGCACGCCTTTGCTATTTCCATCTTATTTCCCATTTCTTTGGCAATGCAGAGCCCTTCATTGGCAGCATCTATGCATTCCTTAAATTTCCCTCGTGTTTTTAAGCCTTCAGCTTTCTTGATCTTTCTAATGGCATTCGTTACACCTTTCATACTCATCTTTTTCCCTGCTCCTGATATCATCTCTAAAAAATGCTTTAAACTGCTGAAAAACAAATTATAATAACAGTTATATTCACGCATCCGTTTTCGACCACGTTTTCATCGAGAGGAACAGGGGCTAGTTGTTTATTACCTGTGAGGCTCGTGCCTGCCATTTTGAGGAAGCTTATTAGAAGATTTTCAAACGGACCCCCCAATTGTTCATAGCTTTTTAGAAATTATCTCCCATAAATTGTACATATTGTGAAAGTGACCCCCTCCCCGCCTGACTGCGGTGGAAACTACAGTGAATATTCTTGCTACAAATCCTGCCGAAGCTCACCACATACTTTATCTACAATCGGTCTTGACTATTTACGGCTGTTCAAGAGAGGATAGAGCTTTATTCTCTCTTCAGCTGTTACATTCAATTTCAATTCATACTCATCACTGCATTGTACTACTTTGATGAAATGTATAAAATGACCCCCAGGAAACGCTCACTTATCTGAAAATGACCCCCCAAAACCAATCAAGAATTTGAAAATGACCCCCAGCAAAATGGCCGGCCCCACCTCACAGGTAATAAACGACCAGGCCCCTGTTCCTGGAAGGCCGATCAGGGCTAATCCAGACCTAATTCCTATGTATTACCTAGAGTAAAATTCATTGTTATCATTACAGAATCTCGGAGTTAAGACACAAAAAAAGTATTTTGTAAGCTCGAGTGACATGTTCTTAGACAAGAAAATCTGGCTTAAAATTTGGCTTAATCCTGATTCCATCTTTCGAGGAACCGGGCCCAGCCGCTAAGATAGACACATGCTTTTGTTTAGTTGCGCTAGTGGAGGTGTACGTCACAACAGTCATCGTGGCACTTAACGAGAAAATTCGCTTAATGAAAAAAATATATATATTTCCTTCGTGTCGTTGTTGGTGAACTCCAACCAATATATAGATTTAGCCAGGGCTAAAAGCGAGGTTCTCGATAATATTTATAGTTTGCTCAAACAAAGTATAAAATCGTGTAATGCTAAGCGGCGAAGGCAACGCCGGAGAACGGTGAAAAGCAACAATAGGTCAAATTAGCAAAAAAGCAACTTTTCACGGGCAGCACACTTTTTTTGTACATTTCTTTGCCGCTGTTTTGCACTACTACAACGTGAAACTTCCAGAAACTTAACACTGCATGAAATAAGTAATTTAGTGGAATTTACAGGGCCACGATACTCCCATGGCACTTAGCAAATCGTATACCGACACGCGAGGTGTCATGAAACGCGGCGTTTCAGAGAGTGTCCGTGTCCCCGATACCTCTGTCGTGAAAAATCAGGACAAATCGTGGCCCGGACACGTCTTCTGCGGTGTGTCAAGAAATATACGAGCTCTGATTCTTAACGATATCAGTTAGCCAAAGCTATGTCGACTTTCGACAGTGAGGTAAAATGGCATGAAAACTGAAATTTAGGAAAAATTAAACTTTAAGTAATAAAAACACAGCTAACTCATTTACGCAAACTTTCCAAGGTACGCCGAGGTTGGTAAAGATTTACGCACTTGGCTTAAAGGTTGAATGAAGGTAACATAAGGTTGCAACAACTTTACGCTCATTCTCTTACGCGAGATATGAAAGTTGAGTAACTGTAAGGTTGCCACGTGCACTCTGGTAGCATAACTCGCTGTTTTCTTGGTTGTTTTTAGCATGACCGAAGTAGTTTTCACGCCGCTAACGATGAGAATCGTTGGCTTGTTGTTTTTGGAGATCGTGTAATTCTGTTCGGGTGACTGGAAGGCATTGTTAACATAAATGGCCTGTCACTTACTCTTGAAAATAATACAGTGTCTTTGTCACAACCAGTTAAACGAAAACAAATTCAAAACAGAGACAACGTGCGTGATAACTATTTCCTCACTTACGATGAACGACAGACGGCATTCTCGAAAAACTATGGCTACTTAATTTCAACGGAGTATTGACTAACTTTCTACAAATACTACGTTGTTTTTTGAACTGCCTTTATCGCTCCCGGGTATCGCCTCTGTCAGGAGAAGAAAAAGGAAGAAAACGTGGAGGTGATACGTTCGAATGAGGCCTGGAAATGAAACAATACAGCAAAGCAACTGGTCAGCGGGTATTCGCTTTGCACATGCTCTTTCAGGTTCCGATTTGGCGTCCATTTTGAAAGTGTGAAATCGATCGTTTCGATCACGCCAACTTGTTTGATTTCCCTCAGAAGTTTGAGTCCATAATTATGCTTCTCGATAGCATCACAGGACATCTGAGGATTGTAACACATTATCATCGAACGTTCAACCTTCAGTTGTCGATAGATCTTAAGAGGCAACCCTTTCGATACAGGAGACTCAGTCAAGCCATAGTTAGTAGAGGGGACTGGTTATGAAAGTCGGCGAGCTTCAAAGAGCGAGACAAAAGAGCCGTCGCTGATGTTGAAAGTACTTGTCACGTGACCGCGACGGTGCACAAACCCAAACAAACTTTCAACGATGGCGGATCGTGGAGACGATCTTTTTTTGTTTGGCGATGATTTTGAGGCGATTTTAGACATCCTTGATGAAGATGAGGTGCTACAGGAACAATTTTCAACTGCTGCCAGTGAAGTAAGTGCAAAATATGTAAAAATTTACACGTGTTTGGTCTATTCGAAGGATTTACGGAGCCACACGCGACTGTACTGTCACGCGAGCAAACAACAGTAAACAAAGAATTTCCCGACGTTTTCAGATGATAATTCCCAAGCTATATTCTAGAAAATTTATAAAACTATATTTAGTTTATTTGGCAGAAGTGCCTTAGATGCTAAAAATTGCCTGGCGTTTGCTTTGTTGAGAAGCGTTTACAGAGAATGCGATTGCAACCTGACAACAAACTCGACACGACACAAATGCCTTCGAAAGACGGCAAGAATCTTAACATTTGATCATATTTAGTGGAGGCAGACTGTAATATGATAGAACAATTTTTTTTTCGTAGGTCCAATCAAGCGAGATCGTGTGCAGCGACTGTGGGAAAAAGTATAAAACAAGAGGAGGATATCAAAGGCACCGAGCTGCAAAACACAGTCCAAATCCGAACGAGCATCGTTTGACTTTGACTTTGACTCCAAGCATTCTAGCTGAGATTGTACGCAATGCTTTAAAGAACATTTATCAAAGAGAAGTGTTTGCAGGAGAACTAAGGGAGGAGTTAAAACAGTATGAGTATGCAGTGCTTGAAGGTTAAAATTGTCACATTTCGAAATAGTTAAACAAAAACTATGTCCGCTTTCAGAAAGAACTTCAGACAGCAGATCAAAGCACCGGTCAAGAGCTGTCGAGAAATATGCAAAAAACACAAATAAAACTCACACAATCAAAGGAATAAGTATACTTACATATTTCGATATCTTCAGGTGCAAAATGCCTCTCACAAGTATAAATTCTGTCGTTCTTTAACTGTTCCCTGAAATTCTGATCCATTTCTCTGGTCTTTTTTATCTCGCCAAGCCATTCGTCTCGCCATTTTCCATGTGCTTCGTCCTTTGCTAAAGGTAGCTTCCAAATACCCATTCCCTTAGTCCTTCTACACGAACCACAGCCAAAGACGGAACAGTTGACTCCCGGCATAACATAAATATATATTTCTTGCACAATAATAAGTATATAGTGCTTAAACACCCGGACAAAACTAACGAATAGCGCACTAATAACAACGAGAGTACTCGATCGATGATTTTGTGTGCACTTTCGCGATCACGTGACAATGCAAAAATCATAACAAAGACATCGCTCTTTGAAGCTCGCCGACTTTCATAACCAGTCCCCTCTACTAACTATGGTCAAGCAGATTGAGAATTTGAACACCGAAGTATACTAAGGATTGTACTACTAAAGCGCTCCAAGACTCAGGATTTTGCTGGAAAATTAGATAGCAAGAAAAGGTAAGCTGCCCTGTTTTCAAACTATTTAAATCATTTTAAGTTTTCAATGAAATCAATGTTTTACAAAGGAGCTGTGGCACGAAATTTATCAAAATTTGAACAGATGAAACCGCCACCATATTGACTGAAACATAAAAATAACTACTCACAACAGTTGAAGAAGGTATAAACAAGACAGCAAAAAAGAAGGAGGCTCAGATAGACAAACTTGAAGAAGATTAAAATGGATTACAATTGCTGGTTTGTACTTGACGTCACAGCAGCCATATTGGTGGTGTGTTAGGGTTAAGAACAAAGAGCATTTCTCTCCTCCGGGAACTAAACCCTATTTTCATGTAAATTTTTCAAAAAAAAAAACATTCTATTTTAATGACCTCCAACACACACCAATATGACCGCCTTGTCACGAGGTTGCAAGCCAAGAATAGAGGTTTTTGAAAACTTGTTGGCCTAAAGTTCATTCTTTTTGCCTGTAACTTTTGATAAAAATGTAATGCTTCGCGACAAATTTGTTTACATGAAACAGTGATGTTGTTATTTTCAAGTAATATTTCTTCACTTACACTAGTTTCTACTGAGAATCGCATAACTGAGTAAAATCTCGCTTTCTGATTGGTTAACGAAACGAGGTATTTAGTGTGGAATTGCGAGTTGAAAACGAGGCTAAGCAATAGTGTTTCGCATCTACATGTAGGTAACAACTATCGTCAAATTCTAACACAACAACTGCAAAAAAGGTTTTCTACAATGTCATTTTAAAATGTTTTTAAAACCATTGTCACCTTTTGAAAAGTTCAAAACAAACAAAAGCGTTTTTATAGTGAGCTGGAGGTTCTTCCTTGTTTTGAACTGAACTACAAATTCTCGAAGAGGCATAAAAAACTTCTTTCGCTCACGACAACGAGAAAACAAGAAAATCTTGTGAACACGGCCCAGAAAATGGCAAGCCAAAGTTCAACCAAACAAAGCAGAGAAGCGACAGTGGAGGAAGTGCCGGGGTCGATTGTCACATATACAGGAGAAGAAATAAATACCTTCAAAGACGACATAGCCCCTCAGTGAAAACACGAAAAAGAGTACGCCGCTTGCAATCGTCCTGAATCGTTATACTTAGAAAAGTACAAAACAGAGCTGAACTTGAACAGCATTTCTAAAACATTTCAAGGTACTTACCATATATCAATCGCAACGTTAAACTTTCAGTGCTTTTGCTTGGACACTTCATTTTTTTCAGTTTTGCCGCCGAAGAGGTAAAAGGTGTATATTATTTTCCTTCTCGAGCAAATGACCAATTTGAAAAAAGATGTTATAGATAAACGGCTTGTAAATTCAGTGAAATACCTCTATTTAACGAACCTCACGATTAGTGTGAAGCTTGTTTACATGTAAAAGAGTTTGAAAACAAATGTAAAAACAAGCACAAGGTACAAAAAAAGTTGTCAAAGGGTCAAACGTGTACGACTGACCTTGCTTCCTATTCGCTAACGCAAAGACAGTTCTGACAGTTGACTTTGAAATGGCTTCCTGGAGCGTGCGCTCAGGATAAAAACAATCAATATTATTGCCGTTTTCTTTTTTTTCTGATTTTTATTCAGTTATGCGATTCAAGGAAAATCCATTACCTGACTCATGAATTCCACGTTAAATTGCACTTGAAAACCGATGTCGCACTCATCACTGCGCGATTCGTGCGATATCGGTTTTTGCGTGCAATTTAACGTGGAATTCCCTCGTTAGGTAATGAATTTTCCTATAGAATAAGGACTTGTAATTGGCATTATGTACAACTAAAACTTTGCTTGCAAGTCCAACCAAGATGGTGACTTAGTGGGACATATGTCCTTTCAAGAGAAAAAAAAATGTTCACAGCCCTGTACACTGTTTTCAAGAAAATTAGGACAAAGACAGTATACACAGTTTGTTCTTAGAAATCATACATTGCATTAAGCTCAGCCTACAGATTAGTTAGTTATCTGGTGGCAAATAGACCTTTGTATGAAATTGTCCACCCAAACCTCATCCTCATTTCTTTGCGTTTGCTCAATAGAGCGTATGCGGGAAAGGTCTATTAGTGACTAATCTGTAGGTTGTGTGCGCGGAGGGAGGTGGGGGAGGGAAGTTACTTCCCATACATTCTCTTAAATGAAATGGAAATGATGTTCTCACAACTTGCAAAGCAATCATCAAGGGTCTTGCCAGCAGTTTTGTGTACTGATGTTGCACATTGTATCATAAACCAAAGTTACAATGTAAACGGTTTTGAGAAGGAACAAAATCATGGTAGTTGAAGACGGGATTGTTTCTCACTATTGCATTTCGTTTATTTTGGTAAATTGCAACTTTACTGATTTTATGTCGCTTTTCAGACGTATTGTATGTTGCGGTCTTTCTTTTTTCTCTTTGTAGAGTTTGGAATATGCAACATATAGCCTGAGAACAGGCTTTCTGTTTGGGGGAAGGGCAAAAAAGTTGGGAGGAGAGGGAAGGGAAAGGGGAGAGCCTTAAGACAAACGTTTGAGGCCGGTATTCCACCCTCTTGTCTATTAATTGCTGATCTTCTGTCAGCAAGATTGTCAATTAATGTAGTCAGTTTTGCATGTAAAAAGGGGGTCAGGAGGCAACACTTGACTTTTACCTGGTGCCAAAATGCTGCTTGTTCCAATGAGTTCTTTCTCTGGTGGTAGATTATGTGCTGGAGCGTAAGCTTTGACTGAGCAAAATTGTGGTTTTCCCTCTCATTTAAAAGTGAGAGGTCATGACATGTATACTGATTGTCTGAGGTTATTGTTGTCATTGTTTCTGGTCAGTGTGATTTGCCCTCTGATGCAAGAGCATTTTATTTTAGCTCTTTTGAAATGTATTTTTGTGGCTAAATAAGCTTATCAGTGTTTTGCCAGAAGAAGCCATGTTAAAGATCAAAAGACCTGTCAGTGTTCTCACCAATAGGAGCTTGTATCAGAATCTGATGCACAGTGGGTGCCGCAAAATAGCAGCCTCATAGGTTTCTCTACTGGCTCTTCCCCTTCCCCTCTCATGATTTTTTTAACTTTCCCCAAACAGAGAGCCTGTACTGTTCACAGGCTATGCAACATAATGCATGTATTATAGCAACATATAGCTGAAACAATCGCCAAAGAGTTAACATATTGAGAAGTGTTTTGCTGCAAACCCAAGGAAAGTTAAGTTAATCACTTAAAATATGGAAATCCAGAAGGCACTTTAGAGAAAATTAGAACCCTTATTCAGCCGTAATAAAAAGCTTTATGTTTTATAGAGGTCAAAGAAAATGCTCTTGCGTCAGAGGACAAATCTTGCTGACCAGAAACAAAAACCACAGTAAATCAATATGTGTTCCACGACCTCTCAGTGTGAGACAAGTAGCAAAAATCACATTTGTTCAGTGAAATAATTGTAGAACCTTCCAGAGCATAATCTACCCAGCAGAGGAAAAAAACTTATTGGAACGAGCAACATTTTGGTAGGAGGTAAAAGTCGTTTTAATAGGCCTACCAACCAACCCCTTTTATTGCTGTGTGCTCGATAAACATGCTATCGTGGATCCCATGCCAGCCACGATAGAATCAGGTAAATCCCACTATTTACAGTAGTGCGATTTGAATACCCCACTCAATGCATGAATCTGCCATAATCACCCAGCATGCAAAGAAAGTAGTGTCCGATAGCCGGGGGCTAGTGAATTTTGCTATCAGGGTGGCGAGCTCTGTTATTAACTTGCCCGATGGACAAGTGAAGTTTTTTGAGGAATTCAAATTACAGAAGTACTGTAAAATCAGTCTGCTCATCAAAACATTTTTGGGGCTAGTTGAAATGATGTTTGGGCTAGTAAATGTTAGCTTCAGCTGTAAAACTTTCTTTGCACCCTGTCACCATACTGATAGGAATCTAAGCAAGTGCAAACTCTGCCGCCATGTTTGTGCAATATGCACTAAGCACGACGGACTAAAGAGCCACCCACCCGACAAAGGCTTCTATTGTCTTGACCCAGGGAGGCTCCCTGGTCTTGATCAATGATCACTGAAGTGTGAACGAAAATTCACAAGTTGTGTTGAAAATACACATGGTTGAGTTTGAAATATGACTCGGTAAGTGGCAAAATGCCCTGAGTATTCGTTCAGGCATTCAAGCTTATAAAAAGTAGCAATATTGGAAAATTTGTCTGGTGTATAGTTTTATTCATAGCGCCGAGTTGAAAATTGCATGGTTCTACTATGTAATTTGATGAAGCGAGTTGAAAATACATAGTGAGCAAGGTCAAATAGAAGAGTTGAGTTTAAAAGCCAAGGGACGCGAGCATAAAAACGTTTTCTTCTAAAGGAAGAGTGTAAAATTTTGAATTCAGCTATAAAATTCAAGTACCGAGGTTAGAGATTTAAATGATGCATTTAAAATTGAACCCATGAATTTTGGCAGGGATCGTACACCATAAGCCTGACTTTGTTTCTACCCCCTGGTGTGCACCAAGTATGATTTCTAAGAGGAATGTCGAACTGTGTTCCATGCAATTCTGTGTTTGTCCTTGTTTTCTTGAAAACAATGCATAATGAAACAACTATTAGAATTGGTTTTTGTGATATTTGGAATAATCAAGGTCTCAGTAAGTGTTATCAGCCTCGGCCTTCGGCTCAGCTGATGTCATTTAGTCAATCCTCTCCCTTGATTATTTCTGGATATCACAAAAGCTCATCCCACACCATTTGTTGTTTAATATTAACAAAGTGAACCAAGACTGTGGTGGCACAGCCCCTGTACATTAATTTGTAAATACTCAGTATCTTACATTTCATTGGGTAATTAAGGCAGCAGTGACAGTTAAAAGTAATGAAGTGAACTTCACTGATTCCTGATTTTCCTTTCAGTACTAGGCAAACATCTTAGGAGCACTATGCAATATTGTGCAGGTTAGTGACACTGGGATGAGGCATTTGTACCAGAAAATAGAAGAAAAGTCAATGTTACTGAAAATTTGTAATTACATGTAACAACAAATGCTGAAAAGAAAATAGAATACCTTATTATTTATTTGATTAAGTGCTCAACCTCAAGTAACTGCCCACCTCCAATAACCCTCCACCTTATAGGCAGAAAAAAAAATGAATTATCTCCTAACCTCGAATAAGTGCCTACCCCATACCAGCTAGATTGCGAAGACTAAGTTCTACTAAATTTAGAGACCAAGTTTTCTTAGTACAGTATTTTAAAGAAACTTTCAATGAACAGTTAAAAATCTGCTTTGGAACTCAAACAAAATTACTCTATCTCCAACAAAATTACTTTTGGTGAAAACTGTGAGAATTCATTAAACACCCAGCCCAAATACACGTATTAAAGTGACCAACTTGAATAATAGCCCACTCTCAAGGTGCAAAACTTTAGTGAGCACCCAGGCAAGGCACTTAATCAAATAAATATGGTATTTTGTTATGGGACCTCTTCATTGTAGCGGTACATGCAGTCACGTTTTCCAGTAGGTGTAGTGCTTGATTTATAAACACTCAAGCAGTTTTATTAAAACTGCATTGACAAAATAGATTTGCAATTATTGAGAATCTATTTTATACCAAAACAGCATTACATTTCATTTCATCCTTCATTAGTTCGGCTTTGCTTTTTCAAAAGCACTGTTTCTCAGCTCCAGGTTTTGTCCAAATTACCTTTAGTTAAACTTTTTTGTGCATTTAAGATAGACAATATTATTTTGAACTACTGTGCAAATTAACCTTTTAAAAAAATAATGTATGAAGTAGCTGTACGTATGATCTGGAGATAGTTTATCTACAGTGTATATGTAAACTGCTTTTAATAGACCTTTTTACCGATACGGTGGCCATATTGAATTAATTCAATTTAAGAAGTATTATAGGATGCCCAGGGGGCATGAGCACATTTAGTTTTTATTTTGGAGTGCTTTTCGGGACATTTTTTCTTAAAGTTTTCTTAGAATAAGATTGTAATGGGAAAAAAGATCCTTGTGCCCTGTTTGGATGTAATAATGATCGCCTTTTTCTAGTTTAGCATTAGAAATATGGTCTTTCACCGTATATTTCTAGGGAAAAAGGTGATCATGATTACATCCAAACACGGCACAAGGATCTTTTTTCCCATTACAATCTTATTCTTATTCTGCCTACCGACTTCGTTTTTACACTTAAATGATTTTTTTTTTTTTTTCATTTAGTTTTTATTCATAGATTTATTTGAGAAGTAAAATTTAGCTTTTAATCTGTCGTTTTGTAATAACAATAAAATCGACACGATGATCCGCCAACTCTTGAGTCCAAGTCATTCCTATTTTTCTTTCGGCATCATTTGCGGTCGACTTTGGGGATCACTTGCGGTCGAGGATCATTTGCGGTCCATTTTGGGGATCATTTGCGGTCTCGGGATCAGTTGCGGTTGGGGATCATTTGCGGTACTGTACAGTACTAGGTTTACGCGTTTATGTTTGTAATAAAGACTGTCAGACCCCAAAGTGTGTACATGTGGTACATACATACATACATACATACATACATACATACATACATACATACTTTATTTGTCATGTAGGTCAGTAAAAAAGGCAGCTAAAGAGCTGATGTGGACCTACAAACTAAAAAGTATCTACAAAAAAGTAAATAATAATATTAACAAACCAATGAATTATTTACAATGAGTAAAGAAAAATAAAAAATACCTAGCAAGATAAACAACAGTTAATTGACTGTGGAGTTAAAAAATTAATAAAAATCAGTAAAAAAAATGCCTTAATATATATAATTTACAATATCTTTATTTATTCCCTGTAAACCATTAAATGTTATTTTATCTAAAATGTCAGATTTTTCTTTAAGAGTAGATTTAAAAGAACCAATATTGGGTTTGCTCTTTAAGTACATGGGTAAGTTATTCCATAAAATAGACGCACGATGAGAGACGGAAGATCGAAGGAAGTCACTTTTAGGGCAACGCACGTATAGTTTCAGACTGTCCCTAAGATTTCTTAATGGAGAATGTTTAATAAATAGAGAATTTATACCAGCCGGAGCCCTGCTGTAAAATGCTTGATAAGATATGGTTGCAATCCTCTTTTTGTATATGTATGATAAGGACTTCCATTTTGTCGCTGCCAGGACCTCAGCGCTAAGAGTAGAATTCTTTATGTTGAAAATAAATCTCGCTGCTCCGATGTGAATGTCCTCCAGGGTCTGAAGAGATTTTGAAGATGGTGGTTTAGTTGACTGAGTCGTTATTAACCTGACCAACCGTTTGCAATGACAAGTGCGCTAGCGTGCTAACTACTCACAGCAGCATGGTTCTGCGTTCTCAAATCTTGAAAACGCACTTAGGTACACACGCTATTAGACTGAGACTTCTGTAGCGACATTAAACTAAAGATTATTTTTGATCGTAATGAAACGTTCCGAACTTCCGGGCTTTAATACTAAAGAATACTTTTTTAGTAGTGACTCTATTTAACAGGCAGCGCGTGTGGTGTGAAAAGAACGTATTCAGTATCAAACTTACCTTTACAGAGACACGTCTGCCGATCTAAAGAAGAAACCTTTTGAATATCCTCTTGTTTATGGAAAAAATACACACCCTACTTTGCTCTCAGGATCCTCTGACTGCTGGCTCAGCTCCATTCATTCTTCTAACAAGCTTGTTCCCAGGGTCTCTCTCCCGAGTGCTAAGCTTGCCGGGAGCTTAAGCCGGGAGCTGCCGGGAGAGAAGACCGGCGGGGATACCCAGCGTAACCCTCCCCGTAGACTCCCGATTCCCGTACCAAATCACTAAATATTGATATCTCATATGACGTTGGTGTTTTGGGTATCCCCTGGTAAAGGTATCCATCCGGGCGATACCTAGATCACTAGTGATCTGGGTATCCCCCGTGACATTGCAAAATTCCTGCAAAATTGTTTGTTTGTTTGCTTGTTTTTCCGCTCTGTGTGCTGAAAAGCTTTCCCCTTTCGAATAGGTAAGCCCAAGATATCTAATTTATCAAAGACATTAGTAGTCTGCGTAGCAGGCGCTTGGAAGTAGTGCGCGAAAGAGATAACGGACGCGCGCGAGGGAGACACGCGAGGGGTGAACACAGTTTTTTCTTGTGCCCACTACTTCCAAGCGCCTGCTATGCAGGCTAAGGCATTAGAAGGTTTCCCTATTTTACAGGTAAATTCACTGAGTATTACCGTAGTTTCTGTATCCCTGTAAATGCACCGTCTTTTGAATATGAATAAATCAGAAACCAGAACTTGTTTTCTCGACTTTTTCACAGCCATAAAATACATCTTTCAGCCCTTTTGATTTTTTTTTTACAGACTGAAGTGACAGATTTTTTTACCCTTTCATATACTTCAACGAGTGAAATCCTACCCTTTCATACATAATACCTGATGCCTAAAAAAAAAACCCTTTCGGGTGGAGCCTCCCCCGGCGCATATGCCATTATAGGTAGTACCCCACCCCCACTGGGGCTGTTTTGCCGCCTAGTCGTCATACCAGATCTGTTGTAAGACAGAGTGAGATCTGGGTACGAGATCAAATACCCCTATATTCTCTACCAAAGATAACCTACGAATACACCCATCTCTCCTCGCTCCTCGCGACTAGGAACGTTTCGAAACGTCCGAGTGACAAGTCCGGCTGCAAAGTAGGCTATCAGCCGCCCCGCCCCCTACCCTTAAAAAAAAATCGGGGAGAGCGATTCTCTCGCTTTCTCACTTTCCTTGATTGATTTTAGGGAGGCAGTTTAGCGGGAACGGCGGCGACGGCACTGATAACATCAAAAAAGTAAATAGGGATGAACCAGTAGAAAAGTGAAGGGACGGGTGAGGCAAAAGCAAAAAAAAACCTTTTTTCCCGGGAAATTATTAATAACAAAACAATATTCCTAAGGACTCTGGCCGAAAAATATATATGCCCTCGTGGAAAAAAAAAAGATTTCCACCTTAATTACATGTACAAAACAAAAATCTTGCACTCTTAAAATAACCACCATCCCCCCCCCCCCCCCCACCATCCCCCCAACTTCTCCCCCCACCTTCCCCAATAACTTAACCGGCTCCAGGAACTTGGTTCACTCTTACATTTGACATTTTAAGCGAGCTGGAATAAACGCGACAAAGTTGGAAAGAAAGCGAATTCATTTTTAAAAATTGAACTCTTAGTTGTAGACCTGGATTAGCCTGTGAGTAAGCTCTCCGGGGCGCTCTGGCGGCTGGGGGAGGAAGGAGGGCTTGCAACTACAGATACGTCCACAGGGCGCAGAGGAGTTATTTGTGAGTTATTGTTAAATTTTACGGAATTACGGTTGATATCACGCATCGCCTTGGTTTTTATAGTGTAAAATCGAGCAAACCGTCATTTGATCAACCGTGATAGGAGGTTTTCATGCAGTCTCGGGAGACACAAATAGCAATGGTGAAATGAACAAATGCTGGTGGACAAACAAAACGAGCTAATGAGCGATCTTTTGTTTACCGTCCACCAGCATGGTGGCGATGACGTAACGTGAAAACCACCTATAAACCTGGTAATATAGTACGTATCCAGTGCTCGGGAAAACCGCTGAAGGTAATGACTGCGGACCAATAACAGCGACGCACTTCGTGCCTCGCTTGCAAAGCTTCGCTTTTTATTAAAATGCATCCCCCTTCGGGCGACGTTCGTTCCCACCGAGCATTAAGTAATATTTTACCAGGTTTGTAACACGATCGCATGACGGTTTGATGGGTCAAGTTCATAGTCGATTCTACAGTAAACAGAGGCGACTCGTACGATCGGCTGTAAAATTTTCTCTTCGCTTGCCATCACAAGTAACTCCTCTGCGCCCTGTGGTATGTCTCTGAAATTAGAATATCTGCATCGAAAACGTCGATGCGAAATTCTGACTGGCGCAGATGACATCAGTTATGACGTCATTACCCTTGGCACATATTTTTCTACTTTTTTTTTGTATATTCGCACTCGTTTACGCTTCGCACTGATTCGCGGAAATCTGACAACTCAGAAATATATTTCAAGAAATTTGCCCAATACCTCGGTTTGACTTAGATCTGTCGATAAAAAAAAGCGACATAAAAAGTGATGTAACGTCTACCATCAAAGAAAACACAACGTCACATGAGAACGAAAAGGACTGAACGTGACTACTTCCGGTGCTAAGTTTCCCGCTCTGACACTGCGAGGTTGGTTACACTGATATCGGACAGGTTTCTGTGTCACAGTTTGGTGCAGTGTAAACAGGTGTTCATATTATACTGGATAGCTTTTCATGTCAACATGAAAAACTCTCCGTTATAGTGTCGACATGGCCAAAAAATATTTTACCAGTGTCACATATTAGCTGTAAAGCTGAATACCTTGACACTTGAATAAAGTTTTTATTATCATTTACACTATTTTTGTTATTGTTATTACATAAGGGCTAATTAATTATTTAATGAAACACTAACTTACTAACCGGATGACTGACGAACAGACCAACTAACCGGACGGAAGGACAACCCAACTGATCGATTTATGACTAACTAAATGACTAAATGACTGACGGAATGGAAGACCAACTGACTGACTGACTGATTGAAGGACTGACTGACTACTTGAACGTCTAACCTGACTGAGTGACTTACTGATTAACTGAGAACAGCTCACTGACTGACTGACTATTCGAATGACTTACTGGCTAACTTTGTAGTTGACTGGATGATTGACTGATTTACTAACTAACTGACTGACTGACTAACTAATCGAATGACTTAGTGGCTAACTGACTAATTGTTTGGATGACTGACTAACTGACTGGCTGACCAACTAAAGAAACTAATCAAATGTCTTACTGGCTAACTGATTAAGTGTTTGGATGACTGACTGACTTACTAACTAATCGAAAGATTTACTGGCTAACTGGCCAATTGTTTGGATGACAGAATGACTTACTAACTAACTGACTGACTGGCTAACTGACTAATTATTTGGATGACTGACCAACTTACCAAATAATTGAATGACTTTCTGACTACTTGACTAACTAATTGACTGACTAACTAACTAATCGAACAACGTACTGACTAACTGATTAAAAGAATGGATGACTAACTGACTTACTGGAAGATTGAATGACCCGCCTGACTAAATTTTAAACTAAATGACTGACTGACAGATAATGAACTGAAAAGCTGTGGGACTGACTGGAGGACTAACTGAATGACAGATAAACTGTTATAACAGCTGAATGACTGATGGACTCAAGAACTGAGTAACTGAAAACTGACGGAGGAACATACTGAAAAGTATCTGAAACAGTCAGTTCTTAAGAACTAACATAGAACTTAACTAAACAGTTTACTACCAGCAGTGCGGTTTTCCACATGTTTGTAACCGCCGTTTGCTTGTTATTTCTTACACGAGGTGTAATCTGTTTTTATGAACGTGAAGCTCGTGCGCGTGTCCCAGCAGAAGCCTGTTACCGCAGGTCATTACGTCATAGTGACGTGGCGGACTGTTGGTCATGTCTATGTATGTTTCAAAGCGGTTTGCAGCACCATGCAGAATCACGTGATCATCCCTTGTATTATCTGTCACGAAGCTTGTGAGGTTGGCATCCCAAGATGAAAATCCATCATCACAATGGAAGAGCTCTGTCCCATCAGGCTGAAACACAAGGAATAACTATGTTACTAAAACGTAACCGTTCTTATTTAATTTTTTTTCTCTCTCATGAGGCGCAAATTTAAGGTGGTGCTTATACCAGCATTAATTTAAACACACTTTTATAATCATAGCTAGATTGTTTTTCCTACAAACCACTCACTAGCCTGTTCCAGGCGTTCAGATAGTAAGGACAGCGCAGAGAGATGTGAAAAGGAAAAACAGCGAGGGGGTGGGGTAGGGGGTTCCCTTCTCTCTCCCTCTCCCTCTCCCTCTCTTTCTCTTTATTTTTTTCCGCTCTCTCACTTCACGCAGCACTCCACTATCTGAACTCATGAAACAAGCTAACCACTCACCTGAAACAGGCTAACCACTTGCTGTCACTGCTTACATTAAGGTCACAAGACCTAACAATGACACTGTTTATCGCCAAAAATCTGTTAGCTTAAACAACGGCAACGGCAGCGAAAACGTCAGCTAAAAAGTGAACTCGTGCTTTTTCAAACTTCATTAATCTTATCTCATTTCATTTAATTTGTCAAATGTTGGGGAATTTTTCAGGAGTTAATTCTAAAGGACTGTATCTAAGATCAGAAAAAGGAAATTGTTGTCTTGTGTTCACGTCCTCCATAAAACGTGAAACCAGTCGGTTTCACGTTGTAGTCGTGCAACAACGGCAAAGAAATGTACAAAAAAGCGTGATGCACGTGCAAAGTTGTTGTTTTGCTAATCTAAACCTATTCCTTTTTTGCCGTTCTCGTTGCCGTCCCCGTCGTCGTTGTTTAAGCTCCCTAATGTTGCAAACTCTATGTCGTCAGCGGCCAATAGAACACCTTTTCTCTCGACATTGACCGCGTCCTTGTTTTAATATTGGATCTTACTAAGTCTGAGTTTTATCTTTGATTCCGTCCCAGGAAACACAAGAGATCAGTTTATGTAATAACGACGGCGTTACCGACGAAAACATCACTGAAAACACAGAAAAAAATCAAGTTGTGCCGGGAAAACAATTCTTTCCCGACCAAGGTTTCAAAGCCTTGAATAACCAGTGTCAAGAACTGAGATCAAGGCAAATTAGTATTAACATACTTCACTAACCAGCAGGGTTGTTGTCTTCAAAATATTTTAAGAGGCTGCCTTCCTCAGGTCTTTGTAGGTGAGTTGCTTTGATGAGGTCACATATTTTGAAAGCGGAATAAACATACAATTTTTTTGACCCTCCATCGTCAGAAACCACGAAGTCTCTTTACAAAGATATGATTCAAATTCATTGCTCAGTTTTGCTGGTCTGTTCAGTTTTTTTCCAGTTCCTTCTCTCGAAGTCGGAAAATAGTACGAAACCCCTCTGTAAAAGAAAGTACAACAAGAGTGTGTAAGTTTGATTGTACAACTAATGACACATAACAGTATGGTTTAACAAAATGAAAAGACAAGTCAGAGAAACCACTGCAGTCTCTTCCATTTTTCTCCCCCAGTCACCCCACCCAGATAATGACGGCTTTGCAGCCAAGCAGAAGAGAGCCAAAGAGGGAAGAGGATAAAGGAAAGAAAGGCTTAACGAAAAGGCATTAGCCTCTTCCGCGCGCAGAGCTTGATTCAATATCATCCAATCAACATCATTTCAAGTCACGCAGTTGTTCTTCCTTCTCTCCCCCTCTCGCTCCAAACTTTGAAAAAGAGAATAAAATTTACCAGTTGATGTATGAGTCAAGATGTTAGACATAGAGAATACCGTATGAAAAGTGCGGACGTGAATTTACACTCACTGCAAACCAGAAAAATCTGTTTTAGCCGTAAAAATAAGACCGTTTCGGTGAGTTAAGTACAGTTCTATTTTTGGGTCTATTTTGGCACTTAATCGGGGCAAATACAGTCCGATTACCTATGGCTGATTTGGACCCAAGGGCTGAAATGAATCCCAGCCTGGCTGCAACAGGCTTTTGATGGGGCATGGTTCTTGGAGAGGCTGAATCAGGCTTTGGCCTGCAGGGCTAAATTGGCACTTTGGGGCTAAAACGGATCTTTTTAATTTTCAATGCACGACTTGGAAATGAGTTGGTTCAGTCATACCAGAAAACCAACGAACAAGCTTTGTGACCGAATGAAATTTCTGATACGGATCAAAACTTCGAAAAGAAATATTTCTTTCAAGACAAACCGACCCTTATGCAACGACTGAGGCGGGAAAGCGGAAGACATGAACAAGGCGGACAAAAAGTGCCAAGAAACCCATCCAATCAAACTGTAACTGGATTGGCTGATTTCTTATTTACATGAGAAAATACCTTATTGGCTAAAACTTCTTATCACTGTTTAAGAAGTAGCTTTTAAGTGAGCATGTGAGAAGTACAGACGAAAATAAAGCTATTTATCTAACTTGGGATTAAACTATTTTTTTCGCTTTCGCTAGAATTTTAGTAATAGACCACATAACACGAATGAGAGTGAATGAAACGTTCTGCTCGATGAAATTCCAGGTCAAAGCATCCAAGAGCATGAACCATTGCAAACCTTTAACAGGTCTCCTTTAACTTTTCAATATCCGACTGCAGTAGTTCTATAAGGCAAAGAAAATGGTAAAATACCTTTTTCACTGACAACAAAACTCTTGGGCTAAATCTTTACGTTTTACGTCGGACAGTGCTTTATGCAAAACACGGTAAGTTGCAGCTGAGGCGTCCCTTCCTTTCCAAGCCATCAGCAAATTGTATGCTTTTTCAGAAAGTGTAACATTGTTTGTGTCATGTTCTGCTATTTGTGCGTCATCGAACTGTAGCCGACGACCAAGCTTTTTCCACTTGTCACTGATTTTTTCAGACAGACCTTCCAGTTCGTCGGGTATTGGACTGCCATCTTTGATTTCTGTCAAAGGAAAAACGATCGAGATGCTAAGCGATAGATTCCTCCACGGCCATCTTCACACAGACGAAGAGAGAATAATGAGACAAAGAGGGAACCTTAGGGCATTCGTCGGGATATGTGAATTTCAATTAAGTTATTTTTTGAGGTTTTCATTAAACGGAAGACTAATTCCTCGGACGTTCGCAGATTGTAGTCGAATGTTTGAAATGTCATCAAGTCCACGCGTTAACTGCCTCAAAGCAAAAAAATGCAGAATATTGTAATGGCGACTGTTAAATTCTCTCCTAACAACACTGAATGAAAGTTTGCGGCGCTCTTCGGGAACTGACTTTCGATTAATTCAAGCGTATAATTGGTCTAAATATGACTTTGGTGAAATTCACGTCAGTCCCAAGGGCGAAACTGGGCGTCTCCCTCTCTCTTCAATTATTCTCTCTTGGACCCACGGAATTCGCCACTTTGAGCTTGCGCGGGAGACTGGGTCGAGATGGTTGTCAAGTGCATTGTGGGACTGTTTTGAGGCACACATTTTCAACATTGTGGCAAATTTGTCAAAACAGTCTCACAATGCACTTTCACGACCAGCTCGACCCGGTCTCCCGCGCAACCTCAAAGTGGCGAATACAGCATGCACACAAATGAGACATTCAGAGCAAACAAAGGGCGATACGGACACTCCCGAACAAAAGAACGACGTTACGACTGCTGCTCTTCTTCATACGGTGGTATTTATTGATTGTGCGGGATTATTAGTAAGCTATATAGCGCCATCGAATGGCTGTTAGTGAATGGTGGTTTCACGGTTGGTGGACCTCGATGTCTCACCTGCACAGACTTCACAGACCGTCTAAACCGAAAATTGACTGGCAAGCTTCTAAAGACCCTCTAAAGTCTTGAGAGCAGCGAATAAATTTGAGATATCTCTTGCATTAAAGGTTACAAGTTCTGATAATGCCGGAGTCACAAGCTAGCCTTACAGACACAGTTTATTGAGGATCATAGGGCAATATCTTATGAAACCTAAACTGAACAAAATTTGAGGAAAAGAAGTGGAAAAACTGAAAACTTACCAGGCTGTCGCCCAAGCTCCCTCAAATTCTGATCTGCCTGAAGAGGCATAAAAGGTAAAAAATTATAATTATTAAATAGCATACAAACGCCTTGATTTCGAGTCGGGGTCAGGAAGACTGGTTATCACGAGGAACTAAGAGGTTTTACAGACATGGGTAGTGCTTCTTATTGGATGGAAATTTGCCTCAATCGATCAGAAGCACTACCCATTGATCTGGGTAAAAACACGTCATCAATAAATCGTTTCTCTGACGTCATTTCGCTCGGCAAACCAGAGGTGGTGTCGCGAAATGTCGGCTGTTTTCTCAAAATCCCCACTGGAAATGTTAATATTTTTAATATTAATTAAGAGGAAAGCCTTGATTGTCTTTCAAATGGCATGATTACACCGTAATTTTTAGGGAGTTACTATAACTCCAAAAATGGAGTAAAAATTTTAGGTACAGGATAACCCCTTTTTGGGTTTATTTTAACTCCTAATTTAACTCCGAATTTGGGGTCATTTTTACTCCTGAAAAAGAGTTCTTTTTACTCCCAGTCTGGAGTCCGAAATTTGGGTTACTTTTACACCTTACATGGGTTGTTTTTACTCTTTTGGGAGTTAATTTAACTCTGAAAGTGGAGTAAAAATTTTGGGTACAGGAAACTCCTTTTTGGGGGTTATTTTAACTCTTCAATATCTGGGGTCACTTTTACTCCTGAAAAAGAGTTCTTTAAGCTCCTTTTTGGACTTAAAATAACTCCCCAAAAAATAACTCCACTGTAAGGAGTTAAATTAGCCCCACTAGAGGAGTTATTATAACTCCCTGAAAATTACTGTGTGTAATTTTAATACGTGCAATAATTTGAGTAAACTTTCTCACTGCTTGGACAGGCAAAAATTCTAGAAGAAACAACTTACAACTACAGTGTACCTTGAGCGATCTGCTAGTTCACTCTACAGTTGCAACACAAAGGGTTGGTTATTTAAACGAAGGTTTAGGCCTCGGTTTAAGAAATCATGGAATCTCCAGATAAGTGCTTTCTAGTCATGCTTTCATGAAATTGTTCAAGAGAAACGGTGTTTAGATAGCATTTGACAAACTGAAAATGAGTTAGAACGTGGTACTGGTGGACTTGCTAGACATTGGGTAAACTGCGTTTAAATAACTGACCCAGAATTTTTCAACTGATAGGAGATTTAAACAGATGAAATGCTCAAGCTTAGAATGATAAGTTGTACTTACCGCGCGGGGTATATTACGGGAGGGCAAAGTTAAGTGAAATTTACACAACAGACGCGTTCTGTCTGTCTGTATCAAGGTGTTTCGAAATTCCACTTGTGCCAGGTCTTCGCCATCAACGAGACGAACTCGCAATTCAGTCTTAAACGGAATATCGTCTTCTAATAACCTGTTTAAATGTAAGAGAGAAACATGCATGATGCAGTGCCGCGTAATCCTTCGTTTACCATTAGACAGAACAGTTCAGTTTAACTATTAATCACGACTGTTCAGACCGGTCTGTTCTCTTAAAAAGTATGCACAGTGACGGATGTTCCGCCATTTTGTACTGATCTACCAAAACAACTCAAACTCTCGACTGCAGTCCATTTTATTGTCATTACGCTGCACTATTGACGTAATTTTCGGGATATCGTTATCATCTTTTTTGCATTTTTATAGAAATGTTTTTTGTTGTAATTTCAATTAGTATTTATAATTTTGGAATTTATTTAATCTTAGTTTTAAGTAATTGTAACGCAATTCAGTCTACGGACTGCCATGTTCGATATTTTAATAAACTATCTAAACTATCTAAACTAAACCATCTTCCAAATGTGGTCAACGGTAGCTGGTTTTCAAGAATTAGCTGCCGGATTTTGAGTCAAGCAGAAACGGGGAAATATTTTGAATTAATAATAAATGAGCTTACCTAAGATAAATGTTATTTACGTCCTCCTCATCAAATGGGCGTATTCCTCCTGACAAAAACACAAATGCTTTGTCACCGTCCTCTCCAGGTATCATATCTTTCATCGAACTGCCATCAGCAAACGTTACGTCCCTTTTTTCAAGATCTTGTATCACCTCTTGTTTAAGGTGAGCAGAGCAACAAATAAGGAATAAAATGTTTGGAATGTCTGGACGAAAGTAAGCGACGAAACTTGCTGCTCGGGGCTGGGTTCTAGTGAAGCGGGTAAAGTAACTTAAGATCCACGGTCCATAAGCTCTGGAGTTTTCTTCACGCCGCTCAAAATGATAAGAATATCTAGAGCCAAAAAATGAAGACTGTTATGGATTTGTCGAACTTTGGATTATTCTTCGTGAATCGCCAAACCCAAGAAAACGTTTCCAGTAGATTGAAAAGGAAAAAAGTTCTTTCGTACTTTTTGATTTGATCAGTTTTTCAAGCTTTTTACATTTATTGTAAATCTTATGAAGAAATTATTTGATCAATTACACTTAAGATATGGCGTGGGAGTCAGGGCTGGGGAAGAAAGAGGGAAGAAACCCGTCCATCTCCCTCTTGGTTTCTTCCTCTCCTGTTTTTCCCTCCGCTTCATCATACTAAGGTGTAATTCAAAACATCAATCGAAAGGGCCAATCTACATCTTACACTTATTCGCTTTTGCAACAATTAGACCTTTTTAACTTGTGTATTTTCGGAAAAAAAAAACGGGATACGTGAAAGCGATGAAAAAAGTGCGGGATGCGAGATCAGTATCCCCTAAACCACCCCTCCTCTCCCCCTTTCCAGACCATGAATGATGCAAACAAAGTTTAATTGAGCGTTTGCCCATTCAACATTGAGGCCATCGCACACCTGAACAAAAGAAATGTCTGACGATGTTTCATGCTGCGTTTGAACGTTCAAAGCAGATCTAGCAACATCAGCACCATTCAACATGATGTTCAAACAGCTCAAAAAATGTTGCATCCAGTAACGTTGACTGAAGTTTAATCAACATTTTGTATTAAAAAGGATTCAACTGTACCCCTATCTGGTAAGTACTTAAGATACTAATGATTTCTCTAAGCTTCTTTACCCAGAAAATCTTTGGACTTGGATCCTAACAAACTTCGCATCAAACTGTGTCGGTGCTACCAGATCAGTGAGTTCAGTCCATTCCCTTTTTTCCTCCTCGCAATTCAGGAACAACACTCTCACACGGCATTTAGTGGGATCTGGTTTAAAGTCCTGGCCGTCTCGAAGAGAAACTGGCAGCTGAATGGTTACAGGTCTAAACAACTGGACAACCTCAAAGCATTTAATTCGCAGAATAGGTCCAAGAAATACACCTTCCTCTTTAAATTCTTCATTAGGAACTTCTTGCACCTGTACCATTTAAAAGAGTAATCATCAGCAGTTAATTTCATGTATTCTTTTAGGCCTTAAAATTGACGCAGGTTCCCCATACTATGTAATTCAAGTAACAAAAAGATCTCTCCAATATTCAGTAGACGATTTTTCAGTCAAGGCCTTTTAGACTGGCCAATATTAGATCACCATGTTTATGAAACCGCTGCCCTTTGAAAAGCCTTGGGGTTGATTTTATTTGCCTGCATATCAATACTGTCTTATATAATTAACCATGAGACCGAAGGCTGAATGGGCTATTGACTCGAGGCCATGACGGCGAGAGGGATAATTCTTTTAGTAAAAGCCAACTAGTTGGTCAAAAATATCCTGACAAAACAACTTAAGCTAGAAAAACGTGATTGATTCGCCATTGTTTTGGTTTTCAAAGCCCGCGCTTTTCGCTACTAGTAGGCTATAACATATAGCCTAGTAGTAGCTCAACCAATCAGAACGCACAATTGATATTATTAAAAACTGAATCATTGGATAATGCAATTCTAGCATTTTGATTGGCTTAGCCGTTATGGTATATGAGCTATTATACCATACTCTCCATATATGGTCTGTGTACGCGTCAGTTTAAAATTGGAAGCGAGCTGAGATTTTTTTTCGCGAAGGATAGAATGGCGCCCGAAGCAAATTGTTTTAATTCATTTCTTAGAATACTAGAAATGCAATTTAATCAAAAGAAAAAAGACAAAAACAAACAAAAAAGCCACAAGAGCTTGTTTGAAAGTTTGTCCAAAAACACATGAAAACACATGGAACTAAAGTACCTTGACCAGCTACGAAAGAAGACAAGTGTTGTTTCTTCATGATCGCGAAGCCATTCGCTGATCGGGTCACTCGCCGATAGATAACTGCGGCTTGTTTATCCGACGTCAAGAATATAAATCACAAGTAACCAGCTACAAATACAGGTTATGCAGCCATTCACTACAGCAATCGAGGCGGTAGTATAGCTTCTTTTCTCGTTCAGCAAAACCAGCTTGGGGCTTCAAACAACTTCATAACAAGCGACCGAGGTAATAGTTTTTCTCCGTTGTTCTTACTTTTATAACTGCACCGAAAATCCAAGTTCACAGTAATTTCGACGGCTGTCACTTAAAAATTATTTTCCTTCACATTATCTGCCAGGTTTTTTTAGCTGTTCTGCTGTGTAAAATCCTAGAATCCCGATGAGTTTTTAAAAAACTAATGTTCATCGCTACAATGTTTTGATTTTTCATTAATGCACTACAGGCGAGTCCGTTCGCGCGTTGACAGTTTTGATAGACGTGTGGCATGTGAATAGCGGAAGTCCCTTGTCTTTTCCGGTTTGTTCTAGTCGGGGAGATTCAACGAGATTTTGTGGGCGTTTCTAATAAAACAATTATTCCACTCGCTCTCGTTGGATATGAGATGATTATAGCCAACTCATATCCAATGCGCCCTCGTGGAATAATTGTTAAATAGACCACTAGTTAGATTTCACTAATAAAAAATGTACCTTTTTAATCACACCAACCTTTAACTTCAGGGTAAACGGTGACTCGGGTGCAACAGCATTCTCGGGGATTGTAACCGTCACGCCTGGATAATCAGGATGAATGAATAAACCGCCAGTAGATGTGATGCTGTAAGGCGGAGAAGATTTGAGACGGCAAACCACTGCATATGTTGAGCACTCATTTATATCAGCTTGGGCAACGGGGAATAAAAGGTCTGGTATATCCTTGTGAGAAGGGCGCTCATCTTCCATATCTGTTACTGACAAAAAATACAAGTAAAATGTAACTATCATAATTATGTTCTGTTTTTACTTCCTTTTTATTCTAAAAGAGACTGGAAACAAGGTTCAGATCGAGAGCGCAAGCGCAACTGAAACACCTAATAACACTATCTTGAAAAAAAAAGCAAACCCTTAAGCAGTACGGATGACGTACACCGCCTCCCCCTTAGGGAAACAGGGTTGCCAAACGGTTCTCTATAGTTGCCATAAGTCTACTACATAGAGAAAATTTCTATACCTTGGCGACAGCGTAAGTCCTTGGTTCCACTCACGTCTTCCCATTCATTGGTCTCCTTGTTGATCTGCCGTTTTATCACCACTTCGTATCCCCGTAGGTCCGGTGCACTGTGAGAAAGTGACAAAGTCACCATGGCATTGAATTGCAGGCGTCGGCCATCGAGGGAAGATAGTTCAATAATATTGCTGACAATGGCCTCGTGTTCCTGTAGTGGGGGTGAGCAGACACTGGATTTCCATCTGTAGACCACTATTGACGTAGGCTCAGACACAGCATTTGGATGGAATATAAGATGGACAGCCCCTAGTTTGAGGGCCCAGCGGGTACCTTCACTTGCCACTATTTCTCTGCAATGAGCCAAAATTTTAATAGTCGGTTGTTTTCAAAACACAGCTCTCACTAGTTCAATGTTCGAGTAAAATCTACAATAAATGGAGAATATAATAAGTAAAGATTTTTGGGGGATAGGGGACAGAGACTGGACAATAACGGCTTTTTTTTCATGCAGTGCAGGGGTCAATGCTAGTCTTCTTCTTTATGACGATTTCAAGACAAAAAAATCGTCGTACTAGAATATAAATATAACATAATGTCAACTATATTATTTAACATCAACTCTTAGCTGCTTTTATCCTCCAAAATTAGGATGCCCTACCCTTAGCGTTGAGCAAAGAAACTAAACAAAGTCTGTCGTTGTCGGATTTCAAACAAAATTCTATTGAAAAAACAGAACCTTTAATAAATTTTGACTGCGACGTTCAGTCGGATGCTCGTCTACGATGTATGATTATGCTTACTGTTACGATGAGCGAAACACTTTTCCAGGGGGTATTCGATGAATGTGACTAATCAGATAATTGTTTTAAATAAAAAATTAAGCATTGTGAAAAGAACGCAATTGTAATCCTATTGGGTCTCGCACACGCTGGAAATTCAAAACTCCAGGTAAAATATAGACTTTTTGCCCTTTACGCAAACTAATGTTGTAGATATAGAGTGCACACGGTGCACTCAACCCGTGCAAAAAATAAAAGACATTAAAAACATTAGGCTCCCTTCACATGTATCCAAGCCTGCGAGAGCAGACGCCTTTTTCGGTTCTTTGAAAAAAGCATCTTTTTTTGTGGAATTAGTTTTTCGGCTACAGATAAAGCTCAGGCAGACTTAAGCACTAACTAAAACGCAACTTTTAAAATAACGCTCTCCGGAGAGGAGAGGTCGATTTCCCTCACTTTTGTGGAAGGATAAAAAAGGAAAACTATCGAAAACCAGACGTCAGGGTATTTGATCTCGCGCGGAACAAGAATGTTTCACTGCCACTTTCCTTTTTTTTAACAAGCGTAGCATATCTACGTTAATTTGTCTCTTTTTGGGTAAAATGTTCAAGCTTGTTATTTTATGATCACGAGTTTATCGGTAGGGATTCTTTTTTCACCAGTTTCGAAAATCGAAGCGGTTAAACGACTCACCAGAGATCGACAAAGAACGCCTTAGAGGTACCTTTACACAAACGAAATTTGTAAGTAACTTTTCACTGCCGTTGCCGCCATCGGAGGTTCCAGTAAACTCAAACGGTACTTACCTTTTGATGACACTGCTTTCGTTGCAAGAAGTATTGTCTTCAACTTTAGTTTCCTCTTCAGGCTCCACAACACCCTCTTCTTCATTGCCTTTTGAAGGTAACACTGCCTCGACCACTTCTTCATCTTTGCCAGCATTTGAAAGCATTCCTGTTTCAGCAGTTTGTTCGAACGAAGCCGTACTCTTTCCTCCTTGCGGAACATAAGATACAATGATAAAGCCAATTAGGATAAACCTGAAGATGTCTCTATGTCTACGTATACGGCATACCAAAAAGCTTTTTATGACGACACAAAAAACTGTTCTGTTTTAGCAAAAAGATAGAATTAGAATCAAAAAGGACCCTCGGTTAAATCTCCCGAATATGCTAATAACCGGGTAAAGAAATTAGTGATATACTATAACATCAAAGAAACTCTTACAAAATGTTTCTGTGATGTTATAACCCGAGTAAGATAACTAAGTATTGCATCTTACACGATGAGCTGTGACGTTCACCGTCTCGACTCTCACTGCTATCTGTGACACCAGCAAATTATTAGCATATTCCGGATATTTCTTCTGAAAGTAATCAAGAGTTCCGTTTGATGCAAATTTATTTCTTTTTGCCAAATGTGCACGTGCATATGAAACTTGGAAACAATGCCAGTGAACAATGAGGACGCTCACTTGTAAACACAAAACGTGGGGGAAAAATTGGTTATATTTGAGTCCCTATTTAAAAGCCTTCTCTGTTTTCAATGTTCTTGAAACTTGCAGGGTATGTTTATTGGCAATTGATTTCGGGATTGTCAAATTTATAAAAAAAATTATCGAGCGGTTTTTGAAAAATGCGAAAATTGTAGGCATGGACCAAATTACGTGCAAAAACTGTAACAAAAGCAGCTGAATGCAAGTTAATAAAATTCTTCTTACTCGCGATCGCCCATAGCAATTCCCCTCTTTTCTTGTACGCAGTTTTCAATGGAATCAAACCACTATGAGATGAAGCCGCGTTTCCAAAGCTTATCATTTTCTTAAAAATTTATCTAATCGTGTGGATAGCATGCTATTTCACTGTTTTTATGATGCTTAAAACTTCGTTTCAAAATATTTCGAAAACGCTCTCATAGAATTTGTCCATGTTCAAACTTTGACGTAATAGAGGCAATTATGGCAGGTACAAACTCCCTTAAGCGATTTCTTAAAAAAAACTCCCGGTACAGAGAAACACAAAGATAAATAAAAAACGTAATGGCGTTGTTACGTTGCCATGGTGACTCCGATTACAATAAAACCCAGATCATAAGAAATTTTCATCTTTATATAGTTGATACTTAATGGTACATTTACAAATGTAGGAAAAGGAAATCAGCCCTTATAGTCATTTCAGACGAAAGTAATAGTCACCAACGATAAAATTGGTTTTTCTATGTAACGTTATTAATCTCAGGGGCCGTTTATGCGAGAGAAAATAAGCCGCGGCTTACTATAGACGCGGCTTACATAAGACGCGAACATCCCGTATAAATAGTACAAAATCTATGTTCACGGTTTATTCAACCCAAGGCCAGCTCAAGTCGCGGCTTATCCTGGCCGAGGGGTTTTGGGATAGGCTTATCCAAGCCGCGGCTTATCTTGGACGTGAAAGTGTTCGTATAAATGCACTCAAAGGCTGTCCGCGGCTTGCTGAAGCCGTGAACGACTGCTGTGCATGGTCTGTTTTCAATTATATCCTCGACCTTCACGGCCGAGAGACGCGCGTTGCAGTGGCGGGAAAATGAGTTTTGTTTACATTTACAAAGTGGAAAATGGCGGATAGAGACTCATGTAAAAAAAGAAATGTGTGGAGTGCCCAGAAGAGAAACAAATCCTGCTCATATGCAGCGAGCTTGAGATTCCGGGGCAGCTCGATGTCTGCGTTACCTCGGCAAGCGTAAGTTCTTTGATTCTAATTTTAATTCTACGCTTATTAAAAGTACAACCTGGCCGCGAAGTAAGCCGTGAACCATTTATACGGGCAGTTCGCTTCTAATATAAGCCGTACTCGTATAAATGGTTCCGTTCGCGTCTTATGTAAGCCGCGGCCAGAGTAAGCCGCGGCTTATTTTCTCTCGTATAAACGGCCCTAATATTTACTTCAAAGTAACTTCACTTGCCAACCATCCTCGGAGACCCAGGGGCAGATAGTGGGGGCCAGGGAAAGTCTAAACAGGCGGAAAAATATGGCACAAAAGAAAAGTGAAGGACCGCGAGAAGAGCCCCTGGGGACAATGTCTTACCAGACCAGTTCCAAACGGTCGCCGCCGTTCTGGCTTCTGATTGGTGCCCGAAATGATCTGTTTTATTAAAAGCGGAGTTCAACATCAATGGAACAAATAGCCTGCGTGCCGGGCAGACGTGTCCTATTTCCTTTGTCGCACGCGGAAAGGTGAAAAACGAAACAGAACGTTCGCGTATCACGTTGAATGGTACAAATATTACTTGATCGGATTATAATTATGCTTACTATATCACGGCAAGCGAAACACTTTTCAAAGGGGGTCTTCGATGTGACTAGTCGGACAATCCATACATTGACTCTTGTTTAAACCTCTCAGCAGACGACGACGGGATTTAATTTTGTACGCAAAACAACAATAAAAAAGTTAAAAAAATATTCCCCAAAACCCGAACACAGTAAAAAGAACGTTTTCCTGGCTAAATGTATTGAAAATGCGTTGCTAAGAGCCTGTCAACAAAATCGAGGAAAATGAGCCAGAGAAACAAAAAAACGAGCTACTTATAACAGACTAGGCTAAAGTAAAAAAATAAAGAACAAAAACGGTTGCAACCACACGCAAACCATGACAGCTAAACTCTAAAGCTATGTTCACACTGTAATCGATACTCTTGCGCCAGCACGAAAAGCATACCGAATAGTGTTTCTCTCCACACAAAGGAGCGGTGATTTCGGCGCGATTTCTGTAACGGAGCGAAGCTGCGCCGCGCCCCGTCGATCTCAAAAGTGGAGCGTCACGTATTGGATAAGTTGTGTGCCACACTTTGGTGCTGTGTGAAAAGGTACTCGGACATAGCCGACCGGAAGTGATTAAGTACGAGTGAGGACTGGAATCCACTGAGACGGAAGTAAATATTCAGGTTGAAGGATCTAGGACATCAAATCCCCACGGCCAACTGCTCCGGCTTAACCCTTTAAACCCTGAAAGTGATCCGCGTCAAATTTCTCCCTGTAACATCAATGCTTTGTAAAACAGAGTGGTCATGAGAATTAAGGACATGATCACACAAGATATATCTGATTGATATTTTATCAACTTCTCCCCACTACTTCTATGGTAAATGAATAGGGGCAACAAATGAGAATTTAATTTTGATCTTAGGGTTTAAAGGGTTAAATGCGATGTGTTTGAACGACCTATTCCAGTTCCGGTCTGTTGCTGTGTGTTGTTGAGGTATGGTGTGGACATAGCCTAAACTTAAAAACTTTTACAATTTGAATGATTAATAATCTTACCATTTGAGAAAGTCTTTAGCTCATTATGCCCTGATTTTATAGCGGAGAAAATGAATATCTTAGCCTTCAGTGGGATTCGAATCCAACACCTCCCATATTCCGGTCGTTCCGTCGAACCACTGAGCCCACGATAGGATCATAGACTATGTACTTTGTTCATATATCACGCACGTCCTGTCTAACTCCGTATGCTGTTAAGATCATCTGTGTCGAAAGTGTCCTTCATGCTCTGCGAATATGCGAGACTTTTCATTAAGTTCATCATGTTTCATTTCAGATCAAACCATTTCAGCTCACCGACAGTAATTTTGATTCTATGATCAGTTTTGGCACAATATTTGTCAAGTTTTACGCACCTTGGTGAGTCTGCTTTACCAGTGTTAACCCTGTTTTGCTTGCTACTTCCTTTAAAGCACGTGTCCCCCATTTTTCAATCGAATTCTTAAAAAAAATTCACCGAGCTTAGAACTTTTAGCGTAAATTAGTACGACGTTAATTGTAAAGTGAAATGCTTACCAGATCGCCACACATTTTTGTTCTTGTTGTCATGGTTACAGGTGCCGTCACTGCCGAGAGCTTGCACCTGTTTGGGACCAGCTTGCTAACAAATGCGCAGATAGTTCGTCTGGACCAAGAATCGCAAAGGTAACGTTTGTAATTAATTGTTAGAACGGAACTTTAAGAAGAGTATAAAGGCTGCTAGCTACATGTATACAAAAGGAATCTAAACTCGCGCTGAGGGCGCATGAAAACGGAGATTTTTTTTCCTCCGGTTTGACCTACCGTCCACACGTATCCGGCGAAAATGGTAATCGAAAACGCATATTTTACAAATGCTATCTCCAGAGTGGAGATTTTTGAAAACGCCGTTTTCCTGTACTCTTAATAGGGAGCTTTAGCGGCAACGACCGTGTTTTCTTGTGGACGGGCAAAAGCGATTCAAAAACGCAACGTGTAGACGCGGATTTATTTTTTTTGAAAACTGAGAAAATATCTCTGTTTTCAAGCAAAAACGGATATGTCTGAGCAGGGCCTCAAGTTTATCATGTTTTGAATCATAAATCATATGCTCACATTAGAAACGTCAAAAAGCCAGTTTTTGAATATCTCTTACCGTTGTTGTTTGGTGGTGGAGCCGTGAGAAGTTTGGGGGAAAAGCCAAGAAAGTATCCCGCAACGATCTGGTCAGTTACGCAGGCTAAAGCCAAGCGAAAATAGGACGCGCGTGATCTGGGGAATGAGCGCGTTGTTTTGTCTTCCCCGTGCGTTTTGCGCTTCAGTTTTTACCATCTCTGCACATTATATTAGTGTCTTGGGGCCTGGAACAGGCCAGATTTTCTCATGGTAAAAAATTTCCTCTATCAGCTCAGTTGATAAAACCGTGTTTAGTAATTGTTCCTCAATCACGATTTTCATGTGAAAAGGAGTGTAAAAACAAGCTTGTTTACACTGAAAATGGCAAGCGACAGATAAGATGCGTAATTAACAGCGGGTTCTCAAAGAACGATCACATAGTCTGAAATGTTATCCGGGTCTTCGCTCCACCCCTCAGTGGGTCTCTCTCGCCTTGCCTCCCGTTGGGGTTGGGGCGAACTGACGGATGACACTTCAGACTAACGATCATACAACGCGGGAAGTAATAGAGCGTTTTCACATGACGTTATGGCGGCCATATTGGTGTTCCAAAACAATGAAACGGCGGCCATATTGGTGTTCCAAACAAATCCTGTGGGAATTGGACTCTTTTCTTATGTAGAAAACTTTCTTTTGTTCCCATAAATTTGCATAGATGCTAGTTACGTGAGTGAAAACGCTCTATTGATGGCGTGTCACATTAGGGCCATTTATACGAGGAAAAATAAGACGAGTTTTACATAAGACGCGAACTTTCCGTATAAACGGCACATTTCGTCTAAAATAAGACGCGCCTTAGCTAAGACGCGTCTTTTTTTAGAACAGCCCTTAACACCTGTTCTTAGATAAGACGCGTCTTAGCTAAGACGAGAAAAACTTCGTATAAATGACCTTTGCGTCTTACATAAGACGCGAACGCATGGTACGCATGCGTTAATTTTTGGCGGGAAAATTTTGGCGCCTTCTTGGTTGCCGTTGCTACGGGCAACATTCACATGAAAACGAGACAAGAAACAGAAATAAGACGCGAACCATTTATACGAGCTGTTCTCGTCTTAGATAAGACGTGCTCGTATAAATGGTACAGTTCGCGTGTTATTTAAGACGCGTCTTATGTAAGACGCGCCTTATTTTTCCTTGTATAAATGGCCCTATCATCTCTTCCGCTTGCCATAAACGTGATGCTTAAATTCACAGACATAAATACCCCTTTTTCCCAGGTTGATTGCACGACTGAGGAGGAGCTTTGTATACGTAGCAGTATGGGAGTACGTTTCTTTCTTGTTTTTTAGTCGTATAGAAATATACAGTATTAAGCTTAATACTTCGGTGCAAGACGGCTGAATTTTTAAATAGGGAGTCCCGTGTGTACCTTTTTTTAAATCTGGAAAAACGTTCAAAATCAGCCATTTTTGTAGACTCAAAAGAAGCGTTGCTCGTCGATTTCCATTGTCGCGTAAGTATTTTCGGAGATTTCAAGTGTTGTCAGTACACTTAAGGTGGCTCGACTGGATTTTTTTGGGGGGGATACCTCCCAAGTTTGAGCATTAACTACGTCGCCATGAGTAAAGATATGGGAAAAAGATTACCATATTATCAAGTTATCTAACCTTTGGCAGCAAACCATTTTTCCAGCCCGAAAACCGTCGGGACTTTAACGTCTAGGCTACTTGGACAGTGGCTGAGTTGCCCTTCTTCGAGAGCCTTAAGAAGGCACAGGCAGTCCTCGTGGTCACATGAAACAACATCGTGATAAGAACACATTTCTTCCTTCCGCAGACAGCCAGGACATACAACACAAAAATCACACTTCAATTTGCCCAACCAGGGGAGTTCACGTCTAAGGTCCTGTACTGTTTCTTCCAAGAACGTTCGCACAAGAATCGCCAATTCTCTTGCTTCGGAAAATGATGCTCCGCAAGCTGGCTCTGAATGCGTCAAGATGATCTTAATGAATCGCTTTTTGCACAAAAGAATCAGCTGATAAATTGACTTCTTCTCTATGAAAAACCTGGAGGCCGCAAGAAAAAATCTGGGTGGCTGCGTAAATCCACTCTTAGAGCACCATTTGGTGATTCGTGACACAAGCTGCCAGAAGAAACCGTGAGGAACAAAACCCCCCAGAAAATGCAGGTACAATGGACATGGATCTGACGGTGATGGCTCCATGTCACAAAGGGCGTCAGGTGGCGTCTTCAGTTGACAGGGTACAAAGTACATTTCATTTGTTGGCGAGGTGGCAAATTTGACGATCAATCCGAACTGCTCCATCATGTTCAGGATATCCTCCTTGATCAGGCCTTGCTGCTGGTAGTGCTTGGAGAACACATGATCAACCAACTCCATGTGGAGGGCACCTGTCGTCTCCATTTCCTTCCAAAACTTGGAATGTTTCGGTTCCTATAACAAAACCGAAAGAAGGCATTTCTTCAGAACGTCAAACTTATTACTGAACAACGTCAGGATCTTTTTTTTTTTTCAGGTGCTTCAACAGAAGAAATATAAAAGGATTTAAATATAGTACATGGTTGAAAAAGAAAACTAGTATTAAAACAATCAGTCTGGATTAGGAAAACAATTTGGCGGTGAAGTAAGTTCCAAAAGAACTTAAAGAGGAAGATCTCGAAGGTACAATCCCATAATAGTTTGAGAGGTAATAAAATGCTTCAGATAACGTACTGACATGATGCATTAATAAATGTATGATCCGAAGGTCGGCGAAGGAATATCGCAAGGGTTTTGTTTGCTTGTTTGTTGGTTTTAGTTTTTTTGTGAAATAAAATACACTTTTTCCGCTGAAACACATTAATAAAGTTGACGTCATAATTAAGAAGTTTTGTGGTATAGGTAAGCTACAACTCGTATGTCACATAAAATCACTAAACTGCAATGAAGCTATGTTTCGGATATGTAGTCTGCAGCTTTGCTAAATGCAAACATTTAATTGTCCCTGCTGGGGTTTACTAATATTTAGCCAGTTTTATGACTGCACATATCAACAAAGAAAATCCATCACGGAAACGCTGAGTTGGTCTTAATTGGTGTGATATTATCAAAACATGATAATCATCATTACGGTGAATTCGCCGCAGTTTTTCTGCGGCATTGGCAATGCAGAGAATTTATAGCGGGGTGGGATGGCGTTCTCCGTGGAGGGCACTTATACTTATACACTTGAATATGCTTCACTTACCATTTCGTTAAAAGAACGAATGGTTATAAGTTGCCTGATGACCTCAATGAGCCACTGAGCCCGAAGCACAACTGTGTTGCGGTGTCTGACAATCATGCCGAGGTCATGATAGAAATCCAACAAAGTGGCGACCTCATCTTCGTCTTCAATAAAGCAAACTTTCTGGATAATACCTTGAAGTTGTTCGAGGTTTAAATAATGTACCTTTTCAGCAATCAAAGCGTGGACAACCTTCTCGAAATTAAACCATCTGGTAACAAAAATAGAAAAAAACAAAAGCTTAAAGACGAAGTTTAAGCATCACTTAAAGATTGATCTCTTCTACTAAATTAAGAAAATAAAGTACTTTATACCAGTTGACACAAACCTGAAATCTAATCCTCAAAACCAGTGCAAATTAGCCTGCGAATAAAGCCTTCTCTTCTCACTGAAATCGCCGCTGTGGACGTTTCGTTTCTTTCTTGCGAAACATCCCCAGCCGCGCTGAGGAGCGAGAAGGGACGGCTTTGTTCACAGGCTAGGTGCAAAATGGATATCGCGGCACCGTACAATCACTGGTATTTAAGGAAACGGGTTTTGCCGCCTTTTACAACACGTTTTTCCCCTTATTCAATGCTCGCTGCGTATAATAAACGAGGACTTATTAGCGAAAGCATTAAGTGTCAGTTTAAGTAGCAATAAAAGTTGCGAGTGTATCTGGTGCAAAAATTGGACCTTGCGTGTCCTTTCAGGCGTTCGGCATCGATCCGAATGTCACCTCGGCATATTCATAAGTGTGCTGGAAGTGCTGGATAAGACCTGAAAATATATTCTTCGTGACGTCAACTTCTTCCGTACTCTGATAGATTAGCAGGTGATGACCAAGTTATTATATTGTATAACATAAGCTAAGCGGTTTTCCACCCTATCCTAAACGAGGCGGTTAGAGCTGAAGATTTCGCATGACGTCACGGCGGCCATATTTGTGTTTCAAAACAATGAAACGGCTGCCATGTTGATGTGCCAAACCACCCCTGTGGGAGCTGAACTCTTTTCGTATGCTTTCGCTATCGTTTGTGCCAATAAATTTGCATAAACGCTGGCCACGTTAGTGAAAACGCACTATAAACTACAATCGGCGTCAAAATTGTTGAGACATTGTACTTAAATAGGGTAATTTCGGAGAACAAAAGAATCCGCACCCCTCCCCTGTCCCCGCCATTCAAAGTTGGGGTGTTTGTTGTTTTCTACAGGTAGCTAGAACAAGGGCACAACATTGCACGGAGGGGATGGGGGGGAAAGCTATATTTCCTCCCTTTGAAGTTAATAAAACGTAAAAAAGCCCAGTTTTGGGCGGAGCGTCTCAACTCATTTTGTCGCCGATTGTCTGAATCGAAATCTACGCACTGTTGTCTTATTAGCACCGGTTAGGAGACGGTAACTAGTTGAGATTACTATATTCACCGGGTCGTTTTTCAGAAGATAGATAAGATACCCATATAATCCCTTACCTGTGTTTTTCGAGGGAAAATTAGTTTTGACAATCTTTGTACTCGGTAGAGTTTTCAAGTAATTACGCAGCATACCCACGTACCGAATGATTGATTTTCCTCTGGTAACTAAGTGTGATGGCAGGTAATATATTGTATCTGAATATATCCCTAGTAAGTTCGAAGTGTTTATTCAAAGTTTGGCTATTTGATAAGGGTGGGATGGACGATAAAATAGCCATGATTGCTATGCGCAGGAGAATTTTCAGGAAAAATGTTCCAACTTCTAACGCACAGCAAAGCTGCATAGCATCGCTAAATCTGTGCAGCAGATTCGTTGCCCATATACCCATAAGGGTCTTTGAAGAATGTACTTTACGGTAGAAACTATCAGGTCAGGAGGGGACTGGCCACGAGTAACCAACTTTGTTCTTAAAAGATAATTAAATTATTTTTCTTTTATACTCATCGTGGTTACTCGTGGTTACTCGTGGAAATTTCTCCTAAAGAGCAATTTTAGCCATTATAACTACTTTAATACCTAGAAATCTATTAAGTTTCCTATCCTTTTCACTTTGTTCTTTGTTTCGATGCGTTTCGATAAAGGAGAGAACAAGAAATCGTGAGCGACGCGCCACATTGCACGATGTCAAGGCACGGTTAAGCGTGACACGAAATGTCACGCACTGAAAATAACGAAATCGCCTTATTCTAATTGTTCTAAAATAGGTATGATGAAGTCGAACACAACAAATAAAAAGCCACCAGGGGTCTTACATCCCGGCATAAAGAAATGAATTCAATTACCTTTCTAAAGGACGTACGGCCACTTTTGAGATTCAGACAATCGGCGTCAAAATTGTTGAGACATTATACTTAAATAGGGTAATTTCGGAGAACAAAAGAATCCGCACACTTCCCCTGTCCCCTCCATTCAAAGTTGGGGTGTTTGTTGTTTTCTACAGGTAGCTAGAACAAGGGCACAACATTGCACGGAGGGGATGGGGGAGGAAAGCTATATTTCCTCCCTTTGAAGTTAATAAAACGTTAAAAAGCCCAGTTTTGAGCGAAGTGTCTCAACTCATTTTGTCGCCGATTGTAGCCTGTTCAGATTTTGGAGAGGGCGCAACGATCTATAAACGGCCGTTTTTGGTGAGCGCTTTCAGCTATGTTGAAGGTCTGAGTACGGATGAATCGCATCCCGGTACCCTATTCATGCTGTCTTAGTCTGTCCTGCATAGATCTCCATTTTTCCCGGATGTAGACTCAGTTGCCGCACTCTTTCAATTTTGCAAGACAACAAGGCCCATGGTGTCTACTCATCTCCAGTTAAGTTGCTGAAATTGGCAAAAAGGATCATTTCCGTACCTCTAGCCACGATTTTTAAACAGTCTTTTTGCTTGGGAATTTTTCCATCTAAACTAAAGTGTGCTAAGATCATTCCAGTATTTAAGGACGAAGATGACACTCTGCCCGAAAACTACCGGCCTACATCACTGCTCTCGATTTATAACAGGATATTTGAAAAACTTATGCACTCCAGACTTACTGCGTTTGTAAAAAGACTGCAACATTCTCTACGATCAGCATATACGGCTTTTGCAGTAAGCAAAGTACTCATTATGCTATACTTGACATTGTTAACACTATTCTCCAAAATATAGACAAAGGTAAATCTTCGCGCGGTGTTTTCATCGATCTCAAGAAGGCTTGTGATACTGTTAACCATGAGATTTTGTTAGCTAAACTTGAAAATTATGGTATTAGAGATGTAATCAACTCCTGGTTCAGATCATACCTGACTGATCGAACGCAAACTACGGAAGTCAATAACGTTGTGGCTAAGGCTGAGACGACCTTGTGCAGCGTGCCACAAGGCTCATTCCTCGGACCGCTCTTATGCCTACTTTACATCAATGATATTTACAAATCCTCTTCGTTATTTGCCTTTTATCTATTTGCTGACGATACCAGTATAATACTCGCAAATAACAACAATATGCCCTTCATATGTAGGATTAGAATTCTTGACTCACCTACGCAAACCTTGAAATGAAAGATTATGTAAAATAACTTGGCTTAATAATTGATTCAAATCTTTCATGGAAATATCACATAGAATCTATCTGTCATAAAATCAGCAAGTCGATAGGAATTATATCTAAGATTCGATATTACGTCCCGCGTCGTGTTTTACTTTCAGTTTACAACTCATTAATTAGCCCCTACTTAACTTATGGTATCTGTGGTTGGAGAAACTGTGCCCTGGCATTTCAGAGAAAGATCGTAACTCTCCGTACCCTTCTTTCTCAAATCGAATTAACTTCCCCTTCCCAGCCTATTTTTTCAGAGATTGTAGCTTTTTATTGTAGGATATCACTAGACAGACAGCACCAGTTAGTATACTCAATCAATTTGTTAAAACAAGATTCATAGCTAGAGAACAAGATCTGTCTCTAGCGACTAGTTTTATGTTAAGCTCTCTAGAACCGATAAAATGTATACCTTTTTCACGAGAATCGGTTTCCAAATTTGGAACTCTATTCCTTATTCGATTAAAATACGTCTTTTTGTAAAAAGATAAAGGAGTTACTACTAAATTTCTTGCTGTCAGAAGATGATTATGTCGAAGTCTCCTGTCTCATTAAGTTGTTTAATACATAGTCTCTCTTCGTAATCCTTAGGTACTTGCTTTGTTTTATGTTAGTTTATTGTATTTATTGTTTAGTAGTGTCTTTACTGTTATTATATAGTCCATCTATAGATAAACCTTTTATTTGTAATATGTCTTGAGCTCCCCTCGCCTCGATTAGTTCATAAGCTATTTGCGTGTGGGAAAGAAATGTAATTAGTTAAAGTATATCCAATTTTCAATAAAATTTGTTGTTGTTGTTGGTTTACTCGCAGGAAATCGTTTAAATCGTCTTTTTAAGCCGGAACGACTAACCATTATCTACTTTAGAACGAGGTAGATTTTATTTATCGCGACCCACTACTGTTATAGTATTACCGTAGGGTGAAAGGCTGCCTGTGGTATAACCATTATGTATAATCGTCAAGAAATAATATGGAGCAAGAGTTTCTCTTGACTAAAAACTTACCGAATTGGTACCTCCTCTCCCATGTATGGTTCTTGTTTTAAAACTTCAATCATTCGTTTCTGAAGTGCGGCAACTCCGTCATCAGATGAACCTTGGGTATTATCGACTGAAAAGAACGGACGGACCACATGACTTTCATAGTCCTTTCCACTTATTTCTCTTTGAATCTGCAATTCCATTTCCTTGATGTCTTGATGTGGTTCATCTGCATGTGTTCCTACAATAAACACTGGAGGGCGACAGTAAGGCAGATCCTCCAATTTTGTTGTCCTTTCACTCACGTCTGGTTTTAATGAACACATAGAACTGAGAGACACCAGCCACGACAACAAATTTTCCAAATTGCTTTCGTTATTTGGATTAGCGAGAAGAATTTCATGGACTCCTTGTCGGAAACAAGGCTGAGCGGTTTCCTTTAAACCTTTGCTGAGGTTGTACACGAGCATATAAACTGCTCGCGTCGATAAAAAAACTGGGTAAGATGCATAGTAAAGATGTTGACCAGCGAAGTCCCACAGATCAAGGGTGATGTGATGTTCAACTGCTGTTGTTTCACTTTGAAGGTCTAAGCCTTTCAAATGTTGAACAAGATGGTCCATAAATTCTTCTGGAGGCAAACTGGGATCGATTTTTAAGTCAGTTGGGACGGCTGTATTTGCTTCCTTTTCGTCGGCTTTACCAGATGCACCCTAAAACGATTTTTAAAAGGTCAAAATGATACTCTCAAACGCGACAGAACAAGAATAGCCGAAAGGCGAATTTCACTGGGCTGCCAAGGGCGATATTTCCTGGGGGAGGGGTCGCTGTACACGTCCACACATTCAGGCCACCAAATAATCTTGTTGCTGACCATTGCGTGACACAGCATCGCATGTGAGAGTTAAACCTAAATTCATTTGAACATTGTATCCTATTGGAAGACTTTCGTAACAAGAAAAATGAGTGCCATTTTTAAGTCAGGGCTGTATAGTAACTTTTCAAATTCCAGCATTATGACTAAACATAAGCAAGTCAGCCATTCTGGCAGGAAACAATGAGCGTTATTTTCACGCACCACTCCCCAATCCCTCTGTCCACCGAAACAGCTTTATATATATTACGCGCGCACTGACTAAAAATAACTGTCGCTTGGGTTAGACAGAGAATTGTGGGTAGGGGCGTAAAATACTCGTTTTACTTTAGCTGTTATTTTTCAAGCTCATCCCCTAGGCTTTTCCCATAGAAGAAAAAGGAAGCCCAGGTGATGAGGTTGCATTGACTATATTTTGGACATTTCCAGGAAGAATTTTTAACAATTATTCTTCCAGCCCAAATGGGCTTCATTTTCTACAAAGTAGTCTGTGTAACTGAATCACGCTCATTCGGTTATGGTTCTTGAGATCTCGCCCATTGCAGAAAATATTTGTAAATGTTGTCTACGACCCTACAGAAATATGAAGTCAAAAGCGGCACAAGGATATATACTGGCGGTAACGGGCAGCTGAAGTGTGAATGGATTGAGTGATTTACACTTGCTAATCCTTACAATTTAGTCAACTGTGAGAAAGGAGTTTCCACTATGAGTGAAACGCTGAGCTGCCATGTTTACACTAGTTCCAACAAGGATGTCTCTTCATGCCCCTCTCCTGGAACAAAATATAAACTCACTGGGGGAGGGGGGGATTTAAACTGACCTGATTCATTTGAGAGTTAAAGAGGGTTGGTTTCTCTTCCATAAATGGCTCCGTATTTGTTTCTTGTTCCTGAAGTTCTCGAGGATCATCAAATCCAAACTACAAGATAAGCCCATAAAGACAAACCTATTTAATAGAAACCAATTGTATCCAAAATCTTTTAAATGCTATTCTTGGAAAATCCAGAAATCACAAAAACAAAGCGCGGCCGCGCAGCTGTTGCTTAATGTCATACGTGTTCGTTGGGGGATTCGGTACAAGTCGTGTATTATCAACACAAGGCCCTCAAAGTCAGAAAGCGCACACCGAGAAAAATACTCACGTTTGGAGTTTATCTGGCAAATAAGGCATGAGATACAGCAAATAAAAAAGCGCAAAAAAAATTTACTAAAGGTACTTGCAAACAGACGCAACAACTCCCAACAATGTTGGGAGTTGTTGCGTCCGTTTTCACGCAGCTCAACGTTTGACCAGTTTCAAACTTTGCGCAACAACTCCCAACAACATGCAACAGGGTGTGCAAACGGATGCAACATGTAACATCCAACAATGTCGCGTCCGTTTGCACGGGGCTTTAGAGATATATAGACGTCCGGACAATGTATCCGGCAATTTATATATATCTTACTAAATTTTATGAATTTGAATGGTTGTATCCAGATTAAAACCACATTTGAGGATTTTGTAAGGCTGGCTGTGTTCTTTGCGATTGTTGATAATCCCTTATATGTGCACTAGTACTTAGTCCCCTCCGTATGAAATCCGGCAATTAAAAAAAAGGGCCTTCCGATAATTACCAAGTCAACGACGCTTTGTTTTCGTTAGATGCAGTACGAGCCTGAGAATGTTTTGTTTGTTAGCCTGGAGTTGCTTTTCAAGTACCACAAGGAACATGTGCTGTGTGCATTGGTGGCTAAACTTCTCTGAAATATTCCTCATCATATCCTGCCACTGCGGTGCTCATTTAAACACTTAGTCAATAGCCCTCTTTCGATATATTAAAATTCTAAGATGACTCCGAGGCTTTAGGGATTTAGGGTCAAAATTGCAAATTTTTCACGACCCCATATGCATTGTCTCGCAATTCCCAGAAGAGACTTGAGCACAAAGAAAATCAAACCAAAATAATATAGAAAAATAACCAGAAAGCCTCAGATTCATCAGCTAAGTCATGTTAGAATTTTAATATACCGAACGTGGGCTATTTACTTTTAGTAAAGTCCAACTAGTGGTCTATTAGCAATGCTGCATTCTGATTGGTTGAGCTACTACCAGGCTATATGTTATAGCCCACTAGTATCGAAAAGCGTGGGATTTTTGGCGGAAAAAAGGATTAAAGTCTAGCTTTCAGTAGCTAAATTTTTTTTCTTCTCCATATTTTTTAACAACTAGTTAGATTTTACTAAAACAATTATTCCTCTCGCCCTCATGGCCTCTGATTCGGCCGGACTCGAGGAATAATTGTTAATTAAGCGACCGCTGGACTTAGGACTGCGGTAGCATGACATTTACACACAATTATAGACAATTTTAAATTTAGCGACTACGTAACCTAAATATCAGGAGTTTCAGGGGGAAAGGGGAAAGAGACTGAGAAGCAGAAAGCAACCTCGTTCCCATCTCCTCTCCCCTAACCCCTTAAGATAGGTCTGATACTCAAGCAAGCGACTACGGGGCTAGGAACCGCGGTAGCAGTAAGTTTAACCCAAGAGCTAGGTATTCTGAAGTTACTCCTCTTTGGTTTACCTGGACTAGATTAACATTTCCCTCGTTTTCGATTTCGTTGTCTTCGCCATTGATTTCCTCATCTCCTTCTTCTTCGTCGTCGGCATTCTCTTGGAGTTCTCTAGCCACCATCCTTGCAAGATCAGCGGCAAATTGAGAAACCTCCAACTTTTCATCGGTGCGTTTCCAGTTCTTTACTAGATCAGTGTCTACTTCGAATTTCGAGGGGTCAACTTCGATTCCGTCAGTACTTTCTTCCTCAGGGTCAAATGGCAGCCCTAAGAAGGACTTCTTCAAACTTGTCTTTCCCGCACGATCTTGACCTATCAGCATAATTCGGGTTCGATACACCTTTACTTTTCCAGTCTTCAAAGCATTTTCATAGGCAATCTGTGCTCCTGGTCCTCGTGCTTTGATCTCGCTCGGAACTAAATATATAAAACAGTTGTAATATAGTTTTACGTCACAGATGTTTTGGATTGTAATTGTATGAAAGGGTCGAGCAAAACGCAGAAGAAAGAAAGATAACGCAAAGAACCTTTATTGTTTTTAGATACATTTTGTAGTCGTCTAGATTAAAAATCGTATTCATTTTACCCATAAAAGTATCCATGAGCAAAGTGTTTTTTAAAACAGTTTAACAGTTTTACAGTTTTAGCATTCAAAAATGCTGCAGTTAGACAGCTCCTACTAGCATTTGCACCACAGCGATTTATTTTCTCCGTTTCTTTTTCCTATCCAGCTAACGTTGACCAAATTTGAAAGATGTTTGCAGATATCGGTACAATTGTCACCGATTGTGCAGATTACAATACATTGCACTCATTATCTGTCTTCTCATTGGCTACTTAAAAAGCCTACAGCTAATGATTTCCGATAAAAATATCAATTCAAGTTCCTTGCATTCGTTTTTTTGTGATATCCTAAATATTTTTTGTGATATCGGCCTTCGGCTCGGCTGATAACACTTACCTTGACCTTCATTATTCCGGATATCACAAAAACCTCATCAAATAATTGTTTAATATCGACAAAAAAAGGGATAGCAGAAGGCGCCAAAGCTTAGCTGTTTTGGCAGCGATGGAAAAAATGGGGAAAAAAAAACAGCAACTCAACAGACTTAAAGTTACGTATTGTCGTCGTACTGGGGTCATTTCTTCGATTCACGGTGCGGTAAGAGTAGACGCCAACTTTACATCGATCGAGGTAAGTATGTTTTTAAACGGAAAAGATTTTGAATGAACAATAAAAAAATTATTGGATTCGGCTTTCTTATGATCTCGGAGGGTGTTATCCACCTCGGCCTATGGGGAGGGGAATAACACCCTTGATCTGCATGCACATAAATTAGCAATTATTAAAGGAGCTGTGTCACGAAATCCAGCCAAATTAGGAAATTACAAAATGCCCGTTAAATTAAGAGAAATATAAAAATAACCAGCTAAAAGATTAAAGGAAGGTTAAAATAACACAACAGAAACAACAGATGCCACGGATGGGCAAAACTGAAGAAAATTGAAACGGATTGAAATCAGGGTTTTTGAAAACTGTTCAGCCTAACAGTCTTTCAAAGTTGATCCTTGCTGCTCGCAACTTCAAAAATAACGCTCAGGAGACATATTTGTTTGTCTCGGATCTCTGTTTTTGTTATTTACATGTAATTTCTTTGCTTACTTTAAGTTCCATAGCAATGGAGGGCGAGTAATTGGCAAAATTAAACAAAATGAACTGTACTGCCATGACACAGCCCCTTTAAGTATTGACTAAGGCTGAGTGTGATCTGAAGAACAGCTGTTGTTGATTTTTGATGTCCTTGATAAAAAGGGCAGTTCGGCTATTTCTTCAGTTCGCAAACGTGTAAATTTTCCCGCCATTTTCTCCAGCTCTACCCAAAAAGCTGAGCTGAGCTAACTTGCCTTTTTGCCTTCTGCTGGATCGCTCTGACTTCATAATATAATTTTTATGTGTTACTCCCACCAACCTATATTATAGAACTAGCTAGATTGTGTACATTTTTACGTATTACTAACTAATTATTCTCTGAAATTTTGTATCTTTTGTGAACACCATACTGCTTATATTTGTTTCTAATGTGTGTTTGCCTACGCCCCACCTGGAAATCAGCTTGTGTTGTGTGTGGCCAGCGTAGCAGGGGCGGATCCAGGATTTTTTTTAGGAGGGGGTGCACTCGTCTCTTGCTCTACTTCAACAACAAAAAAAAACCACGTAGTTTTTTTTTTGCAGAATACCAGTTGTATTAGAAAACCGCAGGTCATCTGAGGGGGGGGGGTGCGCACCCCCTGCACCCTCCCCCTAGATCCGCCCCTGCGTAGCGAAATAAATGTGTTGATTGACTGATTGATTGATTTATTGATTGATTGAAAGACTGATTGATTGATTGATTTAGTGAGTGAGTGAGTAAGTGAGCCCTGACGTTTCCAGGGCTTCTCGGTTTCCGTGCCTTGTTGGACTTATTTTGGCAATGAGCCTACACTATTGACGTCATTTTTTTCGGATGTCGCAAGCGTTCTTCAGACGCGGTCAATGCTAGCTGGACGAATCGTTTACGGACGGAATTTTACCTGTTCTAGCACTGGTTTGTTTCATGATGAGTGAAAGCAATTTTTGACCATCTTTTGATAATTTTAGTTGCATCGTAGCTTGTAGTCTGTAAGAGTGTAAGAGATATTTTTTGGTCACTTTCAGCGGGTCCTCCTGATAAATGCTCTTTATTTATAAATCATTTTAAAATTAGTTTCTAAAAGGACTTAACAAAAACGTTACATTGAGTCATCCTTACCGTGCTCATCTGTGTGAGTCGGGAGGTAGCACCAATCTAGAACAATATGTGCTTCTTCTTCCAATTGCTCATTTTTCATTGCCTTGGCAATTTTTAGCGCTTGTCTGCTGTATTCAACGCTTTCTTTAAATTTGGAAGTCAAGCGGTATAACCGGCCTAGAAGAATACATGCTTCTGCTTCCAGTTCACCATTTTGCGACTCCTTGGCCATTTCCAGTGACTTTTTGCTGTAAAATTCGCATTGCTCATAGTTTTTACTCGCATTATGCGACCAGGCCAAAACAAAGCATGCTTTTGCTTGCAGTTCCCGATTATTAACTTGCTGAGCAATCTTCAGTGCTTTTTTGCTGTATGCTATGCTTTCTCTTAATTCGTGAACCCTGTAATATGACCAAGCTAGAGCACAGTACGCTGCTGCTTGCAGTTCCCTATTTGTCACATCCTGGGCAATTCTCAGAGATTTTTTGCTGTGTGATTTGCTTTCTTTGTAGTCTTTAGTCGCATCATTCGACCAAGCTAAAGCATAACAAGCTTTTGCCTGCAGCTCTTTATTATTCATCTCCTTGGCACTACTCAGTAAGCGGTTGCTGTATTTTTTGCTTTTTTCATAGTTTCCAAACATATAATACGACCAGCTCAGAACATGGTACGCTTTTGCTTGCAGATCCATATTTCCCACTTCCTTGGCAATATCCAGTAATTGATAGCCATATCTTTTTCCTTTTTTATAGTCACCAACTTTATGACATGACCATGCTAGCACGTGACAAGCTTCTGCCTCCCGTTCCCCATTTCTAATTTCCTTGGCAATACTTAGTAATTGTTTACCATATTCTTGGCTATCTATATGTTCTTCAGTCTCGTAATACGACCAAGCTAGAAAATGACACGCTTTTGCTTGTAGTTCCTTATTTCCTACTTCCTTGGCGATACTCAAAGATTTTTTGCCGTATTCTCTGCTTGGTTCATAGAATGCAACCTCGTAAAACGACCAAGCAAGAACGCGGCAGGCTTTTGCCTCCAGTTCCTTATTTCCCGATTCCGTGGCAATTCTCGCTGATTGTTTGCCGTATTCTTGGCTTTGTTTATAGTCTCCAGCATTATAATAAGACCAGGCTAGGTTATAGTACAATAATGCTTCCTGCTTTTTATCTCCAACTTCCTTGGCAATATCTAATGATCGTTTTCCAAAGGTAATACTTTGTTTATACTCCTTGACTTCATAATAAGAGTCGCATAGAACCTCGCACGCCTTTGCTATTTCCATCTTATTTCCAATTTCTTTGGCAATGCAGAGCCCTTCATTGGCAGCATGTATGCATTCCCTAAATTTCCCTCGTGTTTTTAAGTCTTCAGCTTTCTTGATGTTTCTCATGGCACTCGTTACACCTTTCATACTCACCTTTTTCCCTGCTCCTGATATCATCTCTAAAAAATGCTTTAAACTGCTGAAAAACAAATTATAATAACAGTTATATTCACGCATCCGTTTTCGACCACGTTTTCATCGAGAGGAACGTAACAGGGGCTAGTTGTTTATTACCCGTGAGGCTCGTGCCTGCCATTTTGAGATTTTGAGAAAGCTTAGAAGGTTTTCAAACCGACCCCCCAATTCTTCATAGCTTTTTAGAAATGACCCCCCATAAATTGTACATATTGTGAAAGTGACCCCCTCCCCGCCTGACTGCGGTGGAAACTATACAGCGAATATTCTTGCTACAAATCCTGCCGAAGCTCACCACATACTTTATCTACAATCGGTCTTGACTATTTACAGCTGTTCAAGAGAGGATAGAGCTTTATCCTCTCTTCAGCTGTTACGTTCAATTTCAATTCATGCTCATTACTGCATTGTACTACTTTGATGAAACGTATAAAATGGCTCCCCAGGTAACGCTCACTTATCTGAAAATGACCCCCCAGCAAAATGGCCGGCCCCACCTCATAGGTAATAAACTGCCAGTCCCTTAGATAGACACATGCTCTTGTTTAGTTGCGCTTGTGGAGGTGTACATCACAGCAGTCACAGCAGTTATCGGGGCACTTAACGAAAAAATTCGTTTACTTAAAAAAAAATATATGTTTCTTGCGTGTCGTTGTTGGCGAAAGACATTTTGCTTGTAACTTTCCTTGTATGAATTATCCCATGTACTTTAACTTTTGGAACTTGTTAATAAGTTTACCGGAAGGAAAACAGGAGAAATTAAAAAAAAAAAAGAAACAGTTGATTTTGCCCAATAACCCTCTTCTTGAAACCTCTATAATCGTGGTCCCCCGGGAAAGAGGATCAACTCTTGTTGAACGACTTTGAATGGAGCTGTAAGGTGGGGGGGGGGGTGTCAAAAGACCGGGACTAAACGGGTGAAAGAAACCTCACAGACCCACCAAAAACCCAGGCCCATGGTTGTCTCGAAAACTCACACCCCCTAAAATACAAACGCTTGCTGTCGTCTTAAATACCTTTAATTTAATCTAACTATAGTTTTTGGAAATGAAATAAAATGAAATTAATTGAATGTCAAATGCATTGCCGTAGTATAGGCCACCGTAGAAATAAGCTAAGAAGTTTTCAGTTCAAACTCATCCACAATATTCTAATTCCAACCAACCAGTGCCTTTGGAAAATGTACGTTAAATCTTCTCCAAAATGTTAACAATGTGATGCTCCCCGTGAAACTATTATATAGCCACATATTTTACGAGCGCCCTGCCATCAATATTTTTTGGAAAAAGTTATAGGTTGGTGGAATCGTAAACGTTCTGAAAACATAAATCCCAATCCAACGGAAGCTCTTTATGGATACAATCCTGAATCTAACAGCTTTCATACTTTTAACCATTATCCCTTAATTGCTAGATATTATGTTCACGTAGCCAGAAACAAGTTTGAGACTCCCGAACTGCAGGTTTTCATTGTTCTCCTGGAAAATCCAGTGCGAAAGAGAAATATCATCAAATAGAGAAATAGTGGACCACCCTGTGCATTTCTGATTAGTGTTGACTTATAGTCATTTAGCAAACGGTCCGTGGGTCATTCGTCCATTTAATTTTCAATTTAAAAACAAAAATTGAAAATCGATGTCAATTTTTGATTTTCCATTTTTTTTCTTCCTGTATAATGGATAAACATGTTTCATAACTCTTTTTACCGTTTTCCCCTGTAAACAAAAATGAGAAAATAAACACACAGCTCTTATTTGCTACAATCAATATTAAAACGGTTATCGAACCATGGATATTTTAGCTATTCGCAGGAAAATCGTTTCCGCAGTCATCTGTTAACTACAATGACGTGAATTTAGAAAAAAAATTAAAAATTGAATGTTGCGATCAATTTTCAATTTTTGTTTTTGAACGAAGGATTGATCAATCGATCACGCTCTAAGTGACAAAAGTACCAAGAGGGGAGGACCCAAGTGCAGAAGTGCCCAGGAGGAGTGGGGGTGGGGAGGGGGGGGGTAGAAGGGAGACGGGATTGCAATTGTCCGCCGTCTTTAATGTCAGATACATCCTGGGAACTAGCCTTAGGAAAGAAGCGGGAAATAAACTTTGGAGTGCTGTTTCAGCCTAAATATGGACGCCGTAAACGTTGATTTCTTGAGAGACCTTGTTGTGACGCAGGGAAAAACACATTCACAAGTCAGTTTGTTGCTACAAGAAGCATATCCTGGAAAGAGAGGCTTAAGTTCGCGGTCCGTGAGAAGGTTTTGCCTTAAAAATGGAATACACGCGCAAAATCGGCTGTCAAACGAAGAGCTGGAACACTACACGAAACAAGTTGTTGCTCGGGTGGGTATTTTTGCTTGAAATTCTTTTTTTTTTTCCTGTGGGGAAAAAAATGGTTGAATTAAGAAATTTTTTATAAAGTAACATCATGAATGGATATTATTCGGAGAACCGTTGTTGGTACCACACGTAAACCGTTTATCACCAACCTTCACAATCTTTTCAAGGCTACCGGTCTATAAAGACACCCTGTTCAAGGCGCTAAATAGTTAAATTGTATAACCTGCTTAAGACTCAAGACCCGGATATCACACCCTGTTCAGCGCCACGGACCCTTCTAGGCCAAATAAGGGACTGCGCCCCTAAGAGTGGAGATGAAATCCTCATTCTATTCCAAATCAACATTGATCACCATTGGCAGACTGATATATGTCTAGTACATTTAAATTTCACCATCATAGTAGGAGTAAAACCTTACCTTTTCTTCAGGCAAAGTCTGGAAGTCTCAGCCAAAATGCAATAACTATGACGTTGCAAATTGATGACACCAAAAGCACACGCTCTCTGTCAACTCCCTCTTAGCCTGTGTGCAGACGTCCTCCCTCCCTCAGAAAAAAAATTAATTTTTTTTCTGTGGGGGCGTCTGTACACAGGCTACTACCTCTTAACTAATCAACTTTCAATCGGCTGGACACTTTTTAAATTGGCAACTTGGAGATGTCTCCCAAAGGTGTCCATCTCAAAGACAGTTGAAATATATCATATTAAGTTCTTGACGTGTTTTACTCAAGGTTGGGAATTTCTTAGTTTTGATGTTACAGCGGCGGTTCAACAAAGAGAGAACTCAACCCCGACCCCCGTGCCCATAGTGTTCTATTTACAATTCAAGATGGCGTCTTTGGTCGGGTAGCATGTAGCTTGGACAAGTACAAGGCCCTTACTCCCCCACCTCAGTCCCTTCCCCTCTTCCCTCCCCTCCCCTACTGGACACTTCTGCACTTGGGTCCTCCCCTCTTGGTACTTTCGTCACTTAGAGCGTGATCGATTGAACAATTCTTCGTCCACAAACAAAAATTGAAAATTGATCGCAACATTCAATTTTTAATTTTCTTTCCTTAATTCACGTCATAGTAGTTGACAGATGACTGCGGAAACGATTTTCCCGCGAATAGCGAAAATATCTATGGTTCGACAACTGTTTTAATATTGATTGTAGAAAGTAAGAGCTGTATGTTTATTTTCTCATTTTTGTTTACAGGGGAAAACGGTAAAACAATTATGAAACCTGTTTATCCATTACGCAGGAAGAAAAAAATTGGAAAATCAAAAATTGACATCGATTTTCAATTTTTGTTTCTGAATTGAAAATTAAATGGACGAATGACCCACGGACCGTTTTCCCCTGCGTAACAACAATATTATATCCCTCACGAACCCGATAAAGATTTAAAGATTTAAAGGCTTGTTTATGGTGGAAAGTGCACTTAGCTTATCCAGCTAGTTTACAGACACTCAAGTCAAATACTTAGAAACAAAATTCAAATACAACATAACAGGATTAAAAACCCCAACTGGCAGGAGGCAATTAGTTGGCTATTTATAAGCGTTGCCGAGGATTTGAACTCGGGAAGACCGAGAGATCAAATGGAGCAAGTCCCCAGAGCGGGACTAGAACCCGGGACTGCCGGATTGCGAGTCCGACGAGCTTACTACTCCTCGGCCACGCTGCCTCTCTCGATGTTTATGTCGCCTATATTTAGACTGAAAACAGCTCCAAGAAACTGTCGCGGACAACTACAAGGCCCCTTCCTGCCCTCCATGTCAAAGGCGCTAAATAATGAAATTGTACGTTAGGAGCCGACTAGATGGAAATCCACAATCTGTACAGCGGCACATACCCATCTAGGCCAAAATAAGCCCTGCAAATGACGGTGGCGTGGACAAGTAAAACTAAAGTCCCCTTCCTCCTTCCTTCCCACAATAAGGTTTTAAGAACCAGAATTGAGACATGTACCAGCTTGTTATTAACGACGTTTTGACCCGTAACGGCAATAATTTTTGGAATTTCCCGTTAGGTCAAATTTAAAGTCACACTATATTTTGGGGAGCAGAGAGGTGTACGACAATAAGGCTGTATTCTGTCGCCGCTTTTATTTAACCTTTATCTAAACGAACTACCCTTCATTCTAAATAACAATGCTAAAGATTCTATCTTAATACCAGATGGTTCTCACTTAAACTGTCTACTTAATGCCGATGATTTACTTCTAATATCTACCTCGGCAGAAGGTTTGCAACAAAGTCTTGACAGACTATCAAAATATTGTCAGGATTGGCTTCTTAAGATTAATCCAACTAAAATTTATGGTTAGCAATGTAAACATTGAAATCGTCAATAATTATACCTGTCTTGGAGTGAAATTTTCTGCCAATGGAAATTTTACAAATCACAAGGAAAACTTAACAGAAAAAACGAAGAGATCCTTTTTTGCCGCTCGTCGTTATCTAGATGTTCTAAAATTACCAATTCACATCATCAACAAACTGTTCAATACTCTATTTTTCCCAATTTTAACGTATTGCTCTGACGTTTGGGGAATCTATGATAAAAGCGATTATAGCCGCTGGGATAAAGACTCGATTGAGAAAACGCAAATACATTTTTGTAAGATAAGTTTAGGTTTAAACAAACGTTCACCGAATGTTGCATCGAGAAATGAACTTGGTAGATTATCTCTAAATTTACAAATAACAATGAACATTTTCAAGTTTTGGATTCACCTTGAAAATCAATCCCCTGACAGCATCGCTATAAACTCTGCTTAAACATATCGGATCAAATGGCCGAAGAAAATAAATCAGGTCTAATAAATGAAATAAATCTTTTGAGTACACAACTTAATATTCATAAACAATCAATTAACTTTAAAAACCCTTCTACTTTCCTATCCAAAGCTGAAAATAATTTGTCAAAACATCTGAAAAACCACCAGTTAAATTTGATAAGAACAAATGAAAAACTAAAATTCTACTCCATCTTTAAAAATGAAGCAAATCACTCTGAATTCATCAATCATATCCGGAATCCTGAACATAGGCGTGTAGCTTCCAAATTTAGGTTAGGAAATCATAATTTAAAAATAGAAACTGGAAGATTTACAATCCCTAAAACTCCTGAAGACCTTAGAATCTGTGATCATTGCAACCAAAATTCGGTTGAAAATGAACTGCACATATTATTTCACTGTGATCAATACAATGATTTGAGAAAGACTCTTTTTATTAAAATCAAGGACCGAAATACATTATTTACAAATTACAATATCCATGATAAAGTCTGTTTCCTTTTTAACAATACTGATTCACGTATCAGCAGGCTAGCTGCTAATTTCGTCTTTCAAGCATTTGAAAGACGAAAGAAACATAGTTAATTCTACCGTTCCATCACATCTTCATTTCCTTAAATTTAGCTGTTTCAGTGTTATTGTTATTTTAATCGGTAACGCCTGTACAAAATGGTAATACTGAATAAACTTGTTGTTGTATTTCAATTCTACTTGTTGCGAATTCTACTTCCTGTTGCGAATCTGTATAATCTGTCACAGCGAAAACGTAACGCTTCCTCGCGCAATTTCAGTTTCTCGAATATTTCCATGCACTGAATAGAAAAGGCTGTGGCCGTAACTAATTGGTTACGAGACACCCAACAGTCTGAGTTTTCCGGGGTTCTGAAGGACTGAGTTTTCGTATAAAATTACTGCGACTTTAAAGCAAAGTAAAATAAGGTATATGGCCGAAACCTTTCGTCTCGAAGACTAAATTAACGGCCAATAAAGAAAGCAAACTTTAGCCTCTTTTATTCTCCATATTGGACCGCCATAACCAATGCAGCCTAAATGCAGCAAAAATTGACATCAGAATAGTCAGAATGCCTGTCATTCTGACTCAGTGACAATCGACTGAAACAAACGCGAAATCAAAATCACGTACAGTCACACACACGTACCTGTAGTCGGTGTAGTGGCCACGAAACTTTGCTGAGACTTTACAGCGTTATTTGCTTTTACTCTCACTGGTTTATACCCAGCGAGAAAAAAGAACTCGAAAACAGATCAAAACGATTGCTTGCTTTTGCTTGCAAAGTTCGTCACGAGCGTCGCGAATAGGTTCGAGTCTGTCAACGATTAAAATCACGTGAATGACGTTCGAGTGAATATTTTTAAAACGTGAAGGTATTTCTAGTTGCCTGCGTGCAGACGTCTCCTATTTCTTTTGTTGCACGCGGAAACAATGGAAATAGGAGACGTCTGCACGCAGATAAAATTTCTAGGAAATACGAGGTGGCTCAGCAACTTTCATTTTTAATTGCATTTGCATTTTTCTATCGTTATTTACATTTTCTCTGCGTTTTTTGTTTTAGATTTTCATATAGACCTTGTCACAGTTTTCGACGCCATCTTGACGAGAAGGTAAACGTGTGAGAAATTATAGTCGGTGTGAGAAAAAAATATGAATTGTAACAGCTAAAGCTACAAAGCAAAGCGGATTGTCCTAAAATATTTTGGGGGCATACCTGTGCTTAAATTTCTCCAGAGGCTTGCTTTAGATTTTCCATATATTTGCCTGTAATTTTTCCCGGGACTTTCTTAGGCCATCCCCTTTCTTTTTTCGTTTAGTCGAATGCGTTTCCTGATATTGGGTCGGTCGGTCGGATTGAAAAAAAAAAAAACTAAAAAACAAATCGCAAGAAGTCTCGAAATAGGAGGCCCTTGTACCCCAGGACGACGTTAAAAGTTAACATTCATATATTTGGATTAACAAAATGCACAATATACTGTAAAAAATGTTCATGTTTTTGTTCCTGTTTTCTTTATGCTGTTACTATGTTCATTTATCAGATTAAAAGAATTATTTCAAGTGAAAAATGGTTGAACTACTTTTTTTTTTTTGAAAATACCAAAAATTTGGGTCGGTCGGGCGACGCTAAACGGAGAAAAAAAAGCTGGGATGGCCTTACAGACAAATGTATAGAAAATTTTAAAAAGTGGTTCTAGGTCTTCTAGCGCATGTAACGCCCTCAATTTTTTTTCAGTAGAATTCTTAGGAGTGAAGCTTTAGTTTACAATTTATATTTATTTTTCAGAACAGCCGTTCTACGGAAATTATTCGGCATTAGATTATCATACAAACACTGCCGGTAATTTCTCACGCTTGCGTACTCGTCAAGATAGCCTGCGTAGCATGGCGGTTTTGTCGAGCTGGGCGCAGGAGCGGCGTAGCAGCGAAATTCGCGCGCGAAGCGCGCGAGAACGAGCGGCGAAGCCGCGAGAAGAATAAAAACCGCCTGCCCGGATTCGTGGCCTTTTCAACTGCCGCCCCCTTCAACTCATTTTGACATCCTGTTGACAACTTGTTTGGTTTCCGTTTTCCCAGCCGATCAGAAATAAAGTGTTGACAGCCTAAACACGACACAAAAGCTCGTGATATAGTGTAAAACGTGACCTTGGCCGGAATTGGAGTTTGCTTGAACAAACAGAGGTATTTTCCTTGTGGCTATCTCGCGCATAGGTGACTACACTGCGTTCTAAACTTGACTGAGTAGATCTTATTTTTGCTGCACTAAGTCTTACATTTATTTAGAGGTCATGGAGTTGGTTTGTTTAATCCGTATTGAGTAATTATTTCCTGGGGTTAATGTTATTTTCGCTAATTAGAATTTGTTGATCTCAGATGCAGTTGTAAAGTACTAATTTCTTTAACCATTCTTAAAGCCTAAAGCTTTTTATTACGGCTAAATAAATATTTTAGTTTCTTTGGTCTTTTCCGACTAAAATGCCTGGATCTGGACAACTACAAACCAAGGAGCCTTGGTTTGTAGTTTCTTTGTCACTGCTTTGTCCGTGAATGTTTTGACGCTGGACCCGGCTTTTTAAGTGTTGTTTGCAGGATGTTGTATTTTTACGTATAGCGCGATCTTCAGATTTGAGTTGTAGCTTAAGCTACACCAAGCAAAAAAGTATGGAGAATTACGCTGTGCGTCTTCTACCGTATGCGATTCATCGACCACAATCGCGGATACCGTTCGATGTATTGCGCTGGAGTGCGTTATTCTCTAACACCGAGTAATAGAGAAAATTGAGGTGAACTTTCTCGAAGCACTGAAATTTACTGTTTCTGTCATAAGGTCCATTGCTTTACGGCTCAGCGACAACATTTCAGATATCTGGTCGTCGATAGTACATTTTAGAGGAGGAATTGTGATCATACAGGTTTTCGATGAGGATATTTCTTCTTTGGCCATAGCAAAGACAGTAAAGATCATGCTCTTGCCAAATCTTGTTGACAAAATTTCCATGACATCTCTCCTTTGAAGAAGACTGTAAATGGCCATTTCCTGTTTAGGCTTCAATACAATTGCCCTGTTTTCACGTCAAATATTCAAGATCGACGACGCTCCGGTCAACACTTCTTTGATATTTTGATTTTGTTTTTCGGAGGTGATTTGTTCAGTCCCTCGAAACTCTCCCATGGGAGATTACCAAAATGTTTGATTGACAGGCGAACATTTCGAACCAATCGGAACGATCCGTACGCTGGCGTGCGAACCGACTCAAAAAAGCCCCCCGTCCGTGCAGGCGGTGTTTCAAGTTGCTTCCGCCCCAATCTCCTCGCGGTTTCTCTGCCCTCGCCCGCCTTTATTACTTAGCGCGCCCAACCAAAACCGCCATGCTACGCAGGCTATCGTCAAGATGGCGTCGAAAACCGTGACAACGTCTATTAAAGCAACGTTTAGTGAGTTGATATTCATAGTATCTTTTAACAATTTGTTTACCAATTTGTTTTGCACCAGATGTCTGAAGGAAAGACAGAAAAGTGAATCTATAGTATGAGGATCGAATCAGCTATGCCAGCGCATTACGAGCCGCAAGGTCGATTTTCGTGCACGCACCAGGGATCCTTAATTTCCATGGAGATACCCACAAACTGGACTCAAGTAACTAAAAGGCGTTAGTCTTGACACATTTCCTTGCGCACCTCAGGTGTTCACATTAATCGCTTTCTGTCAGTTCATCTGTCAATAAACTCATTTTAGAACAGGACACAAATTTGCGTCAAATATCAGAGCTTGTCTTCTGCGCGCCGAATTTATACCATCGGAGCGAGATATTTTAACTCAGCTATGGTTCTCGTCAAAATCACTTAATGAAAATACTTAAATTCATGGTTGGTGTTAAAAAAGGGTCTTGGTGCAAGTCTTGGAAAAAAAAGAAATATTTTTTTCGTTTCTTAAGCGAAAGGCAAAATCTAGCGCTTTATGAAGGTCGAATTCGAACCCTCCAAAGTAATAATTATTCGGTACGTTACCTGGTAAGTTACATATTGTCGCCGAAATGGTTTCAAAAGTTCAACGTGAAGAGTTCTGGATGTTATTTCGCATTATGTCCGAAGGACAGAAACTGTGTTCGCCGATATAAGGTAAGAGAGACCTTTATTATTTAAAAGGTAGAGAAGCAGCTTGTTATGGCTCTCGCATGCGGAGTTCGAGCACTTCGGTGAAGCCGGTTTGACGACACTGAGGAAAACAGAGGAAAATATTTACTTGCCTTTGGTATTGTGTATATCCTCGATCACTATACAATAACGCACAAATATTATAATTCAAAGGGCATTTACAACACGCGCCAAAAGAGCCGTGATCCCGCCAAAATGCTCGAACCATCTAACAGAGCGTAAAAAGGGGGCTGGTAGGCAACACACGACTTTTACCTCGTGCCAAAATGCTGCTTGTTCCAAAAATTGTTTTCTCTGGTGGGTATATTATATTCTGGGTTCTACTCTTTGAATGAGTAAATGTGAATTTTGCCACTTGTTTCATACTGAGAGGTCATGACACGCATATTGATTTTCTGCGGTTATTGTTTCTGGTCGGCATGATTTGTCCTCCGATGCAAGAGCACTTTCTTCGACCTCTTTTGAAATGAAAATCTCTTTCTTTGCGGCTAAATAAGAGTTTTAGGTTGTTTAGTCTTCTCCAAAGTGCCTCCTGGATCTGAATAGCTAAAGGCGATATTCTTTTGTCCGTGAATGTGATGGTTTCCTTCAATTTATGTCACGCTGGGCCCAGCTCGTTTAGTATTTTCTGCACGATGTTAGATTTTCACCGAAAGTGATTTACAGATTCAAATTTTGAGGAATGGATTATAGGAACGCATTTTGTGAAGAGAGATTTTATAAGTAAAAAGAACTCGGATCCTTAAATCGATCGTGTTTTAGCTAGCCAATTGCCATTTTCATATCCTGTGTTAGTTCGGATAATTCAGTAGGTTATTCTCTCCTCTCCCTCTTAGCTTACAGGCGGCGCGCCCAAGTTTAAGAGGTGAAGAGAGATTTTTTTCAAGGGTAAAAAACTCCTAGCTTGAATCGATCATGTTTTACTATCTAGCCAATTGCAGTTTTTATGAGCTATGTTAGTTTGGATAATTCAGTAAATTTTTCTCTCCTCCCTCTTAGCTTACAGGCGGCACGCCCAAGTTTAAGAGGTGAAGAGAGATTTTAAAGGGGAAAAACTCGTAGATTGAATCGTCATGTTTTAGCTAGCTAGCCAATTACAGTTTTCATGCGCTGTGATAGTTTAGATAATTCAGTAAATTTTTCTCTCCTCTCCCTCTTAGCTTACAGGCGGCACGCCCAAGTTTAAGAGGTGACGAGAGATTTTTTCCAGGGCAAAAAGCTCGTAGCCTGAATAGACCATGTTTTACTAGCTAGCCAATTGCAGTTTTCTTACGCTGTGTTAGTTTGGTTACTCTCTCCTCTCCCTCTTGGCTTCCAGGCGGCACGCCCAAGTTTAAGAGGTGAAGAGAGATTTATTTAAATTGAAACACTCGTAGCTTTAGTCGATCATGTTTTATTAGCTAGCCTATTGCAGTTTTTATCCGCCGTGTTAGTTTAGATAATTCAGTAGGTCATTCTCTCCTCTCCCTCTTAGCTTACAGGCGGCGCGCCCAAGTTTAAGAGGTGAAGAGAGATTTTTTTCAAGAGTAAAAAACTCCTAGCTTGAATCGATCATGTTTTACTAACTAGCCAATTGCAGTTTTCATGCGCTATGTTAGTTTGGATAATTCAGTGGATTATTCTCTCCTCTCCCTCTTGGCTTACAGGCGGCGCGCCCAAGTTTAAGAGGTGAAGACAGATTTTTTTTCAAGGGTAAAAAACTCGTAGCTTGAATCGATCATGTTTTACTCTCTAGCCAATTGCAGTTTTCATGAGCTATGTTAGTTTGGATAATTCAGTAAATTTTTCTGTCCTCTCCCTCTTAGCTTACAGGCGGCGCGCCCAAGTTTAAGAGGTGACGAGAGATTTTTTTCAAGGGCAAAAAGCTCGTAGCTTGAATAGACCATGTTTTACTAGCTAGCCAATTGCAGTTTTCTTACGCTGCGTTAGTTTGCTTACTCTCTCCTCTCCCTCTTGGCTTCCAGGCGGCACGCCCAAGTTTAATAGGTGAAGAGAGATTTTTTTCAAGAGTAAAAAACTCGTAGCTTCAATCGATCATGTTTTATTGTCTAGCCAATTGCAGTTTTCCTGCGCTATGTTAGTTTGGATAATTCAGTGGATTATTCTCTCCTCTCCCTCTTGGCTTACAGGCGGCGCGCCCAAGTTTAAGAGGTGAAGAGAGATTTTTTTCAAGAGCAAAAAAACTCGTAGCTTGAATCGATCATGTTTTACTATCTAGCCAATTGCAGTTTTCATGAGCTATGTTAGTTTGGATAATTCAGTAAATTTTTCTCTCCTCTCCCTCTTGGCTTCCAGGCGGCACGCCCAAGTTTAAGAGGTGAAGAGAGAAATATTTAAATTGAAACACTCGTAGCTTGAGTCGATCATGTTTTACTAGCTAGCCTATTGCGGTTTTTATACGCTCTGTTAGTTCGGATAATTCAGTAGGTTATTCTCTCCTCTCCCTCTTAGCTTACAGGCGGCGCGCCCAAGTTTAAGAGGTGAAGAGCACATGATAAAATCATGGCCAGGTTTTTTCAATAACATTTTATTCAATTTATTTTACATTGGAAAAAAGTTTACAACAAGATAATTGAGATCATGAAAATTATTTTAAATAATTTACCGTATTTAAATCCTTTCCCATTTAAATGTAATAAAACAACCAGTTGTATTTTAGTGCATAAAAGGCATCTAAAAACTTAACTTGTACATATCAAAAGTATCGGTGATTTTGCAATGACAAGTAATCTTTATTGCTTCAATAATTTATTTCAGTTTTGCATGCTAGACCTTAAAGAAGGACTTTCGAACTGAAAGACTTAAAAAGCCGGTTCCGTTAGGACCCAGACCACCCAATGCCCCCGCCCTGATAGTGAGCAAAACAAATTGGATCTTTTTACCGGAAAATTCAGCTTTTATTTCGTTTTTTATTGAAGCACCGAATTCGAAAAAACAGAAATTAATTTTTCATTATTTTGATTGTATCAGGTCCAGCTTTTACCTACAAAATAGGTAGTTTTTTTTTACTTTACCTATTCACTTTTATTTATTTATTTGTTTACTGAACAGAATCATCGAAGGTACTAAGAGTAATTCCAAGCTTAGAAACAATGTTTTTCAACAATTTTGTGACAATTCAATCACAGGGATATGAATTTTGGTAAAGGCCTCGTTAGTGAACAGGAAGGATGTTCAACACATCCAGTTGACTCTGTCTTTGGTGGCAGGACCAGGTCCAGCGGCAGGAGTAAAGATCTCCTTCTTTCCACCTCCTTCCAGCACCAGGGTTTCCCCTTCCCGTCTGAGTGAAGTCAGACCTTCCAGGATGGAGGTAGCCTCATTCTCCAGCTGCTGGAGCTCTGGAGACGGCATCATCATTGTTGACATGACTGGTCCTGGCACAAGTTTACCATCAGCACCCAGAGTTGCATCGCAGGATATAATGTTGGCCACCTCGGCTGCAATGTGCCAGGCTCCTTCTCCAGTTTTCTCAATCATCAGCTTGAACCTCCCCTGCCAGTCTCCCTCCACCCCTTGTCTTGGAGTGGGAACAAGCTGGAAAGCAGCTAGGTTAGAAGTAGCAGTCTCAGAGATTGTCACACCCTGTCCTGCTTCATCCATGGAAACCGCTGGGCGGAACTCCATCCCACTGTAGCCAGAAATATCAAATGCCACTCCAAGTCCACTTCCATTTTTAGAGAATGCCAGCACAGTCTTGTCACCAGTCTCCTCCAACCGCATTCCAATGACATCACCATCACCAAACTTAGGTCCCCAGCGACTGGTCACCAGGCTACTGCCATCACTCAAGTTGCCCGGCCCGCCATAGAACAATCCCTTCATCCCCCAACCAGCTGCAAACTTATCCTCAGCAGAAACTCCCACCCAGGTTCCGGAACTTCCAGTCACTTTAAACTCCCAACTCCCAGTTCCACCTTGACTCCAGATAGCATTCCCCTTGGAGTTGCCACTCCCAGTGAAGCTAACCTTTGCTCCAGAAACTGTCAGTTTAGCTGATCCATCATCTCTCCACGCCATATTGTTGAACTGATACTAGGGCTAGGGCTGTGTTGATGTAAGTAAAGGTTAGGCTACACGTTTAGAATAAGGTTTATAATTGACAAGGTATCCAATCGAAAATGTCCCTACAAAAAGGAAGAGAGCGTGGGGACATTATTTTTGTGTGGAGCCCTTCAACAGTAATAAAATTATTATTATTACTATTCTTTGTTAACCTGTGTTTTTTCTTCAGTTGATGATGTCATCTATTTGAAAAACCACTGACCATTTTCATTGCATTGAGAGTTCAAGTATTTATCCTCAAGTATAATTTTTTTCATAGGTTTAAGATGTCATCTTTTTTGTTTCACTGGCTAAAATAAGAAAAAAGTAGTGTTTGGAAAAATGGATCACCTTAAACGCCCCATAGAAATTGAAATCGTGGGTTTAAAAAAATCAAATAAGCCTACTAATTCTACCCTGTGTGGCTGGCAGGTTTGTTATGTGCTGGGCATTTTCTTTATGGGATGGGGAAATAAAATTTGACTTGCACCCAAACTTGTGGTTCTGCTACCAAAAACAACAGCACGTCCCCCACTTATCCCACTAGCTGGCTATAACTAAATCAAATGGAATCAACTGAAAAAAGTTATTAAAAATTAAAACTATTGTAGCTGCTGACAAGATAAATAATTATTTTTGCCTAGAAGTTACTTATTCATGTGGTAACCTTTTAAGACAATTTTTCTTTTACAGTAATTATAATTATTTTCCCTCTTAACCGTCAGTACCATCAGGATCAGCAGAAAACATTTATCTTTATCTCAGCAGAATTACATGAAGGGTTAAAAAAGACTATGTATAAGCAATATCTTTTTACCTTATATCCCCTTATATTCATACTGTTTGTTGCATAACATTTCAATCATTTATGCATTTAAACCGTCATGGGGGTGCTTGCCATTTTGCAAAACAAGCTGGTTAGAAACCAGTAGATCTTGCCAGGTGAAAACGTAATAACATTATTCTTGAAGCAAAGTTTCCAACTAGGTCAAAGCATTCTATTTAAGTTAAGGCCTGAATTCTGATTACTTTTTGCAAGGTGAAACTCGAAATTTGGGAAATTGAAATGGCAAAGTGTTGGCCGGACAAGACTGACTGCTTAAAATAAGTTAGGACCTGTCGAGCTCTGGAAGTGGATCAGTTTTTCTGGAGAATTTTTACAAGCCAGACATTCCAATCATATTTCAACAACAATTTCCAGCGGAGATTTCGGCATCTGTAAACTCAGCATTATCCCTTTTTTACTTCTAATAAATTACAAGTCCATCTTGTTAAAACATTTTGACTTTATGGACTCAAAGAGCCAAATAAATTCTGAAAAATGTATTCTTCCCCAATCTCGTTTCCAGTAACGGGCATGGAAAGTAAAATGTTATATATTTGTACTTACCTCTTCGTGTAGCAAACAAAACACTCTGGCTTTTGCAATCTTAGGCCTTGGCCTCTTCAGATGTGTTGATATCTGCACAAGCTGAGCTGAAGTATGAAATAAGAAAACAGACAGCAGAGTTTTTACATCACACACACTCCAGGCAGTAGGCCAAGTTTGATGCATAAATTACCTAATGAATTAATAATTTTGCATAACCAACCACTTACAGCCCATTGCACTCTCTTCCTTTCAGACATTGATACAGAGAAACTATAAGCTACTATAGGTATTAGTGTAGAAATAAACTTCACTTACCTCAACTTGGGCTGGAAGAAATCTAGCCTCACTGTGTATCTGGTACGTAATTTGTTATGCACTGGGTATTTTCTTTATGCAAGGCAGAATATTCGGCTTGCTCCCAAACTTCCTGCAGTTCTGCTGCCAAAAAATGACAGCACTCCTTAGCTAACTAACCCCACCAGCTACACACGCTGGCTAATTGAATCAAATGGAATGAACTGGAAAAATTAAGGCCAGGTGATTTCCACTTGCTGTAATTAAAATAAAGCAAGACCATTGTAACTGTTGATGGGATAAATGTTTTTTTTTGCCTTGAAGCTAGTTAATTATTCATGTGGTTAAACCTTTTTAAACAATATTTTATATTTTCTATCAGTACTATCAGGAACAGCAGTTAAAAAATTATCTTGGTCTTGGCAGAATTATATGAAGAGTGAGAAGACTATATAATAGTGTTCTGTTCAATGTTTGTGCTGTAACATTAATAAATAATTGCCAAACAAGCTCAGAAACCATTGGATCTATCCATAAGTGCAGGAAAACATGATAACAACACTATTCAATAATTTAAAGCAAAGTTTCCGACTGGTTCAAAGCAATTCCGCTTTTAAGTTAAGACCAAAATTCTGATTACTTTTCACAGACGGTAAAATTACAAGAAAATTGGTAAATAGAATGGTAAGTGTTGGCCAGACAAAACTAACTGGCAAATTGGTCTAAATAATGGACCAACTCTACACTGTAGAAGTGAAAGTTTTCCCCCGGGGGGAGGGGGGGTACTTGGGTTAATGTTTGCTGGGTATGTGCCGTTGGCGTATTCCATTTTAGTAAAATCCAACTAGTGGTCTATTATCAACGCTGCATTCTGATTGGTTGAGCTACTACTAGGCTATATGTTATAGCCCACTAATAGAGAAAAGTGCCAGGTTTTTGGCGGCAAAAAAGGATTAACGTCTAGCTTTAACTAGCTAAACTTTTTTTAGTCTCAATATTTTTTACCAGCTAGTTGGATTTTACTAAAACAATTATTATTCCTCGAGCCGAATGGCCTCCGAGTCAATATAGCCCATTCGGCCTTCGGCCTCATGGGCTATTGACTCACAGCCCATTCGGGGTCGAGGAATAATTGTTAAATAGTCTATTTTTTGGCCAATTACACTCCCCATCTTAGTCACCTTTTGGAAAACGTAATTGTCACGATCCCAACTTAGTCTCTTTCTATTTATGCATCTACTTTATCAATATGGTTTCAAGCGGCGGAATGTAATGCTGTCAATGCAAGCGTATTGTTAATTTTAATAAACAACAACTTTCTGACTTTTTTAACCGAGAATCTTCCCATTTTGGATCCCTTCTTACCCCAAACATCCGAAAATTTGCGACCCCATTATAGTCACTCCAGTTGAGAAAATGCAACCCCATCCAGCAACACATCCCCATTAGCCTCTTGTGAGGGAGTACCTCCCCCCCCTCTCAGAAACTTTCACCTGCAGCTGGACATCGACCAAAACTTCCAGCGGAGATTTCGGCATCCATAACTCAACATTTTTTCTTCTCATTAAGTTACAAGTTACCACTATTTTTGTTACAAAAATAATATTTCAATATACCGACGAGCCTCCGCATGCAAACACCCTGTCATTACCGAACTCGTCCAAAAAGTGACCACAATTTTCCCAGTCTAAGCCAAAGTCGGAACCTCTCATACCCACTGAACATAATTTTTAATTTTATTTCTCAAAATTATGCATGCTGCTTATGCTTTTGTATCAAAAATAACTACTGAATACAAACACCAGTGGCACAATTTAATGCTGGGATAGTTTGAAGGAATTAAGCTGGTGTCTAAAAGTTGAAAAATTACCAAAAGACTGAGATTGTAAAACGCAGGTCTTCAGCTATTAACAGGAGACTTCTGTCCCATATATATAATAACTGTAATAAAAAGCGGTCATCATGGTCATCAACTAGAAACTTAGCAGTTTGCTGACATTATGAAATATGGTTGATTGGAAGAAACAATTGTTATTAGATGAGGTTTTTGTGATCAAGATATAAAGTGTTATCAGCGATCTGAAGGCCCAAGGCTGATTAAAATGCACGTCTAATAGCAAGACCTTGATTATTTAGGATATCAAGTATAACTGTTTTATTATACGACTGTTTTGAAGAAAATTACGACAAACATACTGTTGCAAGGAATTGTTATTGGAAATCATGAATTGCGCGCACAACCTACAAATTAGTCAGTTATCTGCTGGTAGATAACTTACTAATCAGCAGTACTGTAGGTTGCGCTGATTTCCAAAATAAGCCTCTTAGCCAATGAGAAGACAGATGGTGAGGGCAACGTATAACAATCATAAATGATATTTATCTCCTTTCTATTCATATACTCATCTTAGGCTTCTAGCATTAAGCTTAAGTCTACTCGTTAAAATTAATATCTGCTATTTTGTAGAATTTTGGAGTGGGGAAAGAGTGCTTTTATGGGGTCTGAGGCTTATATGTCCAGCTATGTCCCCCCTCCTTCAACCCGTAGAGGAGAGTTTTGTCAAAGGAAGTGCATTCAAAATGTTTAAGGTTAGAAAAAGCTCAAGAGCCGTCGCGGTAACTCCTTTTAAACACTCCAAAAGCGGTGGAAACTCTAAGGTACATCCCACAACCCAATCTGTTATGTATTCTTTTCGATCACGTTTTCAGTTGCAGGTATGAAATGTAAAATGTTGCAAAGTACATACCTCCTAGCTTCTTGTAGCAAAGAAAACGGGCTTTAGCAGTAGGCCTCCGCCTCTACATCTGGGTATATATTCAAAAGCTGAGCTGAAGTAAACAGACGGTGGAGAAGGTAGCGCAGACGAGTGCAGACTCTGTGTACAGCACGCACAGGCAGCCCAAGGTCGATGCATAAAATATAATTTACTTTTGCATGATCACTTACGACAGACAGTTGGTACAAAAGTTAATCAACAGATCGATATTGAAATTTAGGTGAAAGTGTAGGCACAAACTTCATTTATCTTAACTTGGGCTTGTTTTTGCTTTTTCTTCGTTATAAACCCAGACTCAGTTTATGTCCATTTTCAACTTCGTCCCATAAAGAAAGCCTGCATCTAGCTGAAAACTGAAAAACTCCATGAAAATAATGAAAACCATAACTTTCGCGTTTCGTTCTTCGTCTGTATCATCAAATAATATTACAATATTACACTGTGGTTTGGAAAAAATAGACTCTGATGGGTTAATTGCAACTGTTGGATGTTACCCCGCGTGTACGGCTTCTGCAACTCGCGTGACATTCTTGGCCTGATGGCTCAAGGCGGCACATAATTAAGGTCAAAATATTGATATACAGCTGTACATCAGCTAGCGGAAGCGGAAATCACAATTGGTCGTCATTTCCTTTTTTGTTCTCGTTCATCATGTTCGGCAGATTTGAGTGCAACTCGTAAAAGCCATTACGTTTTGGTAAGAATTGAAGTTATCCCTATAAACCTGACAAAATAGCTATTAATCTGTAACTAAAACATGTTTTTAGGTCTGACTTAGGTGCCACTTTGGAGAATTTTCTGATGATTTTGAGGCATTTATTGGTGCATTTTGCTTTCTTAATTGGAGTAGTGAAATTAAGACGACCAGTTTTTGCTGATTACTAAAAGACAATGCCTAAATGGTATTGGAACAGTAAGAAGAGGTGATATGCTTCCAAATGAGTGCATGCAAATAGTCTAGGATTTGATGACCCGAATTACTTTTAAACGATGCTTAAAAAACCCATATAACAGAGACTAAAATTTGCATATTTTAGCCGCCAACGGTCGTCCAGAATGAAATGCCGGGAATGGCAGTAAAATAAACAATTTCCTGATTCTAACTGCAACTTTGTTATTAGGATGGATAGTAGTATTGATGGCAAAAGTATAAGGCAAAAGTTTTGTCGAGTCCGAAATGGAGAGGAACGCTTTTAGGGAGACTGCCTCTTAAAAACGTACTTTCCTTGACCATAGAGTACAGAATCTACCTGCAATTTCTTCAAAAGCTTCGGTGTCCCTACACCCTAAAAAGAACCAACCATGTGCTCACTGGACAGATTCTGATTGGTCAACAATTTCTAAAGCCTTTTGAAACAATAGGGACAAAGCTCTCTCGGGAGGTGGAGAATTCGTATCCACTTAGATCTACCCTGAAAGAACATACGGACGTACGGATGTACGTTCTGTTCCTTTTTACGTAAGTACGGTGACCTCATAATCAAATTTTGCCGCAACGATAAGTTCCCTTATTTCCATAGCAATGGGGCTTCACCGCGCGCGCGGCTCCGCTACAATTGATCAAAATGTTGTGTTCCTTTTTAAACAAGAACGCGCTTACAGTGGCGTTCAGTCTTGCTTGCTTGGAGATCAGATCGAGAAATAAGGAGGCGATTAATTCTACAAGAAACAGGCTCTACTCGCTAAAGGTTTGTTACTTCCTACTTTATCAACGTCGATACTTTTTACTTGTTTCTGAATTAATTTAGTACGCGTGTTAGCGACGACCGGAAATACGTCTGTGGTCGCAGGCTATACGCACAATGACCCCCCATTTGTGTACAAAATACGATGAAAAACCCCTGGGGTTACTTCCAGAAAAATTGGGTTGGGGTGTTCGGCACGCTTCCTGAAACCCTTACCCCTTTTCAGACCAAGATCGGTGATTTTTCCTACCCTATTTCTGACCTGATCAAAAATTTGATACCATATTGCAGACCCTGAAGCCCTGGAGCCCGGCGCGTGACCGGCGCGCGTGACAAGCTGTTACAGCACGTACACGGTTGGCGTAAACAATAAAAGGGAAATGGACTTATAAAAAAAAACATGCCCAATTCAAGACTAGAGTGCACAAACCATACCCTAATTCAAACCAAAATGGTCGAAATTGATACCCTATTTCAGACATACCCTTTGGCGCCGCACATACCTATATAGCCTATGTAAGGGAGTACCCCCCCCCCCCGGGGGGGCATAAACGCGTTGCAGATTATAAGTCTCGCTGCTTAGGCTGCGTGCAAACGGACGCAACAACCCCCAACATTGTTGCGCCAACAATGTTGGGAGTTGCTGCGTGCGTGTTGGCAGTGGTGTGCAAACGGATGTAACAACTCCCAACAAGCTTGGGACCTGCAGTGCATCGTGGGAAGAATACAACCCATAAGTCTTTGCAATCCATGCGTAATGAGCGTGCCTGGCCCCAACAATGTTGGAAGAGCTCTGCAAACGGATCCAACATTGTTGCGCTACGCTTCAGCGATCACGGAACAAAAGAAATGTTGGGAGTTGTTGGCTGAAAAGTTTGACAAGTTTCAAACTTTGCGCAACAACAAGCAACAACATCCAACAACATGCAACAGGGTGTGCAAACGGACGCAACATGTAACATCCAACAATGTTGGGAGTTGTTGGCCAACAATGTTGTGTCCGTTTGCACGGGGCTTTACGCTTTAAATAATGAGAACAACTCATTAATACTTCACGAGGAAAATACAAAACTAAGAAATTCATACGAAATGAGTGTCTTTAATACTTGACATATAATAGACATAGGTAGAGTTTAACCTTCGAATTATGAAAAACTTACAAATTTTGAAATTACTAATATACAGTATTTACAGGCTTGAAAAAAGCATCGTGATACGGAAACAAAACTATAAACACAGCTCACTTGTTAAAAAGATAATTACAAAATGATTTTAGCAACGTCATCAAATCAAGACTGTTACTTTGGATAATAAATCGCCCGGAAAATCCTGACTCGTCCCATGCGTCTCTTATCATTTGTAGGCGGTCATGGAACGGTCGCGGGAGACTATTACGGCATCTCGGCCAAGACGACGATGGGAGGGATAGAGGGAACAGGAGTCTTACCTTTTCCCTCCTTCCCATTACCCCCCCCCCCCCCCCCCGCGGGCGCATCTTCCACGCGCATCCCTAGTTAATATTTAATTAGGAGACAAAAGAGACGACTGGGGACGAGTCAGCGGAAAATCTGTAGCGGAAAGAGGGTTTAGACATTGATTCCTGCATATCTGTGATTAATCTGTTGAGAGAGAAAAATTTTGGTGCTGTGTGAATATAATGCACACAACATGAGAGGATAACACAACATTTAAAGATATAGTTATTATATATTACTTTTACTTAACCAAGTATCGTCCTATACAATAATGAGAAGTATATGCTGGAGAAGGAGGGGATAACACGCTTATTATCGAAAAAAAGGCTTGGAACTATACCCTTCCGATATGAAGTTTTTAAATGAAGAAGCTAGTACAATGTCATTTATAAATTTGGTCATTTAGGACAGCCAGTGCAGTTCAAAGCAACTTAGCAGCAATAAAAAGCGTAAACCCGGCGTTGATGAAGATCATCCCAAAATGTAACTTTCAACGGACCAGGTTAACTTGGTCACCACTTTTCCTTACTCTAGCCACAGCTTGCTCCGAGGTGTATATACGGTAAAATGCGTAAAAAGAATCCTTCTAATTCGCAGGCGTTTCTAATGTCTATCGTTGAAATGTAATAGAGCGTTTGCCACCTGAAAGGTCTTGAAGCCGTCACAGGATTTAAAAACCCGCTGTCCAATGTTTGGCCAGCTTTTAGTACATCGCAAGTGGAAGATCCGTGTTTGCATTTTCAAAACGCACTCCTTCTCAACCTATAATTATCGTCAAAACTGTTTAGACACCCTACGTTTTGTCAGAGGTCTGTTTACTGTCAACTGATAAAGACTCGCAAAATACATGCTTAACTATATAAATCCAAAGACTCTGTGCAAGCAGAGGCCTCTTTTTCCTGGTATTCGGGCGCCGAATAGCAGGGAAAGGAGGCCTCTGCTTGCAGGGAAAACCAAAGACTGCGACAACAATTAACTATTTGCGTCCGCTCTGAATCAAGGTTGCGAGTAATTCCTGGCTTATTTTCCTCAGGCAAAATAGAGACTATCGATAGTCTACTCAAAACCTTTGAGTGCGACAATGGGCCCTTTGCAAAATATAGTCAAATAATACAAACAACACGTTGCTGGATGGCAAACGACGCAGTAGGACCTTGAAAAGAAAGGATATTAGCTTTTTAAATGATGTAACCTGTTTGTTTTTCTTGCCCTCTGCGTCGTTTGCCATCCAGTTAGGTGTTTTTTGTACCATGTGACCGTAATCTGCAAAGGGCCAATTGTGTACGCGAACAAACTGCTGAAGTGAATCAATGATTGAGTGATGACTTTGTCAGTATTTTAAAAGGTGAGATTCATTAGAAGTGGCGCAGGCCACTGAACTGAAGCTTAATTTGTAGAACTATGTATTGGTGTAAGGTTAAAGGTGTAAAAGAAGTGAAATATTCCAGTAACGGGTAACTTTTTGTAGTACTCACGTGTCTCCTTAAAGTGGGGCCAGTCTTGAAAAACGACGGGATCACTGAGAATATGAGCAGTAAGGGAGGCGGCCATTAAACTCGCGAACGATCTCCACCGATCAGTATCGGATTTTCTGCAATCTGCGTAGTCCGAAATGCCTTTAATAATAATCCAAGGAACGTCCAAGGCGTGGGCTGCTACATAAAGACCTAAAACGGAATAAAGTCAATGACGTGGGTAAATAAATTACCAAGAGCAGAGCCAGGCAGGTCAATGTTCTAAGGGGCAGGTTGCTAAAAAATTCGACTCCACAGGCGTGAAAGGAAGGATGGAGAATGCAATCCCTTAAGCTACGCTAAAACAGGCAACAAAAACGTGGAACATGTTTCGCAACGTTGCTGCTAAACGACTTGAAAAGCGATATTGCGCGTTTTACCACCCACAACAACTCAGGTTGTTTCGCTGCAGATAGAAGAGAGCAGATAGGCTTTATTAGTGGGTGGTAAAATGCACAACACTGCTTTTCAACACGTTTAGCAGCAGCGGTTTTAAAACAAGTTGCATGTTTTTGCTGCTCTTTTTACCGTGGTTTAATAACCATTATCTGAGGCATTGCCTCTCTCTTAAAGAGGTCACCAGGATAAGTATCTGGGGAAGAAGCGGCGCAACGATGAAACAACCGGCTAACAGGACACTAGGTTTCCTTAAGTGGAAGAAAGTGATACACGAAAAGTAAAATGCCTTTTTAAGGACACTCCCTTTCGTTAAGGGTTTACGTTCATTTCCTTAATAAAGAAGGGACTGCTATTTCTATAGAATGCGGGATGGACTACGCGACCTATTAAGGTTTAGAAGTCGCAGAACAATGATAGAACCTAAATTTAGTAAAATGAGGGAGACCCTGCTATTAGCCGGGCTTGAAATAGAACTCACAAACTCCCGTTTTTTAGGCTATATAGTGCTTTGCCGACTGACCTAAACCTGCGGTCAATAGGGTTATTAGCTATACGCTAAACAAGATGGTAAGTAAAACGGTTTCGTTTTCTGGATCATAAGATTAAGGGTATGACAACAAAAGACGGGCGTCTTGAAGTCACTCACAGCTGACCTTTAACGACTCCGGAGATTCTGATTTTGGATTCATAAACAAACACAAATTTACGTTTAAAGTCTCTTTTTACGTAAACATCCATTATCTCTCGCCCCATGCAAGGAAATCCGGGAAAATCCTGCTTATGGAATCCGGAATCCCACTAACGATTGGAATTTAGAATCCAAGTTTGACTGTTACGAAAAATTGTATTGCGTGACTAGCGTGACTTTCTAGAAGGTTCGCGAGAGTTCGTAGTTTGTTTATTTTAGGATCTTATGTAAGCGTTTCTAAAAGCGGTATATTTTGTAATCTTTCTATAATTAGACTATTTAGAATGTTCTAGAATCTTATTGTAAAAGTATATAAGTAGGCGAGTCTAAGTTAAGTTTTAACTAGTTTTCACAAGCGAGGACAGTTTGACGTTAGTCGTGTTTAGTCAAGTGTGACGAAGGTAGAGTTTATTCAAGTTGGCGGAGGCCGTGTAAGTTTATCAAGTTAATTGAAGTTGGCGGAGGCCGTGTAAGTTTATCGAGTTAAGTGCTGTTGTGGAGTTTTACTTCGTGGAAACTACGTTCATTTGTGGGATAAATCTTCTTGTTGCTGTTCCGACAACCCTGCGTTCAGTTTAGTTTGCAAGCTACCCGTCCTCTAAAAGATTACCCGCGTAACATTGACTGACAACATCAGTAGTTTACATCAGGAGATTGCTACTGATGAACAGTTACGACACGTACAGCTGTAGTTATATCTTTTAGCAACTATTATAACTTGCAGTCTGTCCACTTTGAATTGGATAGACTGGAATCCAGTACCTGGAATCTGGAATCCACGGTGTTGAATCCAGAATCCTAGACCGTCTTGGATTCCCGTTACATGGGGCGATATCTCGCTTTTCCAGTTAATTAAGGTGTCATCATTAGTAGAAAAAAGATTCCTAAAATAAAACTCTACTTCCTACAAAATTGCTTAAAACTGTCATAATAAGTGTGCATAACAGGCGTTAATTAGCCGAGCATAAGAAGGGAGACAATCAGTTCCGTGGGTCTCCCTTTCGTTTCGCGCTCGGCTAAGGAACGCCCGTTACGCAGGCTATCACCGTATGTCATAATATGCTTACCTTGCCCTTCCAATTCCATAGCAATTGCCTGTGGAAAGCGCTTGATGAGTATCTCGCGGCATTCGTTGTTATCAATCACCCCTGGAACACTCAGAAAATCACCACGGTGTATTTTCACCTTTAAAGTCTTGGGATCTTTTAAAGGCACTTTCCAACCATCTCCAGCGTTAAGTATCACCTTCATAAGACGGGATTTCAACGGAACTTTGTCGCCGACTTCATCACTGGATGGAACACAGGTTATTAACATCTCTGAAATAGCCACGTCTCCTAATTTGACTTTACTGGATTTTAAGCTGTGGCAGATACCCACTAGAAACACGGCTTTGGGCCTCAAGACTCTGACAGCCTCCGATACAGAGACTGCAGAGCCTCCTGCGGCGATTGAACCCTTGTAGCACTTCATTACAGCCATTTTAACCTTCATTTCACCTCTTCCCAGTTCCCCAAAGTATACGTAACCAAGTTCTTTGCAGTAACTTCTACAAAATCTGGAATTCAGATACGAAAGGCAGCCTAGAAATTCGCAGTCCTCTACCGTTAGTAACAAAATGTCAGTTGGAAGTCGGCCGTCATCCCATGGTACCGCTGTTTCAGGAAGATCCTCAGTCTTGAGCAGAGGTAAAGTTACCTCTGGTGGGTTGCTTGTAGGATCTATGAGCAAAATAACGCTAATCAACCTGTGGAGTTGTCATTAAAAAATAATAATAACAAGATAAAACCAAACAATCAAGAAAGAAATATCTCTATGGGTAAATAAGTAAGAACTAAATACTGTTGATATCTCATTACAGAAAACAACCAATCCGGCTTTTTTAAAGGTTCTCTCTCCAAGGCTAATCCATGCTCTCTCTTAATTATGAAAATCAATCAACAGCTTTAAAAACAGTTTGTCTACATTTCCCTGTTACCATCGACTTCTATTTTAGTAAGAGGTCTCCGACTGATCAAGACATGTGACTATACTGGAATGATCAAGGCGTCCTATCTATATAATTGTAGTACATCCAGTGGCTGTTCTTATTAGCCACTGTTTACCAAGCGACTTCCAGTCTCATATTTAAATAATGAGTAAAACGGTTGTTAAAAATATACCTTAATTATAACGGCAGGCACTAATGCGCCTATCAATGTAAAGGCGGCTGGTGGGGGGCAGGGCATGGGGTGGGGATTTGACATTTTTCAAAAATTTGCAGTCAAATTCACTGCCCAAGTGCAAATCATTCCAGAAAAATACAACCAAATTTCCCCACCCCGGGCTGCACATTGCTGACAAATATCCCAAGGTTGGACCCAAGAAAGGCACAATAAAAATATTTCGAAACAAAACTCTGCAATCTTTATTTGTATTACGTTGCTGCATCACCAAAGATACATGTTCCTGTTACAGCTGCAATTATACGTTTTAACCATAATCTGTGTTACACTGCGTAGAATACAGAAACCTTTAGGAGAAAGTCTACATTTTGTAACTTTAAATATACCGTTCTTAGTAAAGGGTACAAAGAAAGTCAGTTTTATGAGCTTACAGTGGTTGTAGCGAATGAGCCATACATGATCAATTGTAGTTGCAAAAATCGACTTGATTGCTCTTTACTTTCGTTTACTTTGATACCACAGTATCTTAAGAGGTTCCATTGATCAAAAACATACCAAAACAAACGAAATTTGAAGACAAAACAGCGAAATGCACCCAGCTTTCGCTAGTTCTCGTTGGCCTCCATGATTTGCAGATCTTTCCAGACCGTACGCCGCATGCGTGAAGGGTGGAAGTGGGAAACATATGTTCGGTCTCAGTCTTTTTCGTCGGAAGCCAAATATCTCCACGTCGGGCGAAGAAAGATTCAAATATCCCCCACCTGGGAGAACAAGATAATTCAAATGTCCTACCCCAGGGCCTACAAAGACAATCAAATCCCCACACCCCATGCCATGCCTCCCCCCCCCACCCCCCCGCCGGCATAACATTGATAGGTGCGTAAGTAGAGGTAGAATTTTCGCATTCATTAATACTGGCCCCTGCCCTGCTACCCTTCACCTCAATGAATAGCTCCTTACGGCCTGTGTCTAGTACCACTAACATATGGTGGTGTGAAACAATTGAGAAACAGTAATTAAGGAACAGGGGAAGTGAGTCTTTCTGTAGGTACCGTCATCACAAAATAAACAAAGGATCCAAACAACAGAGTTCTTCTGGGGCTAGTAGTGTTTCTTTTGTGGTTCTCTGTGCCTCGGTACCTACAGAAGGAACAGGGGAAATAGCGCGTTTTCACTCACGTGGCGAGAATCTATACAAATTTATTGGAAAAAAGAAAGCGTTTACTCAGGCGGTGTACGTCACGAGACTCGACCAATCAGAATGCGTCATTTGCAGAGTGATTTTCGCGCTTGAAAAGAGCTGTTTTCAGAGGTATATGTGGTGAAATTTTCGCTTTATTCCAAGTTCGTGTAGGCAATTTCGACACTATACCGTCGTGGAAAGTTGTTGGAACACTTTATCTTGATAGCTGTTGCGCTAGTTTTAAATATTTTGCTTTCTTGAGCGTTTGTGACAAGTTTGAATTGCTCGGTCATGTGCAAGCCGCCATGATGATTTGAGAGTTATTTTCGGCGCTCTTCTTGGATTCACTGCTGGTTACCGTTGGCGATTTTATCGCATTATTTCGGTCAACTCGTTACTTCAACCTTTCGTTATAAATTTTGGGGTCTACCCGGGTCTACCCCTGTTAGTTTCCCCGGTATGAGGCGTTGAAAGTGCCTTGGAATGAAGAGATTGTACATGTCTCAGCCAAGTAGCTCAACTCCCGAAGCGAAAGCCGACGTGAAGCGAGTAATCCAAAATCCAGGAAGAGTTTGTTTCATAAAAAACTAGGAAAGGTAAATAACCCAGTGTGGAAACTGAAAGCATGTCTTTAAAACAATTTGTATGCAGTGTGTGCTTAATGTGTATGCAAATCTTCATGTAAACTTACGCGAGGGAATAAATCTCTACCAAAACACAAAACCATCATCGAAGATCTAGACAACATCATACTACGGGATTTTAAAACTGTGAGGTTAGGTTAACAAAATCGATACACTGCGCTCACTTCAATGAACGTACAGACAAGATTGTGGTTTATTTCTGCGGCCGTAACTTCGGTGAAATTCCCCGGCATTGTGCTACAGGTGTTCGGGCGCTACTTTTGGTCTCTTTTTCCCTTGCCTATTAGTATAGAAAATTTATTTACTCAGAAGGATTACAAACAGTCGCTAATTGCAAAATAAAATAAAATTGTCGATGAAAATAGAATTTTTATGAGAGACGATGCAAGATTTCTCAACTTGATCTTTGTTTGCGCTCCCCCTCCTTGCCCGGTTAATAAAGTCCATCAAACGTTACTTTCAAATGGACGAATATTTTACTTAAGCAAATCCAGGTATGAACTACAGATCTCTTTCACTCTTCTGAGATAGAAATATACATTTAAGCACAGCACTAAACAGTAGCTAAAATCCTCTGAGAAGCAGGAAATCGCCGCCAAAATCGCAACTTGGATCGCCCCCGAATCGCGATAAAATTATGGAAATTACCTTATGAAGCAAATAGCAAGCATCTAAGGCCAGTATGAGATCTTCAAAATTCTCCAAATCGCTCTCTCCCGTAATGTTTTTCAGAAAAGGAAGCAGTGTTTTAATCCCGGGTTTTGATTCATCTCTCTCAAGAGATGCGAACTCGACCCTATCACTATTGAAATGAGGCAGAAAAACAGTTTTACCAATGAACCTTTGTGGGTCGTGACGCACACCATCTGGCGTTTACTAAAGAAAAGCGTCCAACTCCCACAGAAAACCAACATGGCCGCCATTTCATTGTTTTGGAACACCAATATGACCGCTGTGACGTCATGTGAAAACACTCTATAGGATTGGTAGCAGAGGACGAGTTTGTTCTTGCTAATAGGGTCAGTAGAATGCCAGCAAGTTAGAGCGCAGAATGTTTTGCACCTTTACAAAAACTGCTTAAGATAACAGTTGGAAAATCTTTCTAAAAACAATGGTACGATTATTGCCGAAATGACGTGAAAATCCCAAAGGTAGGCCAGAAATTTCAACTGTCCAGCCTGAAAAACACCCAGACTTTATTTGCTAAGGCAAGATTAGAAATGTTAAATCACAGTTAAATAAGACAACCTAACCTCTTTTACGTGGAATAAGACTAACAGAGTGAAGCTCATGCACGTGACCCTGCACAAGTCGGTTGCCACCAGTAACATCATACTCTGGGCAAATCATTACGTCATCGTGATGCGGCAAACTACTGATCACGTGGATGCACGTTTTGAAACAGTTGCCGGAGCGTGAAGAGTCATTAATAGTTCATAAAAATACAAATGAAACCGGTTTCTTTCTCGTTGTAAAATTGGCGAATAGGTAGTGTATAGAAAACAGTGTGGAGAATACACGTACTGATATCAGGGTCAGTGTAAAGGGTTAAGACGCACTTTGTTCACGTTCTCCTTGTCAAGGAAAACTAGTTTGTGTTAATTGTAAATATACCAATAGTCGTTTCGCGTAGAAAGGTTTTTCGAGACTAAAATAGCTGGTAATAGCTGGTAAGTTTTCCAATTATAACACGACTAGGAAAAACTTGTCAATGAAAAGGTGCTCATGTAGCTGCACCTTTATAATCAAAATATGTCGAAATGACTTACATACGGTATGTTTGATGTCCAACTATACATAATTATGACAGTATTGGCAAGGTAAAATGAAAATGAGTCTTTTATCCTTATTAGCTTCTATGTCGTTATGGCGAGTTTCAGTAAATTTTCATCGAGTTTGCACTTAGCTAATACTTGTTAAAGTGGCTAGTGCTAGAGTGGGCAGTACCTCAACTACAGAAACGTCCTTACGAAACCTTTCAAAAACTCATTAATATTTCGTAAAAGTAGAAAAGAAACTAATGCTTAATGAGCTTTAAATGTGTAAAACACAGTTATGTTTTAAACTGAGATTTTCTCTAAAGAATACTCGAAAAATAAACAGACCTAAGACAGAGGTTTTTAAAGCTGTTTAATAATTCACAGTTCGTGTTTTATTACGATTAAAATACTCTTAAACAGACCTTAACAGTAGGAAAGAAGCCAGAAAGACAATAACTAAATACATACAGGGAACGAAGGTTTTGGCCAGAAAAAAAAAGACTTCTTCTAGCAAAGGTAAGATCACCCTGCGAGTAGAGCCTCCTCCTTTTGTCTTTTTGAGTGAGGAGGAAAAAAGGAGACCCTTCCTGAATGGCGTCAAACCTTTGAAGTCACCGCAGCTCAAACTTCTGGACTGAATCGATCTTTTGTCAAACAGGTTTATTCGAGTGCGAGTACCCGCTATTTGATAAAGCGATGGTCACAATCGAGCCCGCAGTAGCAAGTGCGCCGCTATTAGACCTAAACTATATCCTCGAAACATGCCTCGCATTCTCAACAAAGATCTTATTTTGCAGAGTCTTTCTCAAGCATCTTTTTTCTCATCCTGCGAGCAGAGCCTTCCTTTGTCTTCTTGAGTGTGGAGGAGAAGAGGAGGCTCTGCCTGAATCGCATCAAACCTCTGCGGTCGCCACAGCCCAACTTGTTCCCTCTCATCAAACTGGTTTTTTCGTGTGCGAGCATCCGTTTTTCGATAAACCGATGGTCTTAACCGAGCCCGCTGAAGCAACATGCCGCGGATGCTCAACAAAGACCTTACTCGATTCATGCAGTCTTTCTCTAGTACGCCAAAATTGAGCAAGCGAGAGAAAGGCTCTGCAGGATGAGCTAAAACAAGCTAACCTTGCAGACACAGCTTACTGACGATCATAGGGCAATATCTTCAAACTTAAACTGAATGAAATTTGAGGAAAAGAAGTGGAAATATATAATGAAAAACTGAAAACTTACCAGGCTGTCGCACAAGCTCCCTCAAATCCTGATCTGCCTGGAAAGGCATAAAAGGTAGAAAATTATAACTACTGAATAGCATACAGACACCTTGATTGCGAATCAGGGTAAGAAAGACTCTGTTATCGTGAGGAACTAAGAGGTTTTACAGATCTGGGTAGTGCTTCTTATTGGATGGAAATTTGCTTCAACCGATCAGAAGCACTACTCAGATCTAGGTAAAATCACCTCATCAGTATGGAACTTCTACACTCGTTTTTCAGACGTCATTTCGCCCAGAAAACAGTGGTTGCGTCGCGAAATGTCGTCTGTTTTCTCACGCTACCCACTGGAAATGTTACTATTTTCATTATTAAGAAGAAAGTCTTGATTGTCTTTTAAATGGCATTATTTTAATTTTAATACCTGCAACAATTTGAGTAAACGTTTTCATTGCTTGAACAGGCAAAAATTCTACAAGAAGCAACTTACAACTACAGTGTATCTTGAGCAATCTGCTCGTTCACTCATAAGTTGCAATACAAAGGGTTGGGTATGTAAACGAAATCTAACTTAGGCCGCGGAAATCATGGAATCTCCAGATAAATACTTTTCTAGTCTACACTATAAGTTTTCACGAAATTGTTCATATAGACGGTGTTTAGATAATAGCGTTGGGCAAACTGAAAATGACTTAGAACGAGGTACTGGTGGATTTGTTAAACATTGGCTAATCTCCATTAAATAACTGACAGGGAATTTTTCAACTGGTAAGAGATTTGAACAGTTGAAATGCTCAAGCTTAAAGTGATAATTTACACTTACCGCGCGGGGCATTTTGCGGGAGGGCAACTTTAAGTGAAATTTACACAACAAACGCGTTCTGTTAGTGTGTGTCAAGGTGTTTCGAAATTCCACTTGTGCTAGGTCTTCGCCATCAACGAGACGAATTCGCAATTCAGTGTTAAACGGAATATCGCCTTCTAATAACCTGTTAAAATGTAAGAGAAAAACATGCATGATACTAGTGCCGCGTAATCCTTGTAACCTTGAAACCAGAACTGTCCAGTCACCGGAGAGAATTCAACTATAAATGATGACTGTTCAGATTGGTCTGTTCTTAAAAAGTACGCACAGTGATGGATGTTCCACCATTTTGTACTGCTTCTTCCAAAACGACTCAAACTCTCATCACTACGCTGAACTATTGACGTCATTTTCTGGATATCGTAAACGTCTTCCAAATTTGGTCAACGCTAGCTGGTTGTCAAGATTTAAGCCAAGCAGAAACGGGGAAATATTTTGAATATTAAATAATAAATGAGCTTACCTGAGGTGAATTTTATTTACGTCCGCCTCATCAAATGGGCGTATTCTTCCTGACAAAAACACAAATGCTTTGTCGCCGTCCTCTCCAGGTATCATATCTTTCATCGAAATGCCATCAGCAAACGTTACGTCTCTTTTTTCAAGACCTTGTATCACCTCTTGTTTAAGGTGAGCAGAGCAACAAATAAGGGACAAAATGTTTGGAATATCTGGACGAAAGTAGGCGACGAAACTTGCTGCTCGGGGCTGCGTTCTAGTGAAGCGGGTAAGGTAACTTAAGATCCACAGCCAATAAGCCCTGGAGTTTTCTTCACGCCACTCAAAAAGACACGAATATCTAGAACAAACGAAATAATCGAAAAAATTAATGTCAACCAGGGTGGATGGATTTGTTAGGAGCCTTGACATGGTTAAGGTCGAATCTTGGATGATTCTACGTATATCGCCGAGCCCAAGAAAAAGTTCCCAGTAGATTGAAAAGGAAAAACGTTAGTTTCGTACTTTTTGTGTTGATATTTTTGCTACACACCTGAAAGGCAGGCAGCATGGTAGCTAATATCGCCTTGCAAGGGTATTGTTTTTATAATTTGACCCAGGAATGCTTTGAAAGAAGTACCGGCATTTTTGTTAATTACTTGGAAGCATTTCAAGAACCTAAAGGTGCGTTTAGGCCGACCCCCGGGATTTGACCGAAATATATTTAACTTAAGATATGGCGAACAATACAATGTTCCCATCGCTGTTCCCTTGAATCAGACAGTCATAGTTTTGGTCAGTCCTCTATTCTTGCGGTCACAGACAACGACCCCAGTCGTTCATGGGTTCAAAGAAAGTGAGCAGGAAAAAGAAGCGAGGGAGTCATGGCTGGGAAAGAGAGAGGGAAGAAACCCTCCCCTCTGCCTCTTCGTTTCTAGCAGTGGGGGAAGAAGGCAAAAAACGAGCTCAAATAGCAAAAATATCGGCGAGCAAAGGGAGCCGAGCGGTGGCCTGGGAATGAGGAAAAAACGCCACCCTTTCCCTTCCCTAGACCGGCCTCTCCGCCCGCTTCGCTCGCTGATTTTTTCCTTTTTCCCCCAATGCAGAGCTTTGTCCCAGATTACTTGGTTTCTTCCGCTCCTGCTTTCCCTCCGCTTCGTCATACTAAGGTATAATTCAAAATATCAACGGAAAGGGCAAAGTTACATCTTACATTTATTTGCTTTCCTAAAAAAAACAAAAACAAAAAACGGGATTCGGGAAAGCGATGAAAAAATTGCGGGATGCCAGATTTTCGTGGAAAAGGAGAGCGAATGCGGAATCAGCACCCCTCCCCTCCAGACCATGACTGATGCAAACAAAGTTTAATTGAGCGTTCGCCCATTCAACATTGAGGCCATCGCACACCTGAACAAAAGAAATGACTGACGATGTTGAATGTTAAGTTTGAACGTTCAAACCAGATCTAGCGACAACAGCACCGTTCAACATGTTGTTGAAACGGCTCCGAAAATGTTGCATCCAATGACGTTGAATGAAGTTTAATCAACATTTTGGATTAAAAAAGGGTCCAACTGTAAATCTATCTGGTAAATACTAAAGATACTAATGATTTTTCTAAGCTTCCTTACCCAGAAAATCGTTGCACCTGGATCCTAACAAAACTCCCGTCAAACTGTGCAGGTTTCACCAGATCAGTGAGCTCAGTCCATTCCTTTTTTTCCTCCTCGCAATTCAGGAACAACACTCTCACATGGCATTTGGTGGGATCTGGGTTAAAGTCCTGCCGGTCTCGAAGAGAAACAGGTAGCTGAATGGTTACAGGCCTAAAGAACTGGACAACCTCACCGCATTTAATTCGCAGAATAGGTCCATGAAATACACCTTCCTCTTCAAATTCTTCATTTGGAACTTCTTGCACCTGTACCATTTAAAACAGTAATCATCAGCAGTTAATTTCATGTATTCTTTTAGGCCTTAAAATTGACGAAGGTTCCCCATAAGTCAAATAAAAACGTAATTCAAGTGACAAAAAGATCTCTCCAATATTCAGTAAACGATTTTTCAGTCAAGCCCTCTAGATTGGTCATTATTAGATCTTCATTTTTACAAAAACCGTATCACTTTGAAAAGCCTTTATGATAATACTTTCTTCATAAATGGACCTTTTGCATCACACCAACCTTTAACTCCAGGGCAAACGGTGACTCGGGTGCAATAGCATTCTCGGGGACTGTAACCGTCACGCCTGGATAATCAGGATGACTGAATGACCCGCCAGTCGATGTGATGGTGTAATTTGGAGAAGATTTGAGACGACAAACCACTGCATATGTTGAGCAGTCATTTATATCGGCTTCAGCAACGGGAAAGAAAAGGTCTGGTATATCCTTGTGAGACGGGCGCTCAGCTTCGATATCTGTTACCGATAAAAAGTACAAACTAACTATCATATGCTCTTTCTTGGACTTCCTTTTGCGATCTAGAAACAACTAACGCTTTAGGAATCAAGACTGGAAAAACAGCAAGCTTCGGAACAAGGGCGCGAGAGCAACTGCAACACTTAACACCATCTTAAAAAGAAACAGAGCAAACCTTCAGCAATATATACGGAAGACGTACACCGCATCCTGCTTAGAGAAACAGGGTCTGCCAAACGGTTATCTATAGCTGCCATGAATCTACTATATAGAGAAAATTTTTATACCTTGGCGACAGCTTAAGTTCTTGGTTCCACGTACATCTTCCCATTCATTGGTCTTCTTGTTGATCTGCCGTTTTATCACCACTTCGTAGCCCCGTAGGTCCGGTGCACTGTGAGAAAGAGACAAAGTCACCATGGCCTTGATTTGTAGGGGTTGGCCATCGTGGGAAGATAGTTCAATAACATTGCTGACAATGGCCTCATGCTCCTGCAGTGGGGGTGAGCAGACACTGGATTTCCATCTGTAGACCACTATTGACGTAGGCTCAGACACAGCATTTGGATGGAATATAAGATGGACAGCCCCTAGTTTGAGGGCCCAGCGGGTACCTTCACTCGTCACTATTCCTCTGCAATGAGCCAACATTTTAATAGTCGGTTGTTTTCAACTAAAAGCTACAACTAGAAATACGTGTATCGCAGAACCTCGCGAAGCTCGGGGGGGAGCCCATAAGGGGTGGGAGGACATGAGAGAAATGAAGCAAATCATGTAACTGGGGAGGGCGGGTCTAATATTGGAAGCTGAGATGTACTTAATCTCCTGTGGATTAAATTTGAACCTAGTGTTCTGGTTTTAATTAAAAAGGGTCTTCTGAGATTTAAATGTCATTGGGGTTTCTGTTGTTGGCGAATGCTACATAGGTCCCATCCCCTGTTCACCCCATTTGACCCTCCTACATGTGTAATTATGGTCAAAAGGAAATGGGGGAGATAGTGGATAACAGCTAACTAATATGCAGTTGCATTTGCTTAATAAAAGTTCACCCTTAAATGAAATAATTATTTGTGAAATGTGTCATTAGGTAGTGAGTGGATGACAATGGTAGGAGATAATGCTGCAGTGAAAACAACAACTAAATGCTGGTAATTGGAGAAAAAAATTATTGTTCGGTGAACTACAGCTGTAATAAGTGTTTGCACTTTTTGGTACTACAGTAAAGTGCAAACATAATCACTGAACTAGAAAATTACAAGTGGCAATGTCATTAAGGATCCAGTTCATGAGAATTGTTAGAGTGATCATGACTTATGATCATTGAATATGCGGGCATTCATCGTAAAGCACTAAATCCATGTAAAAAGCACCAATTTTTTATCACTTAGGTAAGTGTTCAGAGTTATTCGAGTACATGCATAAGAAACAAATAGCTATGCAAGAGTGAATTTGTATGAAATGTCCACAAACAAGTCATGTTGAAGGTGATCAGTTTCTCCATTGGTGTCCATTCTAAACATACATGAGCTTGTTGAGACAGCGCCAGAGCCATAGATTTTTAATTTCCCAGACTGAGACGAGTCAAATGAACACTTTCCCTGTATTACATGCAATTATCGTGAACCAATGTAAAGCTACACTTTTGTGTCTTCTTGTCCCCTTAATGTTGGTGTACAAGGTTTGGTGACTGAACCGCGATAAACAACTTTGAGAGGGACAAGGGGAGCACGAGAAGGAAAAAAACAGCATTTGGTCTAAGTGTTCCAACTATTTTTGTCTGAGACTGTAAGTGCAGGATGGATTGATCTTAAATGGGAAACCCTATATCTGCTTGCATGTCGTTTAATTTCTTGAAACAATCTTCTTCTGCCAATGGAACAAATGTTTTATTTCTGTGAATATGTCACCTCTCTCTGACTTCTTTGAAAGAGTGAAATTTTATGACTGCCGTCTTAAATTTTCCCTAACAGCGAAAAGAAGAAACGTTCCTGGCATGGCAGCCATGTCGCACACTAATATTCTGAGGATATCCGAAATACAGATGGTCTTTTGGAAAAATAGGAACGAAAATATAGGAGGCCAGCAATAACAAATTTTTGCAGTGTTAATGAATAAGGCTGCTATACACACACATATATATTTTACTTGTGAAGGAAATTGAATGAACACTGACAGTAAGGATTTTGTTTACAAATGTAACGCTTCGCTACATGTCACACATTATCGGTGTTCTAAGCTGTTCATTGTAAAATAAAGCTTACTGTAAAACGGTGAAAAGGCTCATTGGCTGTCCTCAGTCCGTTGGAAAGATACTCCTCATGACGATTTGACATACATAGGATGGTGTAATTCTTGCTGCTTATCGTTGCATCGACTGTAAACTTGCCTCTCGATGATTTCTCGTCGGTTTCGTTGCGAATTCTATTGACCGCATTTTGCTGAAACGTCGGCAGTCGGTGTTCCGTCTCTTCGTCGGCTTTGTTTGCAGTGTAATTGTAGTATTTTGTTGCTGCCTTTTTACATCCTCAGTCTTTAGTTGAAAGCGTTTTTCCTTCGATGTGCTGTTGCTCGCCCTGAATTTAAAGTCAACCTTCTCGGTCTAGCGGAGTTCTGTTTGTAAATCTTTCCCAGCGAGGATTTCCAGCCACTTGTTGAATACACTGTTGTTGAGTTTGCTGTTGTCTTTTTTTGCCTGAGATATTGTGTGGTGATTCACCGACCGTAAACATAATTTGCAGATGAAAAACTGCTTTTCATGAATAGTTATCGATCGCAATCGGTTGCCTGGAAACCCATAATGCACTTTGACGTCACTACTCTGGATGACGTCAAGGCGGACACCAACTAAACTCGATAGATTTATAGCCAAGAGAAAATCACGCTGGCCTTGCGATGCTCGGGTGATACACGCGCGCTTCGCGCGCGACGAGATTATAAACCTCGCGGCTCGGCGCTCCGCGCCTCGCTTCGCGAGGAATAAACAGAGAACTTTTTAAAGTTTGCAAAGTTCCTTTTTCCTTTGCCAATAGGGAACTGAGGCTGGAAAAATTTGGTTTTCATTACAGACAGCGCATGGGTCAATACCAGTCTACACCCTTCTAACATTTAAGGAAGTAAAATCGCGGGTTTTTCCTTTCGAAATTTAAGTATAACGCGGATGTAGGTTGTTGGAACTAGTTGCAAAAACGCTTAAGACAATGTAACTTATTAAACCAAAAATGGTGTTTATCAGACTCCGCACGATTCCTGCCCCCTTACCTGTTACCAAAGTTGTAAGGATTTCAAAATCGTATTCAACAATTGCGATATGACAACTTTGAATGGGGAAGGGGCGGGGGGGTGATGTCTTACTTGTAAGAACTCTGAGGCACAATGAAGTAAGATCATCGTTTATTCAGCGAGAATTTCTCAAATAATAATTTTATTTGCAACTAATTGTAGCTGTTGACATTGAAGGAGTAGTGCAAAAACTTGGTACATGTCTCGAGTCCATTGTAACGTGTGAGTGTGTAGAACAGGGGGTGATCTATTTTAGAGCTTAAATAACTGCGGCTGAACTAGACAATTTATCACGAGTTCAAGGTAAAACAGTTGGATAGATAATCCTTCGATGTGAATCGTAAGATCATCTTTGTTTAGGGTGGCTCGATAGAGTTTTTCAGAGTCAATACCTCCCAAGTTTGAGCATAAACTATGTCGCCATAAACAAAGATTTTTTAAAAATTACCACCACAGTTGTATTAGATAAAGATGAAAATTTGTTATGATCAGGGTTGCAACGACGTCGGAGTTGTCATAGTAACGAAATGACGCTGTTGCCTATTTAACTTGCAGCGGTATATCTCGGCACTGGGAACTGTTGTTTCAAATCGTTCACGGAAGCTTTTTCCTCCAATAGCGGCCTCGATGTTTGTCAAGTTTAAGCGAAATCTGTAAGAGCGTAATAGAAATATTTTGGGATGAGGTTTTTATGGTTAGAAACACAGTAAAAAATGGAATATCTTGATGTTTAAGAAGAAGAAGAAGATACTTTTATTTAGCTAGGGTAACTCCTACAGTTACAAAAACTGATATCCTTAGAGACCCTAGATAAAAAAGAAATATAAAAATATGTTAAAAATACTTAAAACTAGTCCTAACCAAGCTAACAGAAAAATATCCTAAGAAAAAGGATAAAAATTATTACAACCTATTATGAAAACTACAAATTACGATTAAAAACTTCACATCCATGATAATAAAAAGCTTTTTTCGTACATTCTGATTTGATGGAGGTAAGACGGAGATGATTACTTTGCCGCGTTTTTCTCTGTACGATATCTCTATTAAAATAAAAGTAGTCCGTTAAAAATTGCGGGCAGCGCTTATTCAGACATTACTTCACAAGGTAAAACGCGTGAATCTCTTGTATTTTCTTGTTCCTTTTATGAGAGTGTATATAAATCCAAGTTATTTTATGGTAATATCTTTCATCTCTGATCTTTGATCCTGAGATCTTTGATTTGCCTTAAGTTTCCTTCATCAATATTTGAATCAATGTGGTTGAAATGGAATATATCCTTTTTACGCATTATGCAATAATATGATATATTTTTAACCTTGTAAGAGTGGTAATTTGACTTATACAGTAGTTAATATTTCCTTTGGCATTCCCGATTCACTTTTGCGGAGATAAATAAAATGTAATAAAGTATTTTTGTCTAATGCCCAATTCAAAGTGATATCCATTTGATAAAAACCATTATTATTCAAATGAAAAAGACATATATTGTCCTGGGCTTCTGAATGTGTCTTTCGTAGTTATTGTTATTTTGAAAATCGTGAAGTTTGAGTATTGAGCTACAGTGTTTATTTAAAGCCCATACAAAATATTGAGTTGTCTTCTACCTCTAGTATTTTTTGAAATGGCAATTCCAAAAATTTATAACATCTTTAACATATCGATTGAAGTTTAGTATTTTTTGTCTATTCATGTCTATAAGTGCATTCATCTTTACTTTTGTGGGCTCAGTATCAAAGGCTGTATGGAAATCATAAATTTTATCCGGATTTAAATTAGTTGAGCTCCTCAAAACGCCATAAGCGATTTCGTAATTTCCTGTAAAATTTCCTGGATAAGTCTGTAAATCGGTCCCATCTTAGGGTATAACGACTAACAAATGGAGCTGGTACAAAGGGTTTGCAGCAGTTTTCCTAAAATTTACTATGACCCTATGATAGTACATGAACTCTATACTGTTGCTTGAATTGACATATCCATGACTGAATTTTTTTAAGGCCACATTTCCGATAGTGAATTCTTTGGATGTGGTCTTATCAACTGAAATTATCGATTTATGTCAAAGTTGGTAATCAATATTCAAGATTTCAATACACAGAGTATAGTCAACATCTTTTGTTAAAAGAAAACACTGAATTCCAAATTTATACTTCTAGCCTCCCTGTGAATTTTTGATCATTGTTGTGAAAATTACTTTGTTGTTGTAAGAGTGAAAATTACCTTTATCCGGTGATAAATCAGCAAACTTTTATTTGGCGCGAACCTGAAAGACGGCATGCAAGCATCCTTAAACACCTGTCAGGCATAAATGAGACTTTCTGTTTATAGCTAGATTGTTTATCTTCAACATCATAGTTGGGCATTTTCATTCTATATAATATTACACAGTTTTGAGTTCAACTACCAGTTCAACTGTTGGTTTTATGAATGATTTGTGAAATGTGTGTAATCTCATTATATAACAAAAATGAGTTTACTTGAGTGGAAGGAACTTGCTAAGAGAAAAACAGAATTAGGAGATAAAATTAATTTTGTGCATGATGCAATTTTGAAAAATCAGTTGGGAGAAAAAACAAACCAGGAATCTTTTTAAAAGGTGCTCAAACCAATAACAACTAAACTGGACGATGTTGCCTTGAGTAATCTGAAACTACCAACATTGCAAAGAAAACGCAGTAAAAAAATGATAGTTTTTGATTATGGGATTCAAACAGGAGATGATGAAGATATTCCTGATTATGCATTACGCGATCTATTTGACGAAGGAATACAACCAGAACAAAATAAACAATTAGTGCCAAAACCACTCACCTATGAAGAATCATTAGCGGATGGTTTTAGAGGGTATAAAACTAAGAAACAAATGTATGTTGATCCTCAATATTTACCTCCAGAACAACAAGATTTGCCTCCAGAATATGATTATGATGAAGTTCCCGACTATGCTTTGGATGAAGAAGATAGAATTAATACGATATTGAAAGAACTGGAAATCACAGATTATGATTATGTTGAAAAAATAGTAAATGAACCTGAAATGACAACCCAAAAGATAAGTACTTTTCTTAATAATAAGGTACTAAGCTTGCAAAGTTCCGGAGAAATCAGTTAAAGGTTATAAGCCACAAGTTACAAATGCATATAAAAGGGGTGAAACAGGAGAAGCAGAAAGGACCGCAGAAAACAAATTCAATAGTTCGATAGTTCAAGAGTTGTTTTAAACCAATATATCAAATATTATGAAACTAAAGTCAAGGGAATAAAAGGTTCTGGGATCAGAAAAAAAAGGGGGTATTACGTAATGTGATGTTTTTCAATAATCCCCAAAATTTGCTCATCAGAATACTCCAATAGATTTTTCGCAAGTGTAACATTATGAAGGTTATCTGTGTCATAAACAATTTTTTCCAGCTGATTTAATCATCAAATGCTTGATAAGGCTGTGAGCACCATTAATTAGCTGCAAATGTGTATTCGCGTTTCTTGGCGGCCTTCTTACAGTTTTGCTGATGGGTTACAATCTGCAAATTGCATAAACGGTTATTTTCCTTGTCGTCATTAATGTGGTCAATAACCTTACCATCAGGTATAAGACCATTAAGGCACTCCCAAATAAATCGGTAAACTTTTGCAAGTTTTGTTATTTTTGTTCCCATGTTTTCTTACAGTAGTTAAAACATACCCAGTATGATTTTTATGACCCTAAAATGGTATCTGTTTAATAATATGAATTATCTGTCCATCTTCAGAAGCTGCATACAGATTATAGATAGGATGAACATAACAAACACACTCATTTATGGATATTTTCTCCATTGATATGATACAAAAGACACCGCCTCAAGTAGCTTAGTATGGGCGTGGTCACCCAATCCCAAGATCAAATCCCAAGGTCAGGGTCAAAGGGCGTGGTCATGGGCATGGTCACCAATCCCAAGGTCAAATACCCCCCCCCCCATATACCAAAAATGTCCTCGTACCCCCATATACTATACTACTCACCTCATAGAAGTTTAGATCTTTTTAAAAACGTGCGTGAAAGATCATGGACATAGCTTCAGCCGATTGCTAGAAAGAAGGGTTTCATTAGTATGTATCGAAGCACTCTTGTTAGCGGTTTCGTAAACATTTTGGTCTTCTTTAACAAATTAGCAAATAATTTTAAACCGCTTGATAGATTTTTTTAAAAAATTCATATTCTTGTGAACTCTCCTTTTATATGACCTTTTAGTTTCAAGATTATTGATATAATAATAATAATAATATTTATTATTTGGTATTGCGCAAATTAACATATATCAAATGATCAAATGCCGTACAAACTATTAAAGCTAACTAAAAATATATCAATTATCGAATAAAAACATGAATATATCTGTAAATGACACCTAACTTAATTATTTAGTACTTAACCAGCAATAACTATAACTAAAAGAAACGTTATATGTTTCATTAAATTGATAAAAAAGAGAGTAAAATGAATATACACCTATGTTTAGTTAGAAATTTTATGCAAGTTTAAAATAATAAGTCTTTGGCTGTTTCTTAAAAGTATAATAGTTGTCCGGTTTCCTAATGTCCTTCGGTGAAATGTTCCAGGTTCTAGGGGCGGCTACTTTGAAAGTCCTGTTTCCAAGTGTCTTCTTTGATCGTGCACTATAATCCTCGAGTAACATCTCCCCGTCCGATCTAAGATTATATCTGGTGGTACTCTTAACTTTTATTAGATCCTTAAGGTATTCGGGTGCGTTACCATAGATACACTTATGAGTAAGCATTGCTATCTTAAAATTAACCCTATACGTTACTGGAAGCCAATGTAAATTGTATATTTTATAAGGCAGTAAAATAAGGGCTACAAGTGGTCAATTTTTTATCGGAAGTTTCGTCACTACAAGTGAAAGCCGCCATTATTCAAGGTATTGTCTCCAAGTTTCATTTTCACGTGAACAGCAGCAACTGACAATACATTTGAAATATGCAAAAATGCTAGCTATTGTTGTGAACGAAAATATGAAACTTGGAGACAATACCCTGAATAATGACAGGCTCACACCTGTAAACACAAAATTACTGACAAAATACAGTCGACTCCCGATAACTCGAACCTTCAAGGGAAATCGAAAAAAGTTCGAGTTGTCGGGAGTTCGAGTTATCGGGAGCTCGAAGAAAATAAGCCGAGAGTAAGGTAAAAAACGGTTTTTACTGCACAGTGAACATTTTAATCACATTTAATTGCAGAAATGTCAAGTGAAAATTAAAAGATACTTCTAGTATAGATTATATTTCAGAACGTAACAAAACATAGCCAAAATAGAGCATTCGTTTCACTGTTTTGAGAAGTAAAGCT